TAAACTTGAAAAGACGAAGACAGCACGCAGAAAAAGCGAGCCCTGGACCTGATTAGTTCCTTTTTTCAACTATTGTTATCCGATCCCTACCGCAGGCCTTGTTCTCTCTCTTTTTTTTCCGTCTTCTTATCCTCTCTCATTCTGGCTTCTCATCCCTTGCGCTTCTCTGTTTCCCATCTTCCACAGCAGGTCTGCCTGCAGTCCAGCCGGTCTCGTTCACTCGTTTGACCCTCATGTTACTCGCTGCTCACTCCAGTCCTTCGTTCAAATGCGCCCTCCTCATCCCCACCACCCTGCAGACTGCTAAACCCTGGCCCTGATAAGAAACTAGCCTGTGAATACGACCGGATACGCACTGCTTTCAGACACTTGGACTTGCTCTTCCGCATTACGTAGTAGCTATCTTCGTGTCCTGGCAGCTTGACCAAGTCTTGTGCGCTTCATCTTCTTCTCGTCGCTCCTCTCGATGTGATGACGTCCAGTCAAGATGGCTCCCCGTAACTACTCAGAGCTGGGTAGGTCTCTCGGCCTGTTGGGAGATCAATTGCCATGGTACTGGAAAGCCGTCTCCATCGGCTCTGCGTGGTCTCTGTTCACCGGGTATGTTTTTCGATGTTTCTATTTATGATATCCAATGATCATATTGCCCGTTGATACTTGTTAAAGTTGGGTCACTTCTTTGGTGTGCTAACCAAAGATCGGTTGCTTCTGCTTAGCTTCATCCTCTTTCCCTTCGCCATGGAGCCAGACGGCGCGAAGCTGGAAGCAAATAAGAATGCGCTTCTTGGAGCTGGTGTCATCCTTCTTACGCTTGCATACCTCCTCAGCGCTTTATATTATGTGCGGTGGCGCAGGAGTATCTACCTATTTAACTCTCTCTTCTTGTATGACGATCTTATATTTCCGATGCATTTTTCTACACTGGATAACCACTAACATGGATCTATTACAGCGCCTGTTTCACCTCGTCCATCCTTGGACTCTTTAATATTGTCATAAACATCCTGATTCGCAGCCTGCTGCCGATGAACATGCTATCAACCATCATCGTGGTCATCTCGTGCGTTTCTACAACCGCCTATGGCTTTCTGGCCTTTTACTTCTCTGACTACTGGCTGTCCGCGACCTGCTCGCGACGGCGGAGGCGGAAACGCTCGCGGGCTGCCACCGAAGCTGCCCTGGACGACACTGAGCTGCAGAGACGCCAGCTCCTACGCCTCTATCTACGGCCAGATAGGGCGCCCAGTGTCGAACTTTCGCAAAGTACATTTCGAATAGACCTGCCAGACCACCAATCCACTGCCGACATGGAAGAGGAAATGCTCGTCACTGCTCCACAAAATGCATATGAGCGTTCACTACACTCTGTCTCGGCACCGAGCAATTATCCTTCTGAAATGCATCCAAGCCCGACTTCTGCGTACAAGCTGAACCCTCTTCGTTACTGGCAGCCTCAGCGCGGCCACCGAGACCAAATGCGTCCTCTGGCAGAGTTGATCAGCTAGAAGAATCAACCACGTTCGCTTTATCGTTAATATTGCATGAGCAAAATACTATTACTATCAAGGGACTGTACTTTGGCCGGTGTCACCTCAGGATTCTGTTCGGAAACATGTACTATCAAATATCAACCTTCTTCTTTTCTTCTCTGCATCGGATGGCTCCCTACCAATACACCACATAAACGGCATTTATACTATTAGAAGCCATTAAAGCATCGTCAACGGGCGGATCTCACAGTTACTCTATTGATTAATCCAGCGTCAACCGATCTAGTCCGAATGGACAGAGTCTTCCACTTACTCTGCATTAAATATATCATACTCTTTACCTGCCAGGTATGGCTAATGGCTACCTATTTTGTTATTTTGTTTTTTTTTTTTTTTTTTTTTTTTTACTTTTGGATTTCATTTGTTGGCAAGCTAGGGAGAGGCCAGTGGTAGCATTCTTGAATTGTGTGGAATTATGGGACATTAGGATTGTACGGATTTTTCTCAAGTGTGAAGATCATTGAATGAATGTGTATGATCGTTTTGAATATATTTATATTATTACCCTTTGTCCCACCCTGACGGTGGCCATAATTAGAGGGTAAACTATGCATACTCTTCCATACCGAATGTCTTACTATTTAATATTTTCAACATGGAAATCTAGAAGGAAGCCATAAGTATCCGTTTGTCTTATACGGGTACTAGCATTTACGGTACCATGGCCCTTGAATAAGTCGCTATTTACACTTCCAGTAACTCCATATATACCGACTGTGGCTATCTTTTATTCATTCCTTTTAATGTTCAGAAACATCGGCATCTGGGCTGGGAAAGATTTCAACTGGTCAGCCTGGCAATTATTTTACCGAAATTCCGAAGCCATATCTAGAATATCAAGATGATACGATTAAAAGAATACCACTTTTATTTTTTATCTGGATTCTTGGGCATATGGTATCATACCAAGACATGTATGTGCTCATCATGCTTTCCCAGCGTCTTCCTTGAGTGTCACAATTCTATTAAGTACAATTTTCTCAGGTGTGCTTGTGCTGTCCTCGCAGAAATATGCAACACGCATGCCCTGGAAACGGACTGAGGCAGGAGACGGTTTATCGGCAGTCGCTTCTCCCTTATTAGCAGGCCATGGGGCCCTCTCTTTAATTTCATGGAACCCAGCCTCAATAATTGCGTTGGGAAAGATCTCCTCAGAGTCGGGGTTTATGTCTGCCAGGAACCCATCTGGGTGTCCAGCAGGATTAGCCGATTTAAAGAGAGGGTTAAAGTTATGTACTTCGACGCTGACAGGGCTGTTATGGGCAGGAGATCTAGCAACCCATTGGATATATCTAGATGGCAGGGGTCAATTTCAAGGCAGACTGTAGGGATTTTTGATAAGAGCCGAACTTACGCTTTAGGCTTTTTGAACTTTTCATCTCCCTCAGGTTTATCGTACTTCGCATGAATCGAAGTAACTAGACCAGTAGAGGGATCCTTTTCGAAAGATGTGGCGGTTATCGGGAATGGAACCTTTAGCAGACCAACCGAGCCACCGGGCGCAAGCCGGAAAAAGTTGTCCGAAGCTTCCTCCCTAAAGTCGCTGCGGTCAATGTAGACGGTATTGGTGAATGGAACAGTGTGGGACTAGATTGGCATATTAATAAACGGCGACGAAGCAGACAAGCGAATTTCTTAACGCCATGAGGAGTGCTTACACCATGGTTAGGGTCCTTTGAGAAGGGCAACTCAATCATCTCGACGTAGTCTTCTGGAAGATTATCAATGGTTACAGGGATAGGGTCCATAACAAGCATAAGTCTGGGCACTGTCGACTCTAGATAGGATCTCACAGACTGTTCCAAACGTTTAACGTCAATTGTGGTCTTTGCCTTTGTAACTCCGAGCTCTTTCACAAAGGATAAGATTGCTTGTGGAGGAATTCCACGTCGACGAAGGCCAACGAGAGTAAAAAGACGAGGGTCATCCCATCCCTTGACATACTTCCCACGGTTGCATCCCTTTGGCTCGTTACCTTCAATGAGCTCAACAAGCTTCCGCTTTGACATGATGGTACCGTTAATATTTAGTCGGCCATATCTGTAATTGATTTAGTAAAGCTAATTCCAAGAAGTTTGTGGCTCTGAGGAAAGATACGTACTCTCTTTGCATTGGCTTGTAGATGTCAAGCTCATTAACCACCCAGTCATAGGACTCACGCGATAACTCGAACTCCGTAGTACAAAGTGAGTGAGTGATATTCTCAAAGCTATCACATACGCAGTGACAGTATTCATACGTTGGATATATTTTCCACTTGTCTCCTGTCTGCAGATGTTTTGCAAACTGGCCATCATCTGTTTCAACAACTCGGTATGCAAAAAGATCCCACATCTGAGGATTTGGGTTTTTTAAGTCTTGCTTTAAGCGGAGTGCCGCCTCTCGTGCGCGGTATTTGCCCTCACGCATTGCACGGAATTCGGCGAGTGACTCAGAGGTGGGACGGTCACGGTGGGCGCAAGCAAATCTTTCATTGCCCTTTTTGTCCGAAGTATCATCTGCACCACGCTGGGCTTTGACCTCGCTATCTAAGAAAGGTCAGTTGAAATACTAACAAGAGTGTGCCAAATTCACCTCACCTGTGCAATGACAGACGTATGCTTTGTCCTTCAGGATCAATTTTTCCGCGAGTTCATACAGCTGGTCGAAATAATCGCTGGTATGGGTGATCTTTACCGGCGTAAAACCCAGCCAGCTGACTATATCTTTGATGCTCTCGACATATCGCTCTTCCTCACCTTTGGGGTTGGAATCATCGAAACGCAAGTAGCATATCCCACCGTAATATCTTGCGAACTCAAAGTTGACAGTCATAGCTTTACTGTGGCCGATATGAAGATAGCCATTTGGCTCGGGAGGGAATCGCGTTACCACCTGTTTGTTGGCGGTGGCTTCAAGCGGCCTTTCTTTATACACATCAGCAAGAAAGCCGACTTTGAACATCGCATCGGGGTCATTGGGAGCTGGAGCAGCGCGTTTCGACTCGGAGGGAGCCTTTTCAGGCTTTGGTTTCTTCTCTTTCGGCCTCTTCTCCTTTTGCTTCTTTTCTTTTGGTGACTTCTGTTCTGCAGCAGATTTCTGTTCTTCACCTGGCTTGTTCACTTCCTCCACTGGTTTTGGGCGAACCGGTAATTCAGTTGGTGTATCCATATTTGCCCTAGTTATCCCAGTATTTTCCAGGATTGAAGAAAAGAAAATACCAGAGGTAGCAGCAAATGGAGTTGTTGCTAGAGAGCAGAAATAAATAATGACTCCCACCACAAAAAACCCCGCCAGATTTGGCCGATGTAGTTAGTTACCTGCTTGACGTTGTCCGGTCACGTGGTGTTATCGCCCGCGCTTTATCTTGGCAAGTTTGAGCCGCAGATATTTTTGAAGACGAACAAGAAACAGACACGAGATGTTTTCCTCAATATCTGCTCTATGAATATAATATTATACGATAGTTGGTGAGTTGGACGATAGGAAGGTCGATAAAGCAGTTCATTTTGACACAAAACACAGCTCAGATCAGAGAATAAAATATCCGTCATATCCCTACAAAATGGATGAGATAGATTTACTTGACATAACCCCAATGGACATATTGAACCGCAAGGATATATATCTGTGGCTCTACCTAGGTTGCGTATCAGATACAACTCATGCCAATTTTGTCTGAGCAGGCAGCAGCACAAACATATGAAGTGTTTCCAATCATTCTCTTCTCTATGGCTGGTCTGTGGAGAATGCCGCCATCCGATTATTCTATCCTATCAGACTTAAACCTTTTATACGCCTTATTATCTTTTGGTTTGGATATATACGGAGTGCAGGATGCACTCTTTGACAATCTTTATCGAGAGTGGCATTTCAAGGCTTGCATCCCCACAGCAGGGTAATAATGCAGTTTAAGCAAACCACCATGATTCTATCTCCATGCCTGAAACCACTGCTTAAAGGTTAAATGTGCACACAGTGACCGACTTTTGACCGCTCTGCGATTCATCATGGATCCTGTCATCGCATCCTGAAATGTGAACGTAATGACAGCGTGTCCTTAGAGATAGACAGTCACCACCCATTCATCTAATTATACAAGCCAGTCTATCAACGTACAAAACGTAGCTCTAATAGTAATCCCCTCCATGTGACCATTTCATACCGGTATCCCATCTCGCCCCAAGCCGAAAATAGATCAACTGCTGCACAACATGATTTATGCCAAGATATGCAAGTAGTCACGTGATATGCGGGCCGACCCGGTCAGCGGCTAAAATTATCCAATAAGCTTCTCGTGACATCTCATTATAAATATCACGTGTAAACCTACATGCACAAAACCTATACATAGTACAGAGAACATCAGCCTCGCCATGTTGAAATCCCTACAGAACTAATTATCTCCCTGGACGTGATCGAAGTAAAAAGATGAGTGCCTTGTATACCAAGCAACTGTTTAGCCCCCACTGCAGCTTTTTATACTCTGTTACCCTGCACGAGTTAATGATATAAATCAGAGAAGATGTCCTCTATTTCCCATAAAACGACCCGAAGCAACTGTCCAGCATCAGTTAAGGCGGTTAAATAATATTACCATTATTATCCTACAATTTTTAAGTTCTTAACATAGCAGCATTGCCAATGGTTCCAACAAGGGCAAGCTCAGTGAAGGCTGTTTCAAGCAAGCCCACTCCAAGAACTAAGCCTTCAGGTGAAAACACATCAAGGGTCACCAAGCGGAGTGCAAAAGCCTCATACCAAAGCAATTCTGCTTTTACCGGAGGGAAAAAATCATCTACTAGCTCCTCAAGCTCCAAGACCACAAAAATAAAATCAATCACAGCCTATAGCCCGAAATTCACACAGCATCTATCTTCCCACGGAATATATCTCGATGGATACGACCGTCCGTGCGGCAAACCAATGCCAAAACCGAAAAATTTTGATAACCTCCATGATATACTGTCCCGATCGCGAAGAGCTGTTTCGCCTACAGACCTCTCCGCTGATGACTTCCAGAAATTTAAGTTTCGGGATACGATCGCTGTTAATGAGTCGGGGGTCATTGGTTTACTGATACCGACTATGGACGGAAGTAATAAGAATCGAGGGAGTACTGCAATGGATCACCTCTGCAGCAATCTTGCTTCAATGACTGATGACACGCTCGTCATCGCAAAACCTGACCTCCTCTATGGTGCTCGCCCAGAACAACTCAACCGTTTAATCCGAGATGACTTGGATGACATGATTGTACCGTCAACATATAAACATTTTCCAATGCTACCAAACTTCTTTCTGGAAGTCAAAGGCCCTGATGGAAGTCCTGCCGTTGCAGCCCGGCAGGCTTGCCATGATGGTGCAATTGGAGCTCGAGGAATCCATGCCTTGCAGTCCTACAAGAATGACAGCCCTGTCTACGATAAAAATGCATACACTATTACGGCAACCTACCAATGCGGCCACCTCAGATTATACACTACCCACATTGAACCACCGGTAGATACTAATGGCCGCCCTGAATATGTCATGACTTCCTTGTGCTCATACTCCATGGTAAATAGTCTGGAGACCTTCAGGCAAGCCGTAACTACTTATCGAAATCTTCGAGACTGGGCAAAAGAACAAAGGGATGCAAGTATTACAGCTGCAAATGCACGATTTAAGGACGCCCAGAATCAGCTTGCCCTCGAAGAGCCTCAAGGATCATGAGTTACGCGGCGTAGCTCATATATAATGATCTTATTTGGTGATTCCGACACTGGCAAACTTTGAACATCTAGTCCCAAGCATTGGGAATAAAATGTTCTGGTACATACACGAAGGCTCTAAGATAAATACGAACGGTGTATATACAACAAGTAATGCAGCAAGAACTGACTATGTATACCTAACTAAGCATAGGTACCTTATTGTCAAAATCTAATTACGATGATGTCAATGATAATATAAAGTGAAGGGGATTTATTTAGAAGAGAATTACCGATGTGACCATGTATATTTATGATCGTGGTTATTTTTATGCTGCTTGGCTTGTTGTTTTATTCTACCATTATTTATTCTCAGTTATGAATTTGTTTCTGTATTATCCCTATTGTATCACCATGCCTTATCCTACCGCCTCCATTTTCATAAACAGCTTCTCCCTCTTGAGGAAGAATGATGTCACCAACACCAGCCCGCCGGCAGCAATAAGCGAAACGTAAACGTTCCTCATTGCAGCAACGATTGCGTTAATCGCAGCGGTCTTAACTTCGGGTGACCCATGAATGAGAATATCACTTTTAGCACCAGCGATTGCAGAGATCAGCTGCGACCTCGAGTAATCGCCATATCCAGCAAGGGCTGTTTCGAGATTCCGAAGTGCTTGGTTCTGGAATATGGTTCCCGAGATAGCGAGACATAGAACCGTTGCTCCAAGTTGAGCGAGATTGATAAAGGTAACTGACTGATTCACTTCGGTTTCCTTTACCTTTGCTGCTGCAACACTGTAAGCTGCCTGTGCTATGGCTCCGGCTCCAATAGCAAGAAGAACAGAGTATCCATATATATTGGCAGTAGGCGTGTGGGCATCGACGGTATACATGAGGGAGGATCCAGCAACCAAAAACACCCCGCTGACAGAGTACCAAGGCATATAGTAGCCGAAAACTGGCATCAATGCTCCACTCGACATGATCACTGTTATTGTTACCATCACATATGGAAGGAGCCGTACAGCGGCTGCAATGGCGCTATCACCGCGAGTAAACTGAAAGAATAGCGGTATATAATAAGCTCCGACGAAGAATGCTGAGTTAGCGCAGCAGGTACTTATATAAAGGATTACCAAGGATCGTCTCTTGAGAAACGTTCCTGGAAATGCGCGGCGAGCCGGGGTGGTGAACACGGAGAAATACTGTTGGAGAATGAAGGCAATCAATGTGACTCCGAATAGAACGAATAAAGCGATTATGCGCCCATCATCCCATCTCCAGGTGATCCCGGCAAAGGTAAGAGCGAGGACCCATAGGAAGTAAATTCCACCGTTAAGGACCATTCCTATGATATCGAACTCCATGAGTTTAGAAACCACGGAACCAGCCGACGCAGAATTGTACCTTGGAAGGAGCGTGAAAAGGGCGGGTAATGTCACGGCAGCAAGAACTAGATTGATATAAAATGCCTAAAATTGTTAGAGAGTTACAAAGTCAGAGAAGGAAGGCCAAACTTACCCATCTCCAAGTCGCTGGGCTATCTGCAAATGAGCCTCCTATCACTGGGCCAAGGATAGCTCCTGCTCCCCACACTATGCCAGTCAAACCCATATATACTGGTCGTCTTCGAAGGGTTGTAAAAATAGCAATATAATTGAGGACTCTATGTAGTATATTAGTAAAAAGGCTCCTACTTTATGATGTGCCAATACATACCCAAGATACATTCCACACCCCCCAATTCCGGCCATCACCCGGCCCACGATCAATGAATTCATAGTAGGGGCACCTCCACATAGCGCACTTCCGCCCTCGAACAAAGCGAGTGATATGATGTATACATATTTGATATCAAATATGTTATAAAAAGCGCCACTTTTAAACATTAGCTTGTATCTGAAGATGAACTATAAGAAGGTGCCTTACATTGGAAGAATAGTTGCAACCGACCCCAAAGGGAAGCCTGTTCCAAGCCAACTCAATTTATCCACAGACCCAAATCTTTCCACAATAGGAACCTGGACGTCTGCAACAATGGTTGTATCGAGCCCGTACAGGAAGATAGTGGAATATAGAACGCAGCATACAAGAAACCACTATATAGGCATAAGGATGGTGTAAATGAAGCTGTTTGATATTCACTCACCTTCCATCCATGGACTCGTGGTGGAATTGAAGTATCGCTATTGTCAACAGTGGCTTTTTCAGAGTTATCAATGGTATTAGTTAGAGGGCGGTCAATTGAATAGAGTGAAGCCTGCCCACTGGCTGGGACAGAGGATTGAGCAGAAGCATCCATTTCAGAAATAAAATAAAGGCGAAGGTCCCAACTGCTGAGAGGCAAGAAATGTGAATAAACACCACCATCTCAAGAGATTTCGGCGCAATTTATAGGCAATGGCATTCTTTGAAAATGAGTCAAAGGTATCCATCCGGATATAATATAACTCTCCGATGACGGTACGATCCGGAACCTATATGTAGGTAAATCAATTTATATAAGTGCTTAACCGAGAACATGATTGGTGCAGCTAAATTGCTCTATCATGCTGTCACCAAGAACTTATGGAAATACGATAGTTTTGTCAGCATCAGCTTAGGCTTTTGTGGGTATTATAAATCAACAGCCTGGGAGCCTAAAAAGCTTCGGAAAACCAATACTTTTGGACGAACCAGGAGATTTTGACAGGAATGAGGCCATTCTTTTTAATATTGTACCATATCTCTTCTATAGGGTATGACAACTGTTTCTGAAGAAATCCGTCAATACATGAACATTGAGGAAATGGATGGTCGTTGCCTGTTGCCCCATATCAACAGTTTCCAATCCACTTTGCTGGTGTAGCTGGTTTCTTGCGATCCTCGCAACATGCAACTCCTTTCTGGACCCCGGACATAGCTATCTAAAATCCGTGATACTTCCGTTAATCTCCACAGGGCGCCCGCTGAATTCTATCGGGTTCTGTGAGAGAACCCCTGTCTATCCTTTTTTTTTTGTCCTGTATGTGTGTATGGACGCAAACCAGGGTAACTTCGGATAATTCGACCAGTTGTATTCGCCCGGGTTTAGGATTCTCCAGCAAGAACTTCACATTAGAAGGCGGATGTCCAGGGCAGAGCGGTCCAACAGTCGGTCCAAAAACGTATTAATAATATCAGGGATCAAAAAAAATAGCACACCAAATTAAGCTTAACTAACGAAGCTCAAAGTCCTCTTCCACGTGGAAACCAGCTTAGTCATTCATGTTGCTAGTGGTAGTATTGAAAAATTTGTCAAGGTGAATGTTCGTAATCTCTATCAACTCATATATCATTGTTAGCATAAAAGATCTAAGGTAGGAATAATCACAAATCGGCTAATTTTAACAAGGTATGAGGGAAGACAGAACGGGGGTGTCCAGATCTATCAACCATTACAATTCATCCTTGGAGCTGGTTGTTTCGCTCTTTGGAGTCTCCCTTATCTTCTGTGAAACCAAAGTTCCAGTGGTCTTAGGCTTCCCCTTCGACTTGGACTTCGATTTTTGGGTCTTTGCTTTATCTTTTCCACTGCTCTTCTTTTTGCCGCTTGACTTGGGTTTCCCGCTATGTGGCCGCCTCTGTTTCATTAGAATCGACGATAAAACCTTTTCAATTTCCTTAAGCTTAACATTGATATCTGCGACCGTGAGAGCGGGGGTTTCAGACTCGCTGAGTTTTTTCTGCTCTTCAATCTTGGCATCAAGCCAACTCGTAGTTGATTCAAGTAGCTTTGAAGCACTAGAAAGATCTTCGGGAGTGTAAAGCGAGTAGGAAAGAGTAGGTTTCACTGTGGGCGCAGATGCGGTGGAAGAAGATGGTTCGGACGAGAAATTATCATCGTCCAGGCTATCAGGGTCTTCAGATGGTGAAGTTGTAGGAGATGAGGTTGTAAAAGTGGTAGACGAGTCAGTATTCGCCGACCCAGGTGAGGGTGACTCGGTGGCAGCAGCTTCGAAAGCTGATAGAGAAGAGGAGAAAATTTCTTCTTCGGCTTTGATTTGAGACTCCATGATCTCTACTAGCATCTTCGCGCTATCAAGGCTACCTCTCAAAGCATCGATCTTCCGAGGCCGAATTGAACCCTCATTTCGTCGATCAAGTACTGGTTGAACAAAATCCTTCAAATCACGCAGCTTATCTTTTAGTTCTTTTATTCCCGCGCTGGAACCATCTTCATGAAGCCAGTCACCCGAAACAGCGATCTTATTTTCCAATTGCTTGAGGAAGTCTTTGGTGGTGGCCTTGGTGAATGTTTCGTCCTCGAGCCAGTCGCGAGCCTTGTAAATAAAACCTTCAAGCTCGTTAAAGGATTCCTCGCGGTGGATGCGAGAAAGGTCGGCAGCATCAAATGCAGCGAGGCGCTCTTGAATCCGCTTCATCTCTTCAGAAGTTATTGGTGGGATCCCTAAAACTGTGGAAGTGAAGCCAACTGAAATATATTCTACTCGAGTTTTGGTTTCTTTAGCAGCCTTATCAGTCTCCTTGGAGGAACTAGGCGAGGATGTTCCTATTGGAGGGGTGCTGTCACTAGACGTAGTGGATGCTGAGGAGGCATCCAGATCAATTGCTTCACCAGCCTCCTCTAAAGGCTCTTGGTCAGATTTCTTCGACCCAAGGCCAAAGAATTCCTTAACATCCTCAACGACTCCCTTCTTCTCGTTTTGTACTTCGCAGCTGACACTTCCACCTACAACTTCTGGGAGTCCATTGGCAGGATTCAGCCTGACAGAAATTTTGGTAGTGATGTTAACAGGAGCACAGCCAAATTCGTCTTTGAGCTTTGTGGAAGAAACAGTCAAGTTTGCGGTTTGAGCCTCAAGAATGGGAGCTTCGACTAGTTTACCGTTGCGAGTATATTGTTGAGAGAAATTAACGGTGAAATCCTCCAAGTTCTTCACTGTCAAATGCTTGAAAGCACCCATCTCAGAGCGAGGAGTGAAGAGATTCTGCTGCCGATCTTTTCCTCCAGACCTCCATCTCATATTGATAGAGTAGCCCGAGGTATCGTGTGTTCGAATCTCCTTGACTCGGAAGGATGGGTTGAGGGAGGCGGCCTTGAAAGCGGCGCCAAATACTGCAGCTTCATCGGCATTGACATTTGTTCTAATTTTACCATTGGTATAGACTTCGAGGGATTTCTTGACAAAAGGGGTTCGAGTAGCACCACCGTGCAGAATTACAGATTCAATGTCATCAATCGTAAGTTCTGCCACAGAAATCGCTTCAGCCAATGGAACAGTGACCTGTTGCATGTATTTTTGAGCGAGCTTTTCAAATTCGGGTCTGGTGAGGACGTATTTAAAGTTGATATCCTCTTGATAGAGATTCTCAAAGGAGACAGATGTTTCCGAGTTCGCGCTCAAAACTTGGCGAACCCGCTCAGAGTCTTTCCAAAGTTTCGCCATTGTTTTTCCATGAGCCTTAACTTGTGAGACAGTCACGTCCCCTAGTTTATTCGTAGAGATAAACTTCTCGACCATATCATCGACGATCAGTTGGTTAAGTAAATCACCACCCAAAGTCTTATCCCAGGCTGTTCCAACAACATGTATCTCCTGGATGGTTTTATTGAATTTTCCAACGTCCTTGACAGTTCGGCCTTGGAATTTGAGAACGCTTGCGCTGGTAGACCCAGCACCCATGTCAAAAATAACATGATACTCGGGTTCCTTTCCATCGGAGATATTGGGGAACGTACGAGAAGTGGCATAGTTGATACCAACGGCCAGGCCATCACTAACCATGGAGACAATATTCAGGCCAGCTAATTCTGCAGCCAACTCCACGCAGCGCTTTTCCTCGGCGGTATAAAATGGCGGAAACGTAATGGCAACCTTTTTAATGTTAGTTCCCTTGCCACCCAATGCCTCTGCATTCGCTTTGATCTGTTTCAATTGCATTGACAGCAATTCTTCGACTAGGAATGGTTCCTTGCCATCATCCGCTCCCACTTTACTGCTCTTGAATCCAACGGTCCCTCGACCATTACTTGCAGCTTCGATATTCAGCGCAGGGTAACGCTGCCTGTACATCTCAACTAGGTTTTCATCATCTAATCCAGAGCCTTGAACCCCAGTATCAATGGGAACCCCAAGCAATGTTTTCAGGTTGGCGTAAACATCATCAGGGAATCTGGCAGCGAGTGAACTTGCATCACCACCATAAAATCGTTCGGGGAATGCAGGGCTAGATTCACGAGCAGGTTTAAATGCTACGACAGCAGCTTCCTTTCTCTTTGAATCTTTGGTCAAAACTATCTCGAGTGGTATTCCAGGCTTGACAAGAACCGCCTTTATGTATTCGGTTCCAAGATCAATTCCAATGACACCGGAGCCAACAGATGCTGCAGCGACTGCGGGGACGGTGGCGAAGAAAATAGAGACCAGAGCTGCCGTACATATTAACGAGAAAAGAGACGCTCTCTTCCCAGTTATTTGCCGGCCGAATATCGCCATTGTGAAGTAGTTGTGAAGTAGGTTTCACAGAATAAGGTGATTTCGAGTTTACAGATCTGGATCTAAGAAGGAACTTCGGGTTAGTAACGTCCTTAAAGACGATCTCTCGGAATGGTGGAATGAAGGCCCGTACCTTTGAGAAGAAGAAAAAAAGACATATATACAATAAGTCAGAGCTTTGCTGACATCAGTAGTTTTGTCACCTGCTTCATGAAAGGAAAAAAAGGAAGCTGTAGCAGAGAGTTAACAGTTGGCCAGATAAATAGTGGTGGGCGAACTAGATGTTGCTTTCAAATCACAACGAGAAACCAGCGCCACTGGGGCGAGTAACAAATAGAAGAGAACACGTCTATGCTATCAGTTGGAGCCTCGAAGAAGATATATTTGTAGAAAAAGCTGCCTTGACCGCGAATGGCTGCGAAGAAGATGAAGAATCCGCGATGAGGACACTTTGGCATGATATAAAACCGCTTTAGGGACTCGAAGAAAAGACAAACATTCCTCTTTCGACATGTTTGCACATCTATCTTGGCAGATAGTTATCACGTGGATATCTTCACGGAATATTATTTATCCTTTTTAAGCTTATATAAGCAGTATTGTCTTGGCATGAGTTTCGTTGATATCAGTCGATGAGAGAAATTCATGGTGGAAAAGAGAAGTTTACTCAAGAGACCTTTATTATGGAATCAAGTTAGTGGTTGATGGCTTGTTCCCCTACTCCCATTCTAGATAAACGAGCATTTATCCCAATTATAGCTGACTTCGATGTGCAGCAGTCACCCTTTCACAGGCCTTGATAGGGAAGGCTGCAACGTAATTCCTTGAGAACTTGCATACAATAAATATGTGATCTTGAGAGACCTACTATCATCAGAGGATTGATCTCCTTATGCTACATAGCAGCTGTCACTAAGCAGCCCAATTTGCATCTTGTCGGACAATATGAGTGAATGAAACGGTGACTCCCCGGACACGAGGGACATTGCACAGGTACTATTAGTGACTGCTGCTGTCCCTGGACACAGACAACAGTATATTTACAATATGCTTGCCTGGGTGTTGGCCTTCTGGACGAGTTTATTGGCCAGCACTATCGATTGTGAAAAGAACGTGTGTAATGTGATTCAAATTGTTGCCCTCCCGTATCACACAGATATCTTCGCCTTACTTCGTACGATCAATTAGCAGGGAAATACTGCGAGGAACAGAGTTATCCGCGCAGTCCAGGACCGTCATTTGCACCCGCCGTCCTCCCGAGGAGGAGAGCATTGCTCGGTTTGCAGGCAAACTCCCCACCTCTTGGGGAAAGTGGTACATACATACGTATCATTTTAGTGGCGAATAGTACGTGGTATGATACGATGTGATATGCAGTACAATCGGTGGCTCCATGTAAGCCATTACCCAAAACTAAGTCAGACTCTAAATATCGGAGTATAAACCAAGGTTGGTTCTTGCATGATGCACGCAGCGTTCGAAGGTAGCAAGGAGGTTCCATCTCTCCTTCATTTTACAACCTTGGACCTTAAACCGAACAAGTGCGGGTTAGAACTTGCGACGGCACTTTACTTACTACATACTATGTAGTACGATATGCCAGACGAAAGCTGTTATGCATTTATCCATTAAAGAGGATAGATTTTTAAGTATGTCCATCGTTCAGAATTAACTATTTATTATGTAAACTAAAAAAGGGGGGCAGGTCAACAGGGATATTCCCTGCACCTGTAACCTTTGCAACTTCGACCTGTAGATAACTCCAAATTGAGGGAAAGGATAGGTAGTAAAACTTATTCCAATTATTTGTCACTCTACCATATCCTTCCCCAACTACTGCTGTCAATTATGAAATTAAAATTATAACGGCCAAGTGGGAGGCATGTATATGGGAAAGAAAGGAGTGTCGGGTCAATTAGAATAGAAAGGAAAAGAAATTAACATAAAGAATTAGTGAAACAACATGGCTCATGCCAGTATCATAGCAACTCCAATAGCCATCAGAGCAGCGAGTCCAGTGTTCTTGGTACGGCTAGCCATACCAGTGTATGTTGGAGGTGAAACTGGAGTTGGGCTGGTTGGGCTGGGCTGCTCAGTAGGGTAGGTGCCACCTGGGGAGCTTTCCGATGGTGGTGAAGGAGGAGCACCGGTCCCAGTTGGGGATGGGTAGGATGGGGGAAGTGATGGAGTTGGTTCAGCAGTCTCCGTAGTCTCTGGGGGCGGGGATGGGTAGCTTGGTGGCTGGCTTTCAGATGGCTGCTGAGGAACGGATTCAGTTGGATTAACAGTGCCTGTAGTTTCCGATGGGATTGGAGTCTCTGAGGATTGTGACGGGTAAGATGGTGGAACAGTAGACTCTTCTGGTGGGGGCACAACAGTAGTTTCTGGTGGGGGAACAACAGTAGACTCTTCTGGCGGGGGCACAACAGTAGACTCTTCTGGCGGGGGCACAACAGTAGTTTCTGGTGGGGGAACAACGGTAGGTCCCGGTGGTGGCGATGGGATACCAGTGCCAGTTGGGTATGGGGGGTTCTCTGTTGATGGGCTCTCTGGTGGAGGAGTACCAGTTGGGGTAAGCGTAATCACAGTCTCAGACGTAGTAATGGTAGTGAAAGTCAAAGTCTGAGTCTCGGTGCTGGTAACGGTAAGAGTCTCGGATCCGCTGGTTTGGGTCATTGTGGTCTCTGTATTGTGTCAGTCTTTATGATACTGTTTGAAAATAGGGATATAGGTGTTTTCAATTACCTGGGCAGGTGGTGCTGGTGTAAGTCTCCGTGATAGTCATAGTGGAGGTAGAGCAGGGTACGCTTGAGGTTGGAACTGGAGTCTCGCTGGTCTCGGTGGTCTGAGTTGGGTAGCCGGTACCAGTAGTCTCTGTTGGAACGGGAGTCTCGCTGGTCTCACAAGGCGTGGTCTCAGTGCTCTGAGTCGGGTAGCCGGTACCAGTAGTCTCTGTTGGAACGGGAGTCTCGCTGGTCTCACAAGGCGTGGTCTCAGTGCTCTGAGTCGGGTAGCCGGTGCCAGTAGTCTCTGTTGGAGCTGGAGTCTCGCTGGTCTCACAAGGCGTGGTCTCAGTGCTCTGAGTCGGGTAGCCGGTGCCAGTAGTCTCTGTTGGAGCTGGAGTCTCGCTGGTCTCGCATGGCGTGGTCTCGGTGGTTTGAGTTGGGTAGCCGGTTCCAGTAGTCTCAGTGCAAGTAGAGCAGGTTGGAACTGGAGTCTCGCTAGTCTCGCAAGGCGTGGTCTCGGTGGTCTGAGTTGGGTAGCCGGTACCAGTAGTCTCTGTTGGAACGGGAGTCTCGCTGGTCTCGCAAGGCGTGGTCTCGGTGGTCTGAGTCGGGTAGCCGGTGCCAGTAGTCTCAGTGCAAGTAGAGCAGGTTGGAACTGGAGTCTCGCTAGTCTCGCAAGGCGTGGTCTCGGTGGTCTGAGTCGGATAGCCGGTGCCAGTAGTCTCAGTGCAAGTAGAGCAGGTTGGAACTGGAGTCTCGCTAGTCTCGCATGGCGTAGTCTCCGTTGGGATTGGAGTCTCGGTCTCGCATGGCGTAGTCTCTGGTGGCGTTGGAATAGGATAGCTTGGGAATGTAATTATAGGAGCATAGGTTGGGACGCTCTCCGTGGGCTCCTGAGGCTCACATGGCTCACCCGGCTCACATGGCTCTCCTGGCTCTCCAGGTTCACATGGCTCACCCGGCTCACATGGCTCTCCAGGCTCACATGGCTCTCCTGGCTCTCCAGGCTCTCCTGGCTCTCCGGGCTCTCCGGGCTCTCCTGGTTCACCTGGTTCACCTGGCTCACATGGCTCACATGGCTCTCCAGGCTCTCCAGGCTCTCCAGGCTCCCCAGGCTCCCCAGGCTCCCCAGGCTCTCCAGGCTCTCCAGGCTCTCCAGGCCAACCTGGCTCACCCGGCTCTCCTGGCTCTCCTGGCTCACAAGGCTCACCCGGTTCACCCGGCTCACCTGGCCAACCTGGCCAACCTGGCTCGCCTGGCCAGTTTCCCTGAACAGGCATGTTGCCGCCGGGAGCCCCTTCAAATTCATTGCGCTTGATGGCGGCGCCAAAGACGGCAGACGCCAATGGCAACCAGACAAGAAACGTCTTCATCTTGAACAATCACAGCAATGAAGTGTATGTTGGAAACTTTTCAATTGATGCGTGGACAAACAAATAGTAACGAAAGAAGTAAATTAAAGGAACCGTAGCGAAGGAGTTCCTTAATTTAGTCGAATACGTTTTCCACGACACCAGGATATAAGGAAAAGCGAAGAAGAGGAAGATGCTGGGGCACCGTAGGGCTTATATGTTCCGGCGGATGTCCCCCTCCGAAGTATGTATGATGAATCTCGCTGGGCCTCGATAAAACACAACCATGGGTAACTCGATAAAAACAAGGTTTCCAGTATTACCCATGTCGAAGCCGCAGCTGGAAAAAGGAGAAAAAAGAAAAAGTGGACCGAAATATAGAGTGTGTTACCGAAATAACTGCAAGGGAGACCTGACAGTGTACGGTTGCATCACGCAAATCAGTAAGAGTATCTCTGGTTCAAGAGAGATTGCAAGGATCAAGTGTCCTTGTGCATCCTCATCCCCGAGGCTTAACTTTCCCACCCTTTCAAAGTTCCCATTTTCCTGTATTGTACCTTAATTAGCAGAAGTCTAACGGTCATTGGCTTTTGCGCTGATGTTTATACTCACCAACACAGACAACTCACTGATAAAAAGCCCCAGCTGATCAATATAAGTGAGCCTTCTCATTAAGAATATCCAAAGAGTGAAAGGTTCACAACTCTCGGAACCATACAATTGATCTCTTTATCGTATATTATTCAGCAAGCAGTAGAGTCGAAACAGTCATCCTTGGAGGTTTTCTGGTCAAGGCCACTATGGTGGAGTTGTAAAAAATTTCTGTCCAACTGCCACGTTAATGAGAGGCAAAATGCCCTTCCGGTACTCCGTACTCAGTGGCCAGTATTCTTAGCTAGAATATGTGGTGCGAATGCAACCAATTCGTAGAACATTCAAACATGCATGCATGTCCCTTTGAGGGAAGATCCCCCCCTCAGGCGCCTCGTCCAGTCCAGTGGTAGGGTTTGCCCAGGAAAGCCGGGAATATTATGATGAGTGGATTTATTTATTCATTTTCGTTGTTGCTGTTGCTTAATGCCCAGTCGTGGGGGACCAGCTGTGTTGACCGGAAGGGGCCCAGACGCAGGGCTTGAGCATGAACAGACAACTCCATGGTGGTGACTGTGATGATCCAATATATCGGCGTGAGCGCTGGAAGATCAAGTCTGGTGCTCGATGTTTCAAAAACGTAAGAGCCAAAGTAGAGCAGTTAGTTAACCCGCCATTATGTAAGGCCCGCAAGTGGAACTCTCATCCGCTACAACAACCCAGAATCTGTGGCTGAAGAGAATGCCATCGCGATACCTGGCGCACCGGACTGCGGCACCCTTCGATTTCAGGTCGAACTGGATGGAAATCTCCGGTCGAATAACTGGTAAGTAGTTATGTTGAACCAGGATTCCTCGGATTCAAAATAGGACTCCGCTGTCAGTGCCATGGTGAGCCTCGGCTAGCTGGAATGGTCTGTTTGTACATACATACGGAGTACTGGACAGACCAGGATACGTATCATATAAGAATACACCCCGATAATATGTGTGATAATACGGGGTGACGGGGATAGGCGATACCGCCGCTATCTGTACAACGCCTAATACAAGCTGGTGGCTAGTTACATCGGACTGGATCGTAGGGAGAGGCACAGTGTGGCCCTGGCTGGGCCGCTTGCCTATGCCTTGAGCAACATCTGACCACCCGTAAGTGAATTATTGGGGAATAGCCTTGTTATTCGATATCTGAAAAGAGACAATCACCAAGGCGCCCCCCATTTTGGCCAGCTCGATGAAGCGAGGGGTTACCCCCATCAGCTCGAGCGCAGGAGTATTGACTCTTCGATGGGATGGGGGAGCTTGCTGCCTTTCCTGGCCCTCAGATTTTACTCCGTCCAAGCGTGATACCGCAAGCTAACTACCTTGGAGATCATATCCACAGCGGATTTTTGAGCTATACATAGTAAGTCATCATTGGATCGTCAAGGTCTGTGTTATACATAAAAAAACACGAAGGACAAAGTTGGATGTACAAAGTACCAGCTTGGGAAGAAACAACCAGCTTGTTCTGCGGCCCAAATCTACATATATTCACGTACCTCTGTCGATGCAGGACGTCAACTTGGACATCGCACAATAGCCTTGCGGCAAGACAACTGTCACCCCCAGGCTGCATCGGAATATCCAATCCCGCAGCACAGGTATATGTCAATGGCAAGCGTTACCAGAAGGTTGCTGCAAGTGGCAAAGCCTGATTTTCAATCTCATATGTGAGACAAACCTGTTCTTCTCGAATGCTTTTTTATCCAGCCACGAGAAACAACCCTTTTTTGAAGTCGAGGAGGGAAAACAGACCTCGATTGAGGCATTGGAATCCCGGTGCTATTGAGGGCTTTTCGACCTGGCACTCTTCTGTGCGGCGAGTGCAGACTCACAATGTGACACTATCAGCATCGGTGTGCCTGCCCGCTCCGAAGAAGCCAGTAACATCTGCTCCTTGGCTGGCACTTTACTTTTTTCTCTCTCGGCCTCATTATTTATCTATTTCATTGCTGGATTCATTTTGTCCAACGTCGGACCGATTACGGGATAGTCGGATTGCATGCTGGGCCGTGGAATTGTCTAACCGACACAAGCACTGCAGGTAACTTGCATCCAGGGCGAAAACTGTACATCTCGACTGATTTCTCAGGGTTCGTTGAACAAATTGTTGAAATCGTATGTTCTACTCTGCACGGAATAACCGTACGGAGTATACAGAATCACTATATAATTGTGGTTATATCCGGGCGAAAGGTACTTTTTTTTTGGTGGAGATATTCTGGCTTGAGCTATGGGACTGGCACGATGCTGCGAATAAAATTTAAAACATAAAAGATTCGCGATTATGGCGGACTGGATCGCTTATCAGGAGTCTCTTACGGGCTGGTGCCTTTTTTTTTTTTTTTTATAAAGTTGGCAAATAAGGAGAAGTTGCAAAAGAGAGATTCCACGGAGCGAGCAGAAAAGACCGTGGCCATAATGTAAATGCGGACGACCGGAATAAAAGCCCGGCGAAAACCCTAGACTTGGGCTTTGCATCCAGATGACACTTTAACTACCCCTTGTTCTGGTGCGTAAATACTGTAATTCCGGAAGCAACTGGTCGAGGGCACCAGTACCCGCTGCGTACATACAGAGTAGGATTGCCGTCACATCTGGGCGGCGGTAGAGGTCGTCTGTGACTGTCGCCATCACACACGCCTCCTCCAAGGATTTTCTTTGCGGCGTCATCGAAGCTTGCTGAGGTCGGGAGTAGGTGGAGAGTGTTCAGCGTTGGTTGATCTTTTTTTTTCTTCAAGAATTATTAACTAAGTTAATCAATACCAACGAATAGTTACCAGATTAATCGTCGCCAGAATCAGAGTCGCTCCGCCACCCGTCGATATAAGCCTCTGATAGTGTGGTGAGGCTATTTGATAATTCTTCTCGCTGGTCGAACGGAACATGGATCCCCACCGACCGCTGCAGGTCCTTGAGATACCCGCCCGCTTGTGAGGATACAGATAGCGCCGCATGAACTTTGAGTGTTGACCCTGGCGGCCCCTGGTCACTCACCAGGTCGCGGGGGAAGGAGTCGAGTATTGGGTATTCGAGCGATGAATCGACGCTAACAGCTATTTTAATACCGTTTCAAAAATGTCCGGGACCCTCGTCTCCCCGCAAGGGGGTTCTTGTTCTTGAAGACTTACCTTCTCGTGTTCATGGATGGCCCTGTGTGTTTTGAAGCCGCTGGGGAATCAGATGTGTCGGTCATGGAGTCCCGCCAAACTGACAGCTGCTGAAACACCTGCGCGTCATGGTTTGCTACAAGGGCGTGTGGAGAGAGTTGAATGTCAAATTGTTTCGGCTGTTCTTGAGACCCGTCATCGTCCCAGTGGTTCGTTATAGTTCTAGGTGCGCCCTGCGATGTCTTCCTTTCGTCCGTGATCAGGCTTGCGCCGATGGTGGACTGAAGGCTGTATATGTTCCGCGAATCGCTGGAAGCCATTTCCCACAGGTCCAATGCTTCACGTCCTCGCAGCCGAGCGGGAAGGCTAACGCTTTCCAACACCAATGATATCAAGGCTGATGAATACCAAATATGGTGCAGGTCCGATCTGACATAGTGTGGCGTCCTGGTTGGCAGGGCCGCGATCGGGATGAAAGCTGTGACTTGAGAACACATTTCACTCAGAGACCTTGCCATATTTGCGGAGGCAAGCCTTCGCTTCTCCTATACGTCCTAAATTAGAGAAACAACGAACCCCCTGAAGAGATATGAAACAGGAACGGCTAACTTACTCTTTGGGGGTCTGATGAACCGTTTATGGCCCATGTCCAGATACTCTTGCCTCCATACTCATCCTTTAGCCTGTCAACATAGCTTGCCGCGAAACCACCCCATGCATCGTCAGTCCCGGAGAAAATTTGAATTCCCTTTAACTGGTCACATTCTTCTGCAAACGGCCGTAGATCACGGTCCAATAGATCATGCTCTCCATCCAACTCAGAGAATAGAGACTGCCCCCTGGACCAGTCCTCAAATGGCACCAATTGAGAGCCAAGGTCATATTCGTTTATCTGCTGGATAGATCGCGGATTGTAAAATACACGGTTAAAGTCGGACCAATATCTGACAGTTTCCGGTGTCAGCTCAGGGGCTGGGAGCCCCATATCCAGACATCTCTGATATTCACCTTGTGGTATCTTTGGCTGTTGTTGCAAGACCCCGCTCGTGTCCCTGTGTTCTCAGTCCATTAGAGCAGAAATTCTAGAAGGCCAAATGAAAACCTCGTCTGGGCTCGTATGCATAGTTCTCACCAGAGTGCACTGTCTAATCCGGGCTGGTTTTCTTCAAGTTGATACAGAGCATTGTATTTGCGTAGAGTACCAAAACCACCCTTGAGGTCGTATATGAGTGTGCGCGGGGTGAAGGTCTCTGTGCCATCAGCTCCTATGCCCCCTCTAAAATGAATATCGTGGTTCACAGGCGACTCTTCATTCTCTGAATATGTAAAGTAGGATTCCTGATAGCTATTAGCCTGCCGGTCAATCAGTCGCGGGGTCATGGACAATAATATACTTGGACATTCCAGAAGTGAGTAGCCACATAATTACTGTGCCGGCCGAGCTGGAGAGTAATAATCTCATGCATTCTCTATCTACTTCCTCGCTTTCCTGGGAAAACTGTAAGCTATATAGGAATGATAAGAAAAATGAGCTGACGTTGCGATCTTTGATTGTGTGGGGAGATATCCTTGCTGTATAAAAAATTATTTGCTCGTGATATCTCGTCGTGATGGAGTCGTTACTTCAGGCGTATCCAACTTTACAAGATATGTCACCATAGCATCGAGCAGAGGAAGATGGGACTGTCAACGCCTCAATCTCTGTTCTCGTCATATCAAAAACTGATTCTTCTTCTGTTCGCTCAGATTTGATGTATATAAACACGTGACACTCCTATGTAGATGATATATCGAAAGCCTTCACCACCTTTAGTCACAATAAAATTTGGATCATCATCCGTATTATACGCACTGCTCCACATGCTATGGATTGAGAGATTCTTTGCAGCGGTTGTATTCGTGTAAAGAGTTGTAGACGAAAAGATATATTCGTGAAGACTTATATAATTTATCCGTATAAATTGATATTTCATGTCACAGAGTTTTGTGGATTTATCTATCCGCATGCCAGATGAGTTTTCTTTAATTTTGGTAGCGGACAATTAAATTATGGGATAAATAAGTCCGTCATGAGCGGCTGCGTTTCTTTTCGACTCTGCTGTGGACTTACGTTATTGCTAGAAACGCTGCAGAAGATTTATTTCTGGATAGCCGTCATTTGTTGGACAGTAGAATGGCACCATTCCTGTACCACTTCCTGCCCCTAGAAGCCGGTATAGCCTAGTAGAAAAGGATAGATTCTTGGGGGTGGAAGGTTTACATGGGGTAAATGTACCAGTTTTAGATAGGTAAATTCTTGTCAAAGGGCGATATCACTTGAAGTAGTGGAGGGTAACAGAAAGCCTAGGGAAACCCCCAAGATAGAAGATTCCCGACATGCTCTGATGATATTAGCAATCGACCAAGCTCGAAACTTCAAAACGGATAATTTTCTCCGCTTCTGGAGAGATGCCGGCTCGTCATCTAGGAGAAGCTCTTTTTCACAGGATCTAGAATGGTGTTAATGACGGACTAGCGGCAAGAATATACCTCAATGAGCCCATGGTCTCGGACTATCCCGACCCGGTTATCAGTATATTGGTTGCGGCTATGAGCTGCAAGGTCTATTTCGACATCTAACGTTACCACCATCTTTGTATTTAGGCCTTTGGTAACATTTGTGGATGGTGGTATGGGAAGAATTGTTGAATGCTATATGTCGGCATATCAATGCCCTTGTACATCGGAATTTTATTGTTGCCTGACCACTGAACAGCCGGTTTTGGATAAAACCTGGCGGCATATCGCCGAGCATATAGTCGAAGGGGGAATAATTCCCTAAATGCTGTTAGCGAGTCTGGTAAAAGTCATAGGCGGCCGACGAATTGGATGGCGTTGATGCAAACTTTTCGGTTTTCACTCGTCAAGCCCAATGTATCCCATAATACCAAAGGCCGAATGACATCAATGGCGTAATGGTGGAGAGAGGTTATGATAGTCATATAATATTTTTAGGGAGAAGAACGTAGGTTGGGGCCGAGAGCTCGGCCAGATGATAAGATTACTATAGTAATCCTTAGGATGGGTGTATATACCTTTTTTGTAGTAGGCAATAACAGAAGAACCCAGGTGTAGTTAATACCGAACCAAAGAAGGGGTATAGACAAGCCCACAAGGTCCCTGCGGTGTCACCATAAAGGGGCTGCTAAAAACTGGTACTCTTCAGAACAAATTAACTGCGATAAATGAAAATGCAGACATAACGAGTTCTTGTTGATGTAGAATAGGAAGAAATAGGCTAATAGCATGAGAAGTAACTGATTAGGACTCATCGCGAGTATAAATCATGACATAAGCATTACATAATACGCGTTGCTCTGAGCGACGAACTTTTCTTTTTACGGAAATAAACAAGGATACGAAGAAGAAACACACACAGCGACACAGACAGACGGACAGACAAGCTAGATATTGCTTCCGTGGTTAGAAGGACGGCATCTTATTATCGAACCGGGTTTTCTCAGGGATATGACGGTAGAGCCAATGGAGCCACCGTCGCGAAAGTACCCTCAGAATGGGGGTTCTCCTCTCCATCCACTGTCACCGCGACGCATGAACCAGCAAACGATGAGCAGAGCATCACCAGCCCCGTCAGATCTAGCATATCTGCAATCCAAGTCAGACAGACACTCAGTCGATGTGCAGTCAAAGGTCGCCTTTTTAAACCGGCTGGCAAGCCCAAGCCCTAGCAGCCCAGCACCGCTGCCGCCATCGACGACCACACATGCGGCCTTGCAGCGAGCAATCCTGGGCCGAGAAGAAGCTGAGGAAGCCTTGAAGGCGACAACCGAAGAGTTGAATGAAGCTAGGCAGCGAGAACGACGAGTTAGTGAGCGGTTGGAGTCGTTACTGGGAGAACTGCACACGTTCAAAGAACGACAGTCACAGGAGCGGGCTTTGTTCGAGAAGGAGATTCGACGCGCAAGAAAAGAGGCGTTTCGTGCCAGCTCCAACCTCGTCAAGGCGCAAGAAGAGTTGAAGTCTTCTCGCGGAGAGATCAAAGGACTAAAGGATGAGGTCAGGATGGAACGAGAAGCCAAGGAGAAGGCCAAACAAGAGGCATTTGAACGTGCATACACTCTGGCTGGCCTGACTGAGGAAAATGAAGTGCTAAAGGAGCGGATCAGAGCCATTGAGACGGATAACCAGTCAGACATCCTCGAGGCACGAGCAGAGGTGATGCGGGGTGAAACACCGAGCAGCAGGCTCCGGAAATCCAGCATAAACCCCATGTCATGGAGCCCAGCGTCTCGAGGGAAGAAGCGTGACCATCCTGAATCCAGGGAGCAGATGTCACCGATCCGAAAGAAGAATGTTCAACAGCAAGTTGACTTCCGGTCCAGCCTGAAGTCACCCACAAAACTGATGCCAGGCCGTGAATTGGTACCATTTGAGCATGAAGAAGAGCCCTTGAAGCTTATTAATAAGGAAAGGGAGATAATACAGGAACTTGAAGAGGACCTACGATGGGAAAAGCTAATGCGAAGACGTGCAGAGGATATGATTGACTTCTTGAAACTAGAATGCCAATTCAAGAGATGTTCCTGCCGCATTGCAGAACGCCAGGGCGTTAAATATGTCCACGATCTCGACTGGGAGAGAATATGCCCAGCTGAGGAGCAAGAGAAGAAATCAGCTGCGAAGATACCCAGCCCGCTACCTGCCAGGGAACCATCGCCACAGCCACAAATAGCTCAAGAGTCTATCGCCCCAGAGAGCGCCGATATGGATACCCCTGACGCTGCTCCGGCTAGTGATGATCTTCTCCCTGAACCAACCGTGGTTTTTTGCCCGGATACCGGGACTTTCAAAGCAATTCCATCCCCCGTACGCAAGGCGGAGTCAGTAAAATCTGAACAGTCAAGCAGCCGTCCTCCACCCAACCCTGCAGAACCACAACCGAAACCAAGATGGTCACTCCAAGATGACCCTATCCAGGCGCCAAATCCAGTTGTACTGAGGAAGAGAAGCCAGGAACTGCCATCAATTGCTCCATTGGAAACCTCGCATTCTCCACCACCCCCACGGCCACGTATGCAGGAACAGCCCGTTGATATAAACCCTCGAAAACGATATGTGACGCCTCTCCCTCTGGATCAACGCCAGCGTCAGCACAACACTAACGCTGAAATCAAAACCATAACAACTACTAAGACCGTCCCTCTTAACCCCGAAAAACCCTCCACTGATCCATCAGCTAAGCTCCCAGGAACTCCCATCAGCCGTGAGGAGGCTCTGGCACAGATCAGGGCAAGACGTGATCGCACACAAAGTGCGTTGAAACGGTCTGCCAGCGCGAATGATGCCAGTCATCGTCCCCGTACCATGAGCAGGGCAACAACTCCCAGTAATGGAGTAAGAAGCCTGTCAAGAGCAGAGAGTATTGCCAGCCGCACTAAAGCAGGTCGACGCGGATTTTCCTCCTCTAGCCACGGATACTAGGGCCCTCGATATAAATAGCTCTAATAACCAGAGGTCACAGCCGCCAACGACCCTGTTTCGATGTTTTCTAATCTTCCATCACCCATACGCCGGCAGTTTTATATGCTTAAACTATTACCCTTTTAATGATTTGGTATTGATGTGCTTTTCGGCTTCATAGCGTTGCATTCTCCAGCCGCTCCCTTTTTTATGATGATAATGCATATGCCATGACCTTTTTCCATTGAACCCTTTTTTCCATCTAGCGTTTCAACTTTTGTCTGGACAAAATTGGAGTGTATGTTAGTATATGAGGTTTTTTGATAGGTGTGGTTTTATCTATCATATATATACGTTTATAAAGCTGGCTCTAGTATCTCCGTAGACGTATATATACACTATCTATACCTTCAATTAGAATCGAAAAAACAAAGTACTATGAAGGAACCTTAGGAAGTGATCTGTATAACATAAACCCAAAGAATACAGGAATGGCCATTTATATAATTCGCACACCACAACACTGGATATGAGACCCCTCGACCTGTGCCTTTCGCCCCCACCAGACATTCACCAGCTCCACGACGAAGACTTTATCCGCATGGCTCCAGGCATCAAGACCCATGTTGGTAATATCGGAGGAGGTGATGGTGATGACTTCGTCTTCATCCGGCATACGGAGTAGCGGCTGGTCATCGTGCTCACCGACGAGGGTAGACGAATTACCTTCGCCATCTTCTTCGCCTTCATCATCACGGTAGCGGCGGACGGAAGATGCCTCGCTCGAGTTGCAGTACTCCGGTGTCTCATTGGGATCTTCTGTCTGGCGGGTAATGATGTCGAATAGGATGGTGAATATCTGAGTGGTTAGTCGTCGGAAGTATGTTATTATGGCAATTTCTTGGGATATGTTGTTTGTATCTGGTATAACCATGGATTCTCGGCGGTAGAGTGGGCGTGTGTTTGAAGAAGGGTCGTGATCATCTACCGCTTCGGTATTGTTATTGTTTACCTGGAGAAGCTCCGCGTCCTGCTCTGCTTCTTCATCTGCGTGACCTGCGCCCTTTTCTCCAGCGGACGCCCACCATATGAATGATGTATATGCTAGTAAAGGCCAGGAAATCGGCTCAACAAGGGAGTTTGATGAGAAGGTAGACATGTTATCTGACTCTTCTCTGTCTGGACCAGATATTTCGCCTAGTCGGAATAACTCTTTCAGTCCATCTCGTAGTGTTATGAATCGACGGGTATCTCGTTGTGTTGCTTTTATGGGCGTGGACTTTGCCTTTGGATCTCTGTGCTGGCCTGCAGCAGTGGGAGGGGATACGGACAGTTTAGGGTATATTTTTTCGGGTGCTTGCCTTGTGTAGTCGGGTGGGAGGTTTACGAGAATATCGTAGAGCTCTGGTCTCAGTCCGAGGACACGATCACTGGAGCATGCTATCCAGCATGGGTCAGCAGTGTTGAAGAGTGCAGACAGGTGTGCCATGTCATGAATGCCGATGTTGAATAACGGCCGTGGTCTAAGGCTAGGGATATCTTTGGTCGAAGGGAGAAGAGATAGTAAGTTGTGAGGGAGAGAGGACAATAGGGATAAATTATATACTATTAAAAATCAGCCCGTTGCTTCGCATACTCTGGACACAAGGTACGTACTAAAATTACATGACGTCTCAACCGGAGCGTCACCAAGGAAGACGATGCGTTTCCGTAAGAGAGCCGCTCGATACAAGGGAAATATCAAGGGCCCGAACGAATCTAGAAAGTCCGGCAGCGTCAACGCAGGATGGTATGATGGCAAGATGTGATTTGAGATGAGTGCTGTAGCATCACTCAGAGCCCGCTGTCGACGTTTCGCAGGTGCAGGTGCGGGTTTAGCATGGGACATCGAGTCCAGGGGGGAGTCTGGCGGCGAGTTGACCTCGCTCTCTCTCAATTGGTACTTTTCCCAATATTCAGTCAAGGGCTGGGTGTTGTCCGGGTCCGCTGCAAGTTGTCTATCAGGAGGTGGTTAGCAAGGAGATGTATATCAACGCTATGGACCTGAGAGTATATATATCCCATACACAGCCAGGTCCTTGAGTCCAGCAGCGTGTTTCCAGCTTCTCCCAAGTCTGCCATGGCTCAGAGGCGCGAGTATTCCCACAGAGAGCATGATCGCATTGCGCTCTGCCTCCCCCGCGGGCTCGTTGACGAAGGCGCTTAGACCGGCATATTGATCGTGGACAAAGTAACTATTTCGTATAAGCATTCAACTGGCAACGTATTCTTATCAGGAGACGAGTCAACGTACACCAGATCCTCCTTGACGTTGTGTGCGCCTGATGGTAGAGACTTGAATTCCACCGCATTCTCCAGTACAACTACACAACCGTCAGCCCTGTTCCTAATAGTGATATGGAGGATAGCATACTCTCTGAGCGAGTCTTCTTCCAGGCAATCGTATATCTACAGAAACAGCCTCCGCGATTAGCCAGATGAAGCAGAAGAAGCCAAAGAAGCATCATGGAGCAGAGGGACCTACCCAGCTCTGATGTCGAAGCGGATGAGAAACAGCGCCGCGATGCCCGGAGGAGCGCCTGAAGAGTCAAAGGCCAGGTCCATCCTCGCCGGTCTGCTATCTAACGGCATCGCTCAGCGTCGCTCAGAGCGAACTGAAGGTGGCTGAAGTCGTAAAGTCCTGATGTTCGTCTCTTTTCTACTTCCACCACCAAATGACCACGCAGAAGTTTTTTCTCTTTTTCCCCCTTTTTTCAAAACATCTTCATCTTCAACTCTTCACGACATCAACGCTTTGCGGGAGGAGGACAACCAGAGAAGTAACGGGAGAGACGAGAGAGTCACCATGGAGCCTGCACACCCATACTACCCGCTGGACGCCAAAGTGATCGGATATCTGGCCAACGACTGGGACGTCCCGACACTGGTATGCGCCTTTCTCGGAGGATGGGGAGCTCTGCTTCTCCTGACGCTGGCGGTTGTATCAATTGCTCGTCCTAGTCTGAAGGCGGGCGACAAGATTGCCATCCTGTGGTTTGTCCTGAGTGAGTCTGCATATATATACATACCCTGTTTGCGCGAGCTATGCTAACAGGCTGACAGGCGGAAGCATCCATTTCTTCTTCGAAGGATATTTCGTATATAACCACACTCGCATGGCGCCCGCGCAGGACTTCTTTGGCCAGCTATGGAAGGAATACTCTCTCTCGGACTCGCGGTATCTTACCTCTGACCCGTTTGTGCTGTGCATGGAGACCATCACCGCGGTGAGTCCTTCCTTACCCCTATATACACACATATATCTACATAAGTAATCAAGCTGATATGGATGACAGGTCTGCTGGGGGCCGCTGTGCTTCCTCCTTGCATATCTCATCACCGTCGACCATCCTCTGCGCCATTCCTTCCAGGTGATCGTCTCCCTGGGCCAGATATACGGAGACGTCCTCTACTATGCCACCAGCATGTTTGACCACTATTTCCACCAGATCAGCTACTGCCGGCCAGAGGGATACTACTTTTGGTTCTACTACTTCACCATGAACGCCATCTGGATCGTCGTTCCTGCTTGTAAGCACCACATATACATATTACCCACATTTGCGCAGATACAAACTGACTCCTCGCAGACTACATGTGCCAGAGCGTGGGCTTCATCACCACCTCGATCCAGTTCATGAAAACGGCCACGCAGAACCGCAAGTCTCAGTGATCCTGTCTTCACCCGATAGACTACTCCCTTCATACGGACATCTTCAGCCACTTTATAGATATATAATTGTAATTAGAGCCCGGATACCAGTGATACTACTAGATATAACGATTTAATAGCGTAGCGCTTCTTCTCGCTTGGCTTGTTTACTTTTAACCCTCAAGTTCGAATAAACAAAACATCCAAATATCAGAATAATTGACCGCGTCGACGAATCCCTGGACGAAGCCTCTCTAATTATTCTTCAATATCGTCTCTATCAGCCTAGCATTCTCTAGTCAGTCAACTTTTCTGATGTATGTGGCTGTGAATTACTTCCATTCGCCCTGCAACCCTGGCCCCCCAGCATAAACACCTCGCATGCCAGACCGAAACCACAAGCATCCCTACAAGAAGAAGAAACAGGCCTTGACTGTCTCCTTACATTCGACAGCTTGATTCTCCCGTCAAGGAGCCGTTATCCCTGCTAAACGAAACGCCTGATCGATTGAACCAAGGCATGCGCAGTCCGCGTCTTCGCCATATACCGGTCAGTAAACAAACACCCATGCCTCAGCAACGGTCGAACTTCTACCAGGCCAGCAACTCTGGTACAGCTATTATTATTATTGCAATATACCGGGCTCTAACCTGCTCTACAGATAAATGCCCGCTCCTCGCACTCCTCGTCGAACCCCCAACCGTGGGAGCGCGAAACAGAGCTCGTTCAAGGAGATCAAGCCCCTCGATCTCGGTGAGCCACTGGGGCCTCATGATTCAGCTACAGTGAGAGAAAAGGTCCGCAAGTGGCAGCAACTTGGTGGAGGAGTCGTGATCGCGCCAGATGTCGGCGCCAGCAGCGATGAGGACGAGAAGAAGAGCCCCCCCGGCTCGAAGCTGAAAGAGTCGAAGCAAGCCACGAACAAGAGCCCGGCGGCAAGCAAGGGACCTCACAAGGGGAAAACAACTCCAGAGCCAGTGAAAGCAACTCCGGAACCAGAGAAGAGGACTCGAAGCCCGACAAAGACAAAGACTACGCCGCGGACGACTCCCAAAACTACGCCGAGAACCACGCCGAGAACCACGCCAAAGAAACGGGTGGTCAGCGATGCCCACTGGAGAAGGAACAGGTCCCCCCCTCCCAGCTCAAGTGCTCCATCTTCTACGCATGCCACACCGACCAGACGCAAGGATGTGTTGCAGAGGTACGAGGAGGCAAAGGAGAAGGCTGCCAGGACGTCTGGTGTCAAGGACAACGATGGGATTGCCGTTTATCCAGGGCCACTACGGGTGCCTGAGCCCCTCAAGGCTGCTTCGTCCGCATGGAGCTCTGATGTAGGGTCTTCCGCCGGTGAAGGGACGACAGACTACAGCGGCCGTGAAAAGACCTCAGCAGCCCAGAACCGCACTCCCAAGAGGACTCTAAAGCCGAATTACTGTGTTAACGACGACAAGCACCGTATGGGTTCTCCAAGGGGGAAGATCCAGTCTCCAGACTTCCCTCGAGCAAGCACGCCACGGAAGAAACCACCTTCTCCAAAGCCGGCAGACCCCCCTCCAGAGCCTGCTGCCGCGAAGACTGAGCCTGTACGCAGAAGCGAAATCAGACCACATAATCTGCTATCAGGTAATATCATCTCCCAGGTCATAGATGAGTCGAAGAAGATGTTTTCCGCTATGAAACCACCAGAGTCATCAACACCGCCTCCACCTCCGCCTCAGGGCCCCTCAGTACCTCATGGATCCAAAGTCGAGGCGTGGCTATCATCCACGGCTGACCCATTTGTTGATGACAAGGATTCCACAACCAGTGTGTCTGCACCCCCGAAGTCTTCATCTACTAGATCTTCTCTTCCACGTAAAAACCATTCGGACGACGAACATAAGAAGGAATCGACAAAGAAACAGCCATCTCCCCATTCAGGATCGGACAGCAAAAAGCAACAAGCCAGACCGGTCAAGGGGAATTACGATTACTCGGATGGAAGCGACAGTGACCAAACATACACGGTGAAATCAACATCCCAGGCGCGTGAGTCTAAGTCGGATCTATCAGTAGAAAGTTCCACCGAATCACAGCCTCCTACGCTAAACCGAGAGAAAACTACCAGGTCGCGAGGACGGCTTAGTGCTTCAGCGGAAGCGGAGAGGATGTCGATGCTAAGAGAGTCCGTGGAAGAAGCCCTACAGGGATCCAGCCTGGACAGACCAACTTCTTCAGACGGGTCAGAGGTTTCTGCAGTCGACCGTCCGCCTCCTTTGATGCTGAAAAGGCCCTTCCCAAGCACGGGTGGCCATAGACTGTCTACCATTGCATCCGTGGACACTGTAACGTCGAGCACCAATTCCAACACCACTACCAAGGAAGCACCAAGTAATCCGGCCACTCAGTCCGAACTATCCCAGCTTGACGATGATGCCGTCTCTGAGTCCGAGAAGAGGGACAAGTTCGATACCGAGTCCTTACCTGGCCCAGCTCAACCTCTGAAGCGTAGACTGACCAAACATTCGGACTTGATGTCAGTCTTGTCAATCCCCGGAGGTAGAAGCCGCAGTATACGGTCCGCAAGAAGCATCCGTACAAACAGGAGTCGTCTGGCCAACGCAACCATAAGCGATATCATGCGCGAACTTGCTTCAGATGAAGTGAAATATATGCGCGAATTGAGGACTCTCGTCGGCGGTGTTATTCCCGTACTCTTGACTTCCATTCTCTCCAAGACAGACTCGGCCATTGCAGCTGGCTTATTTCGCCGCTCAGCCGATCCAAGCGACCAGGAAAACTTCACCCGGCCCATTGTAAATATGGGAGTTTCCCTCGAGAAGCTCAAAGCGCTTCACAAACGATTGCCACTTAACAACACCGAAGCACTTTTGTCATGGGCTGTCAGTGCCCAAAAAGTCTACGCCGACTATCTGAGTGCCTGGAGGCTCGGATTTCAAGATGTTATCGTCAACCTGGCGCCCCCGGATCCAGAAGACGCACTCAAAGCTGAAACTCAGAGCTTATGCGCTGGCATGGCCCAGGACGAGAATGGAGACGTAATTAATGGTGACGGGGAAAGAGTAGACGTTGCATTTCTACTGAAACGGCCTCTAGTCAGGCTGAAATACCTGTCAAAGACGTTCAAGGGACTTAACTATGTCCAGCCATCGCCCAAGGCAGAGGAAGTTGCGGACACTTACCAGTCTTTGGTCACAGATGCTCGACGGAGGGCAAACGAGGAGCGCTCCAGACTGGAAGATGATGCTGCAGCGAGCATCGATGAAACAAGAGCACGCGATATACATACTCTCGCTGTCCTTAAGAACGTGGAAGTCAACCAAACCAGGAGAGTTCGTGCCCGCGACTTTTTCGACCTCTCATTGCTGCATTCGACTGGTCAGCAAATCGACTGCCGGGCCGAATTGCTCTTACGAGATAACCCTCCTGGTGAAGCTCCTGGTGGTGATCTCTTTATATGCGAGGTTGACGAGACCGATCGCTGGCTCCTCTTCCCTCCAATTGATTGCACCTGCATCTCGGCCCGGAATGGGGATGGAAAAGGAGAGATTGTACTCATGGTTCGCGCATCGGTGGGGAATTCAACAGAATGGTATGAACTACTGTCCTTCACCACGGACGACGAGCAGATAGGCTTCGAATGGGTGCAGATGATAGGTCTGAATCCTGTTCCCCCGAAGATAAACAGGTCTCTTAGCTTCATTAACCGCGCTAAGGAGAGGAGAGAGCGGCTTGCACTCGCACGTCAGGAGAAAGACGGCGATGCCATTGCCATCCATGACTACGACCCTTCCGAGATCGATGTTCCAATCGGCGAAAAGGCTACTGTGGTTGGTGAGGACCTTCAGCATGACAGAGATCCCGTGGACAACAAGTATCCAGCTGCTTCTCCATCAACACCCTCGCGCACTCTCAGGTTAGACACAACACAGGGCCTGGACGAGGCTATGGATTTAGCAAGCAATGTGTCACCGGCCCTCAAGAGATCCAAGGCAAAACGACGGTCCAAATACGATTATGCTTCTCCTACCAGTCCAGCCTCGTCTGGAATCCAAACGCCGGATAGAGAATCTTCCAGACCACCCTCCCCTCTTCTTTCAAGAGGATCAGAAAATCGTGGCCGTGATAGAACGCCCTCACCCACAACTCCAACGCCCAGTGGTGGAAGCAAACAATCGAAACGCCCCATTGCATCTCTGGTGCAACCTCACGGGCGTCGCTCCCTATCTCCTGTACCATCTTTGGAATTCCCTACAATCCCCAAACTAAGGAAGAGTTCTCCCAAGAATTCACCGCCTACATCCCCCAAGAGCATCCCCCTCCCAGCGTCTCCAATTCGAAAGCAAAGTGAAGATAAACTGGAACAAACCCCAACCGGCAAAGGGAAGAAATCTCCAAACAAGGGTGAAAAATCAGTAGTCTCCGATGATGAGCAATTATTGGGCAAAGACCCTCCTCCCACTCCGCCATCACACCGCACCCCTAGCCCCGCATCGCCAAAACAGTTGAAGACCCCTATTATTAGTCCTCCCGCACCCCCGTATGCTCGTCACCGACGAACGTCATCGCCGCTCAAGCACGAATATGCGCCTTCGAGTACCTCGGAATCGTCTGGGTCTGATACAAGCTCTATTCAGCGTTATGATGTTGATTCATCATCTGATACATCGGATGAAGAACTGGAGGATGAAGATATCCCAGCCCCATTACCACCTACTACACGCCGCGTTTCCAAACGCGTATCTCACCCTGAATCAGCGGACGATATTCCTACGGTGGAGGCAGGCAGCCCAGTGGGATCCGCGGACCGATCTCCACCGAAATCCATTCATAGTTCACCACAACGGGCCTCTAAAACTATCGCGTCTATATTTTACTGGCATGACAAAGGGTTTTGGGAGCCGCTTCACGCTAACGAGTGTAATATCATTGTTACTCCGGGCTTAATTGAAGCGTTCGAGATGAGCCATGACCACTCCCGCCCACCCAGTCGAGACAATGGATCAGTCGCAGATTCTATAGAGTTATCTCACCGGCCATTAGTTGCGCTTGAACTGACGCCTCTAGTGCCAATCCGACGTGGAACAGCCCTCGACATCAGTATTCGTTCTCCGCCAACTGCGCAGTCCAAAATCTCCTCTGGAAGCAACATTATGTTCCGATCCCGTAACCCGGATGACTGTGATAGGCTATACAACCTCATAAATCACTCTCGTATCAACAACCCAACCTATATTGCCTTGCAGAATGCCGTGCCGTATTCGAGCCAACCAAACTCGCTTTCACGGCATAATTCTACTCGATCAAATAAAGGTGGCGGTTGGTTTAGCTGGTATGGTGGGTTCTCAAAGAGCAGCTACCGTGCGTCTACTGCACCACCAGCCTCCTTAGCAGCTGGAACAGAGAGCAGCGTTGGCACAATGTCTAGTGCTATCTCCGCACTTAAACGTTTCGGCGTTGGAAGCAAAATGTTCAGCATTGCAAGGTCTACCCTTACATCCCGGAATGGTAGTCGGGATGACACAAGCCTCTATACCACCTCAACAGGTTCAGGATCGGGCCAACGCTTCCCTTCAAACGCAGAGGCTGCACACATGGCAGCAGAAGGCGGAATTGGCCTAGCCAATGCCAAGATACGACTGTATACGCGGGAGTCGGCAGCAAAATGGCGAGATCTGGGGGCTGCAAGACTTACCATTCTACCCGCGGACACTGTAACTTCAAACTCTCCACCAAATTATCCAGATGACCAGGAGCCCAGCGGCAATTCAAGTCCCTCTTTTGGTTCAAATGCAGATACTGCAGGCCCTCCGCGTACCCCTCCCTCGTCTGGTATGTCGGGTGCACAAGTCAAGAATGAAAAGCGAATTCTTATTCGAAGTAAGTTGAGCGGCGAGACGCTGGTTGATGCATGCCTAGGTGAGAGCTGCTTCGAACGGGTCGCAAGAACCGGTATTGCAGTATCCATCTGGGAAGAGTATGATGGCATCGCAAAGGAAGGCGGTGTTGTTGGTGGATGCTTCAAGGTGTACATGATTCAAATGAAGAGCGAGGCGGAGGCTGCATATACGTTTGGTCTTGTCGGCAAATTGAGATATTAACCATTACATATTGTTTCTGCTCTTTTCTATCCTTTGGAGGATCTATTATTGGTGGTAAGATTTATTCTAGCGTTCTGTTATGTTCCTCTTTTCACCTTGTCGGTTTTATAGCATTATACCTTGCTTTAGGATGTCTGTTCAGATTCAAGCAAAGCCGAGCATGAGTACACGATAGAAATTGATGCTTATGATTGCTAAAAATGTGACAGTTGCACTGATTGTCTATAAATATAATTAATATATAGTTATAATCTAATTTGATAATCCACATCGTCATCATACAAAAGATAAATATACTTCTATTCCCTTTTCCCTCTTCCCTTGGTTTTAGTCGAATATGACGGCAAAGCAAATGTAGCTTTCATATAACTCCATGCATGCAAGTACTGAAGAACCCTCATCTGCTAATTCTAATCCGACAAAAGCGGAGGGTTCGCAAAGCCATTCTTTTTGAAGAGATATCCCACTCCGTGGCCCTCTTCTCCAAGCAATGAAAATAGAATTTCATCCCCAATACTGATTTCAATATTTGTGCCTGCATCAGCAGCTACATCTCTCGTTTTGAACAAGCTAGTATCGATGTGGGAGTACTGCATTAAAAACTTCCTTTTGGCTTTCTCATATGCTCGCTGTTGTTTCGACGAAGACATCTGTGCGGCGGATAATTTCAGCTCTGAAGCTTTCATGAGTTTAGGAGTATCAGACATCTCGTCATCTGAACTCTCCACGCTATCGTCTTCGTCCTCAGATAGTGAATCTGAAAAGATTTCATCACTAGGTTCGTTTTCATTCTCGACTTCTTTAGACATCACTCCCTGCCCACCACATTGGCATCCTAGCAATTCGTGAGTTTGACACTGAGAGCTTTCATCCAGACGGAATAGATCTTTTAACTCCTCTTGTGAAAAGTGAGCTATTCCACCCTTCTGATCCATAACACTATCCGCCAATCCAAGTTTTGTTACCTGCCGCTGCCAAATCTTCTCTTCTATTCCACCTTTAAGAAGAAGCCGATAAATATGACAGTGCCTCTTTTGGCCATCTCGATGAATTCGCGCCATTGCCTGTAAGTCAGTTGCTGGATTCCAATCAACATCGAAAAGGACAAGTCTGCTAGCTCCAATCAAGTTTAATCCCGTACCGCCAGCTTTAGCGGAAAGCAGGAATGCAAAACAAGCAGAGGGCGAAGAACGATTGAAATCGTCGACAAGTGCCTGACGTTTTGTGGCTGGTGTAGAGCCGTCGAGGCGCAGGAACGGTAGGTCCAGAGAAGTCAGAAGGTTTGCTAGTAGGTTAAGAGTAGAGGTATAATTTGACACTAGGACCACTTTCTCTGTTGTCTTATTGCGCAAATTGTAGAGTAGCTGGTCAAGAACTCTGATCTTTCCACTAGACCCCGCAGAAAGGCAGCGGTGGAGGTTATGCGGGAGAGAGGATATAAATGCACTCATAGATGTGTCCTCGCCTTTCCCGTCATCCTCTAATTTAGGCTTAAGCAGAGAAGGGCTATTACATACTTTCTTCAGAATAGTGATGAGCTGTAGAGCACTTTCCGAGTTTCTCAACACAGATTGGAAGAGAGGGGAGGCGAGAACATGACGATATAAGTTTTTCTGAGCAGATGTAGGGTTGCAAAACAATATATATTCAGTCTTTGGTGGCAGATGCTTTGAAAGAATATCGGCCGTCCGACGAAGTATGAAAGGAGACGTTAGTTCGGCCAGTTCTTCACTCCTCGCCTTCCCTTTTTCAATAACCTTTTTAGGAGCATTTGGCTGTCTAGCTCCAACAATGGGGCCTTCAAATTCCTTCATGAATGACTTAAACGTTCCCAGAAGGGCAGGGTTGACAAAGTCTACCATGGCAAAGAACTCGCTCAATTCATTTTGGATTGGCGTTCCCGAAAGAATAACTCGACGTGTGGTATTCAGCGATTGTATGGCCTGAGCACACTTGTTTTGAACAGTTTTCAGCCGGTGTCCTTCATCAGCAACAACGATATCAATAGCAGATCCCTTGGTTAGTTGTTCCTGCACTGACCGTAACCTTTCATATCCAATAATCATAACACTGTAACTTCGTCCCATGGTGAAGTCTGATAGTCTAGTGCTCTTTCCATCAGCCACAAAAACACCAATTCGGTCACTGCCTAGCCATTTCTTAAACTCTTTTTTCCAATTATTAATGAGAGTCACTGGGCAAACAATGAGCGCCTTCTTAATTACGGGTTGAGACCCGTATATGGGATTCTGCTTCAGAAGCGTCCAGATCAAGGCGATTGTTTGTAGGGTTTTCCCCAGCCCCATTTCGTCAGCCAAAATAGCGCCTTCACCGTTAAAGGAGCGTAATCCCATGACGCACTCATAAAGGAATTTAACTCCTTCTCGCTGGTGTTCCCGTAGGTGCTTCCCTAAGATTGGGTCAACCACAACGTCGACTACCTGTTTCCCAGGCGGCACTGAGTCTGGCCGTTTCATTACCACTGCGCCGGGTAGAGTAGGGTCATGCCTAGGGGTAGGAAGCTCTCCATTTGGTTTTAGCGGCATCACAGTAGAGTTTTTCAAAGGGTTCTTAAAGGAATTGTTTGTAGCAGCACTTTGTGGCGCAGAGACGTTGAGTGTCTTTTTAGACGCGTCTTTTAAGTCATTTAATGAGATCTTTGTACCCGATTTTGGGACGTTAAAACGGGTAGATGTAACGGTGGCAGTTGGCCGAGTTGCACCATTCCCAGCCAGGTTTCCATCCTCATTCTTTGATGATGGAGTTCCTCCTTTTGAATAACAACTAGTGAGGTATTCCGTCCGGGTGAGTGCCGAGTCTACTTCGACGTCTTTGCCACCGATTGATAAAGAAACCCCGGGTTCAAGGCTAGAAAGCTTCAACATAACCTTCCCCATGTCTCTCCCGGATATATCTTGCAGGTATCCATAGCCTCCTCGCACAATAATGATTCCATCACCATCCCATGTTTTATTTTTCTTTGCCGTAGGTTTACGCCTACAAGTAAAAAAAGCAGGCTCCATTATTAGCACAATACTACCCAAAGGAGCCTCAGAAGAGAAATCAAAGTATAAGTGAAGTCCCAAAGTGGAAAATTACCAAAGTACATTATAATATGCCTCTTTGTCATTGCCATCTGATTCATTCGCAGTGCCTATACCATGCAATGGCATTCGACAGCCCAGTCTATTACTCTGAGCTGGCGTAGGTTTGGATTTGTCAACGAGTGGCTTCTGCTTCAAGGGTTCTTCTTCCGAGTCTACCACTCTATCGTCATCATCTTCATCGCTACCGATAATCCGTCTTCGTTTGCGCAAAGGTTCGTCATCTCGAGGGGATGGCCCAGCAGCCGCTGTGCCTTGCGTTGGGTTTGAGGGCTGTGGTTTTCTCTGAAGCGGTGGCCGGAATGGTTTGAAAGGCATTGCATCAACCCTTCATACAGACGGCTTGTCCACTTGTCCCAACTTAGCAACCTAACAGCCCTCTTAGTTGTCCATCTGCCTGGACATGAGATGATATCTTTTTTTCTCTCGATGTTCGCGCTTATCAAATCACGTCAAGAAACGCGTGGTCACGTGAATATTCAAATTAGTTGGTCACCAACCAATATTTACGGTCGTGCTTTTTGCATTTGATATGCTGAATTCATTTTGATATTTCCAAGTTAATGTTATTTAATCACAGCAAACGAATTATAAGAATATAGAATGTTAAGATTATATTCATCTGAAAAGGAAATCAGGTATTATTATATAACTAAGCCTTAAATAAACCGTCTCCGCGAAAATGCTGAATGGATATTTGTTAACTTTTAAACACATGCTTTTTATAGAAATTGGAAATAAATAATAAAAGCTTCCCTGGACTGTCAAAGTGCCGGAAGACCAAACTCATAAAAGAGAAAATTCGTGTGTCATGACTTCGTTGCTGCAAACAGAAAAAAGATAAGCAAAAAAGGAGGAAATGAAAAGAAATATCATCAGCAGGAAGTGAAACTGGCAAAAGTATAGGTATTAGGCTCACTTATAGAGCCCGTCGTCCTCTTCATCCTCTTCATCTTCGGTATCATAATCCTCACCATCAGACGACGTCTCCATAGCATCTGGGTCCTCCTCTTTGTGGTTCGGAATAATTGCGATGCGCCCATTATGCATCACCACACGAGCAACTTCTCCATCTTTGATACTTCCCCGCAAGATAAAGACAGCCAGGTTATTCAGAAGTTCCTTCTCAATGATTCGAGCTAATGGTCGAGCACCGTATGCTGGTGAATAACCTGCCTTGCCGAGGTAGTCTTTAACCTCAGGCGAGCACATAATCTTCACCCGGCGGCCATTGTTGTCAAGTCGCTTCTGAATCTCAACCAGCCGGACATCAACAATCTTGCGAATCTCACGCTTGGGGAGTCGGTTGAATATGACGGTACTAGATATGCGGTTGAGGAATTCGGGAAGGAAGTAGTCGCTCAATGCTTTCAAGACCAACTGTTTCGTGGTTGGATCAATGGATCCATCGGGGAGAGTCGGGCGGCTCAGATATTCTGCGCCCAGGTTGGAGGTCATGACAACGATGCAGTTTTTGGCATCGATAATGCGGCCTTGGCCGTCGGTGATTCGGCCATCGTCCATCAACTGTAGGAGGACAGTGAGAACCTCCTTTGCAGCTTTTTCGACCTCATCGAATAGTAGGATCGAGAATGGGCGACGTCTTAGGCCGTCGGTCAATTGACCACCAGCATCGTGGCCAACATATCCAGGAGGAGCACCTATCATCCTACTCAGCGAATGACGCTCCTGATATTCAGACATGTCAAAGCGAATCATTGCATTTGGGTCATCAAACAAGAATTCTGCCAGTGCCTTGGTTAGAAGCGTCTTTCCCGTTCCTGACGGCCCGCAGAATAGGAAACTTGGAGGTGAGTTGGGATTGCTAAGGCCAGATCGTTGCAGTCGAATTGCATTTGACACTGATTTGACAGCCTCCTTCTGGCCGATGACAACTTTAGATAGTTGCTGTTCCATGTTCAGCAACTTGTCCTTTTCCGTTGCCTTCAACCGAGTAATGGGAATACCTGTCCATCGGCCAACAATCTCATTGATCTGGTCAGGCCCGACGGCATCAACAACAAGAGAGTCAGATTCTCCTCCATTCTTATGGGCTTCAGCGTCGGCCTTGGCTTTCACACGCTCCAGGGAGCTGATTCGTTTTTCCACATCTGGGATAGCATAGTAGGCCAGGTCTGACGCTCTCTGAGTGTCTCCAGCTCGTGTTGCGTTGTCAAGCCGGATTTTAAGAGACTCTAGCTTAATCTTGGCCTCTTGTATGGTCTGGCTGAGTTCTTTTTCTTTTAGGTATTTGTCGCGCAGCGGCACCAACTGTGCATTGACAATCTCGGCCTCTTTTTTCGCATTTTCAAGTCGAATCTTGGAATCTTTGTCCTGCTCACGTTCCAGCGCGTGGATTTCAATTTGAAGCTGTTGATACCGTCTCTCTAAGAGGTCAAGTGCCTCCGGCTGCGATTCACGGGTTACTCTTACCGATGCAGCAGCCTCGTCGATAAGATCGACTGCAGAATCGGGTAGTCGTCGCGTGGTGAGGTAGCGAGCAGCAAGAGTAGCAGCAGAAACTATGGCTGAGTCAAGGATGTTGACTCCGTGGTGAACTTCGTATCGCTCTTTGAGACCCCGAAGGATAGAGATGGTCTCGGGGACTGTAGGTTCGGGGACAAGGACTTGCTGGAAACGACGTTCGAAGGCAGAGTCCTTTTCAATGTATTTCTGGTATTCGTTAAGGGTAGTTGCTCCAATGCAGTGTAGCTGGCCTCTCGCGAGCATCGGCTTCAAAAGATTAGCGGCATCCATTCCACCCGTCGAGGAGGCGCCAGCGCCCATGAGCATATGGATCTCATCAATGAACAGGATGATGGTTGTTTCTGAAGTTTCGATTTCTTTCAACACATTTTTGATTCGTTCCTCGAACTGGCCCTGGTAAGAGGCACCAGCAATCAGGCCACCTATATCGAGAGATAGCAGCTTGCATTTGGCCAAGCTGGCGGGAACGTCTGAGTTGACGATACGTCTCGCCAGGCCCTCGACAACTGTTGTCTTTCCAACACCAGGCTCGCCAACCAAGACGGGGTTATTCTTTGTCCGCCGACTCAAAATGCGAATTACTCTTCGCATTTCTTCCTCCCGCCCAATGACAGGGTCAATTTTTCCCTCCCTTGCCAAAGCGGTCATATCAACGGTAAATTTCTTTAGCCATTCGTTTCCGTCTGTCGAGTCTGCGGTCTTGCTGTCTATCTTCTTCGAGCCGCGCATTTCCGTCAGAGCCTCGTCGATCTTGCTAGTGGATGAGACTCCGGCTTCCCTGAGGCCATGTTCCATGGTTCTCTCCTGCACGAGAGCTGAGATAAGGTGGTAGATTGCAACGTAAGAATCCTTCTGTTTCTTTGATAGTTTGTATGCGGTAGCCATGGCCTCGGTCAGTGCTGAAGAGAGTGAGACTTGGGAGACGGCAGGGAATTGTGCGGGTAGCCGGACGATGATTTTCTTCAGATATCGGCTCATCGAATCAGCGTCTCCTCCAGCCTTTTCAATAACCTGTTTGAACATCGGGATGTCATCACTCCCCTCCTCATCCTCTCCGTTAATGAGCACGTAGCCAAGGTGGGCAGGCACCACCTGTGGGTGGCCATGCTCTTCTGCTTCATCTGCTGCTTTCTCTATGGCGTTGTAGGCTCTGTCTGTAAACATTTCACGGCTCGGAGCCATCGTGGTCGTATGATCGAGGGGTAGCAGTATATGTTAGTTAGATCAATATCAATAATATAACTTGTGGATGATGTAAACGAGAGTGTTGTGATGTCCTACTCAGAGGCATCCGAGAGTGTGATCAACATAAATATGTGTGGTAGACAAAGAGACATACGTTGTATATATATCTTCCTTGGGCGCCTAAATTCCACTTGCATCTTGTGCCTTGTCGATGTTTCGCGCTTTCTCCAGCGCTTTCTTGCATATTCTTGGCATTTTAAGGTTATGATGTCATTTATTAGTTATAGTCTATTTATATCTACTCATTGGCTCCTTAATAGGGTATATATTTTAGGTTCAGGAAATTATATAAGCCATCGGCTTAGTCATTGCGGAGTGGAGTAATTTTCTTCCGAGATAGTTGGGGCAACCTGCCATGGAGCAGCAGGATCAACGGGAAATTGTTTAACAGGTTTGTTAGAAAGATAGAAAGATGTCTGTTTAGTCAATCTCATAACCAGGAGTGCTCCAACGCTTCACGTGCCGTCACTCGCTTTTGAGGATCCAAGTTTACTATCATCGAAAATAAGATCCTTGAACTCGGTATCAGTGATATCCTAAAAATAGTTTATAGGAATGATAATTAGCCGCTCGATTATCCCAGAGATACCTAAAGATTTGGCAGTTAATTTCCTCATAACTAACATGTGTAATGCGCTCGTTCAATCCTGTTCGATCCCTAAAAATAGAAACTTGCGTGGCAAGCGAATGATATGAGGTAATGCACCCTACGCTTCGTGTGTGGAAATCTTCACCGGCGCCAAAGATTACTTGTCCAGGCATGGCATAGATGCACTAAAGAGATTAGCTAGGTGGCACCCTCTTTAAAGTAAGGAAGGCCTACCACAGCTCCAAAGGGGAATATATCAGAAGGCTTATTAAGTTCGCCCTCTGGACCACGCCAGTTGTCATTGCCCGCTACCATCCCGTTAATGCACCCCCGTTTCAAGGTCAATGATCCGAACCTGCTCAACAATCGTCTCTGGGCCAGTACCGCGGTAGTTCACTATAATGTTGTCAGGTTTAATGTCTGGGAAATGATTAGACCAAGCATATAAAGATGAGGGCGCGTTCCTCACCTGGATGAATAATGTCATGGCTGTGCAGCTCAGCAGCAATGCTACGCAAAATGCGCCTGCATGGGTATTTGCTTTCTGATAAGATCTAGGAGATCATCATTCATATATTTGTACACGAGTATCCGCTGGTCTGAAATCGTAACCGTAGAAATGGGCTTTCGTGTAGCCGCGGGCGTATGTCCTCAATAAAGCTCGAAAAAATAGGTTTTGGCATATCCTTTAAGACGAACTTTTCTTGCCCGGATCTAGAACACATTTTAGCCGGATAAACTGTGTTACATAAGGGGCCAGTATACTCTGACGTTGCTATCCAGACGCGGCCAAGATGTAGACTCTCCTGAATCAATTACTTGAAGATAGAGCGCCGTCCAGCAGAACTGATCAGTTCACCCTGTGGAGGAGCCATACTCGCACCGGCAGACTCAATTGTGAGAGACCGATTTTTAAGATGAAGTGGAAGCAACAGTGCTGCCTCGACCTTTAGCCTACGCAAAAACTAGCTGACTTAAGAATTCAAAGTCATTCGTGCCACCCAGGATTTGCGTTCTTTCAAGTCTTGTAATCGTCTATGTTCTTGTAAGCGTCGCTCATCCTCACTTATAGCAGTGGTTGGACGCAATAGCTTTTTCGTCTTTATCAAGTTCAAATACGGTTAAATGCTTTGTAGAGTCGATTTGGCTTGAGTGGCCTGGCTATAGATGTGAACGAAGGCATAATAAGGGATATTTTAGTTGTTATGGAACTTGCCTTATAGCTTGGATATCCTGAGAATGATAACGGCCAGCCCAAGCGTCTGTCTTCGTGACGTATGCGATGATGATTTTTTGTCTGGCAGAGGTGATCAGAATTCTTGATATTTTGACTAGCTCTATACACTGTGGCGACGAAGGCTTTAGGTAGGTAGCGTAAGGACACAATTCAAGGCAAATAAAAATGAATAGGGGTTTCAAGAGGAAATGTAGACGATTTGGAGGAGTGAACTTACCATGGCTGGCAGACTAAGATCTATATATGCGTAATATTGTACTGGGAGTAAGCGCTAGAAAACTTGCCAGTGATATTGGGGACACACTCCAACATTTCCTAGGCCTCTATTCTACTATTTATTTTCAAAGTACCTACAAAATTGGGGTTTTAGGTGTAATAGAAGCACAGCACCTGCACCCATGGAGGGCTTGAGTGATTATGGGGCTCTATTGGCAGTGATTTAGGCATTGTAATCGAAAACTTCAATTTAACCCCTGGTATTCCAGTATTCTCCTGCCAGGGGTGCATAATTTAGTAGGCCCCAACTTGTATATGCACGAAGCTTTGGCGAGCTAATGCTTCTAGGATTAGCAGGGCGGTTAACAAACTGGCCCGATCCTTGAAATAAGAAATGCGGTCCAAGCCCCAGCATCGAGAAATTCAGTCTTTCCGGTAGGCAGTCAAACTCGATCTGCCCCATCTTTGTAATGTCTAGCGGTGAGGTCGTTCAATCTTTGCCATGTCGATAAGTGTGCTGTGTTAGGGGAATCCTGGGGTCTATACAAAACCTCAAAGAATTTGCTTAGTCGGCCAGCGGCGCTGGGAAGTTGATCTGAGGCTTGCTCTCGAGGATGGGATATTGTGGTTTGAAGGGTATAGCAAACGGCAACTTGGGCTGAGAGTGTTGCCACTTGTTTTCCTAGTGATTGGAAGTCACACTCATCAAGTTTCAGTCCAAATAAACATCCACTAATCGGATCACGCTGCCTCTTTATTTCTGTAGCCATGGTGAAGAAGCTTGATGTTTGTTCCTCCGTTAAATAAGGGGAATAAAGATGGAGGTCGACTTGTTAGTCTCTTTTTCATTGGCTGCACGAGTGACCATGACCATGATTAGGTAAGGTGTTTGTCAGAATCAGGACTATAGTTAATCCGTCAACCGAGGTCCACTCGGCCTTCCAACTCCTTCAGCTGCGGAGGCTGTTGAGGTCATAAAGATGGGCGCAACCAGTCGATGGCACTGCTACCCCGACGGTTCCATCGAATCAAAGTCCAGCTATCCAGGTCTAGCCAGCCACCCAAGCAGCAGCTTATGATGTAAGGCGGGGACGCGGGCGGATCAGACGGCCCTTGCTGCTGACCAAAAAAAAAACATGTCCGTCTGGTGGCACTAAGCGCGACACCCACGAATGTACCTTGCAACATGCGCCTTTTTCCTCCCACGAACCCATCAACCGTGAGTGGCAATAGACCGGGAAACAGTTCCTATCCAGAAGCGAACTCAATCCACGTTTTTTCGTGTGTTCATCTCATTTGGTGGCCCACAGCAAATGTCTCAATAGAAAGCAGCAAGATGGATCCCGTCCAGGGCGCAAAAAAGAATTACAAAGAGAAATTGGAGAGAAACGCGTGTGTCGACAACAGTTCGCCGGGAGGCCAACCATGGATCAGGTTCAAGCCAAAGGGAATTTTTTTTTCCCTTGCTCTTGTTTGGAGTGCAAAGTTGATCCTGATCGTTCTGTATCAACGTCATCCCGGGAAGCTCCTTGATTTGAGAGGCCTCGTCTGGTACAGCATGAGCTTGTGTGCTATATATACCCTTCCGGTATTCCTTGGACCCTGTCGTCACTGGACAGCTTTACTTTTCTTTTCCTGTTTGCGTGACGTTGTGTTGTTTGGCCAGAGGTTTGACCCTGTCGATTGCCGCCTCCAGAGAAACCCGTCGGAACCCTATTCCTTTTTTTTTTTTTTGGCAGGCCCTTATGCTGGTATATAAAAACCACCTGGTGCCCGTTCTCCCTGAATTTTCTTGTCTTCTTCGAAAGAGGAGCTTGATACAAACTGGGAGTACTTGTTCTCCAAGCAATACTACCATTGCTAGAACTCAACATGACCAAACGTTCCATCTTCGTGGCTACTCACCCCCGAGCATGCTCTACGGCCTTTGAAAGAGTAAAAACTGTCTTCTTTCCTTGTCTCCCTGAAAACACTGCTTATCGGTTCCTCCAGGTCTTCATGACTCGCCATGATACTTTAAAGTGCATTCACGAACCACTCGGTGATGCCTTTTACTATGGCCCCGAAAGACTGAGTCGAAGATATGATAATGACGAGGAAGCCAGGATCCAAACCGGCTTCCATCAGTCAACTTATAAGACTATCTTCGACCGATTTGATAGAGAAGCATCAGAGGTGTGATCAATTTCCCTGCTCTTGAGAAAATTGCGACCATCACCTTGCTTTTCTCTTGCGTTTAAATTCTTCTTTCCTTCTGCCGTTCGTCTTAATAATAAATGGATGTTGCCAATGCTCTTTTTTGGGGACCAAAAAAGCCCACGATAGGATATCCTTTTTTATTGCATTTAGAGCTGCAATGTATGATGACCATTTTCTTTCACTAAATGTTCCATCCAAGAGAATTTCACTGCCAGAATTGGACCATTCCCTCCCCGCCTCATTTGCAACGTATCCATGGCGATTTTACATGTCCTATCAAACACGACAAAATCACTCACCTTTACGTCTAGGGAAAACGACTCTTTATCAAGGATATGGCATACTACATCATGCCACCGGATGGACAGCCAGCAACGAGAGTAGCTTCACTTCAGATACCCAAACGTGGAATTGGCACGAACATTCATAGCAACGGCACCACTTCTAACGGTGTGGCACCAAATGGAACCGGCGTTCTGCTCTCTGATATGCCACACCGTTCAAACGGGAATCTCTCGACACAGGGATCCAGTTCAGAGTCCGATAACCCCACTGTTATCCCTCAGGAGTTTCTCTCAAAATTCCATTTCGCCTTCTTAATTCGTGATCCACATTATAGTATTCCGTCGTACTATCGCTGCACTATCCCACCGTTGGATGATATCACGGGCTTCTACGAGTTTTACGAAAACGAATCCGGATATGACGAATTGCGCCGGTTCTTTGACTATCTCCGTAAAGTCCAGTTTGTCGGTCCATCCCATGCTTCCACGGTCCATACCGGGACCGCAAATGGAGCAAACGGGGCCAGCAACGGGGTTCACACAACCAATGATCCAGAGAAAGTCGAAATATGCGTGATTGATGCAGATGATCTCCTAGATAATCCAGCTGCAGTGATTGAACGGTTTTGCAAAAGTGTAGGCGAGGAATACACTCCCGATATGCTCCAGTGGCCTACAGAGAAAGATCAACAAGTTGCCCATGATGCTTTTGCCAAATGGCATGGTTTCCATGATGATGCACTCGGTTCCAAGAGTCTTCGCCCAAGAGCCCACGTAAGTATACCCTAGAAACGCTCTGTGAAGTACCCCTCTTGGCCACGGATGCCCCAGAATGTTTCGTTTGGCTGACATCTACTTTCCGTCTCCAATAAGAAGAAAGCAGCCAAAACTGAAGCCGAATTTGACGCTGAGTGGAAGGAGAAGTATGGCGAGAAAGGAGCAGGGATTATTCGCTCTGCAGTGGATCGAAACATGGCGGATTACCGATACTTGAAAAAATTTGCTATGAAGATCTAGTTCCATACATAGCTCTCTCATACTATCTGAAAAGAGTCCGGAGAGTAGGCTAAGAATCGTGCCAAACGGTTCAACACGCATAAAGATGTCTTAACCTACTGTCATTTACTATTACCGTCCTCTCAAAGTTACTATAATACACACATCCGCATCTCGGTTATGAAGGGTCTCGTTGGTATATGGTTTGATGTGACGAATTCGGGAATGGAGTTTTCAGACGAAGCATTGCCGCGGAATCTTGCATCACGCCTTGTTTTGATTAATATACTGTGCATCCTTTTATATTCAGGCCCCAAAAGGCAAACAAATCTGTGAGAGAATGCCTGTGTAATCGTATGTTGGAGCGTAAGTAGCATATAGGACATGCCTACATAAGTTATATATAGCTTATACCGCATCCTGGGTATATTCCACGTAGAACTCATAACGAGACATTCACAAAAACATAAGAGACAGGCAGAAGCCGGCTAATGATGAAACATAGGGGCAATGCGAAAAAAAATGCCCCAAACACCGCAAATGAAGGGAAGCTCTTCCAACGAAACGAATAACAATAAAGCTAGGAAATTATCACCAGCTCCCAAAAGAAAAATAAACTCATAAATTATGGCGAAAATAAATAGGCGGCGCGATCTAACAGAAGAAAATTGCGGGCGGTAAAGAATAAAGACGGCCTTGCCATTTGCGCTTCAAACAAACTCAACAAGGGCCGTACAAGATAAAGAAAATAGATATACAGCTCTTGCTAAGGCCCAGGGGCAAATAAAATTGTCGTAACAACTCCAGGCTCGAAGAGAGATAGGGCGAAACATCACACGGCACTGTAACCTCCTCGAGTGCCGCCTCCTTGAAGAGTGTTTATCACTCGCCGACCCCAATCCTTCAGGATATAGGGAATATCGCGGATAGTGTCACTGTGAGGGAGAAGATCCCACCCACGAGCTCCGTAGCGGCTGTAGTTGAGCCAGGAGCCAAATATCAGGTAAGCTGAAGTGCATAGGAAGAGGCTATGAAAAGACACCCGGCATTAGTCACCACCTCACACGTAATATGCAACAGAGAGTGTATAGGGAGAACTCACAGAACAATCATCCAGGTGAAAAATCCCCAATGGCCGGATGATTTGTTATCACTTCCACCCTCACCATCCTCACAGGCATATTTCGTCCGCCACTCCAGATTCAAAACACCTTCTTCCTCATTATAACCTTTAAATAAAAGGCTCTTTGAGATGCCTTCCTCCCGTTTTTCGGACTTGCCCTTGTCGTCTCCTTCCTTTTTATCATCACCCTTCTTTTCCTCATCTTTTTTATCATCGCCATCCGGTTTGGCATCTACCAAACCTTCCAGTCCAGTCCGTTCAGCATCACACAAGAAAGTGAACACCGCCTTCTGGTTCTTTACTTTGCCATTAAAAGTGTGTTTCCCACCATGTAGCTCCATCTTTAGGCCTTCTCGCTCGGGGTCATCCTTCTTTAGCCGTGTGAATACCGGGTCGAGTGTTTTGCCGCTGTTGAGAACAAAGTTGCCTGCGATATCAATCACATCCATGGTTCTTTCTATGCCATGTATATCGGTAGCATTTTTGACAGCACAAACTATAATATTTAAGGGTGTTAGTGATGCCGAATTTCTTCTTGTTTATTTAAGGTAGCTGAGTGCCGGGACTATAGATGATGAATAGGAAATAAACGCACCATAAGCTCCCTTTTTACACATAGACTTGGTTAACGGCTTGCATATATCGAGAGTGTATGTTGTATTGAAACTTTCATGTCCGCTGCTGAGCTCCGAAAGCGAGTAGGCGCCTCCAAGCTTGCTGAGATCCCACGATACCCCATCAACCTTGATATGAGAACAGTCTAGTTCAGCAGACGCTAATGTTGAAAAGAGCGCTAAGAAGGATAGAATCGATAATCCCTGGTATCTTGCCATTGTCGCCGTTGTCGAAACAGCAGGCTACAGCCCAACTTGCTCGGCTCTATATCAAGGCGTCACGCGGATGATTGCCCCAGCTGCTCCAGGCCGGCAATCTGGAGGGGATAAGGTAAAGGAACGAGGCAAGAAAGACAGCCAGTAAGCACCAACAGCTCCGAAGAGGCCCGGTAGCAGGTTTGTCGCAGGGAGATGGTGAGGTTTTATCAAAGATGAAAAATAACTGCCCTTCGCCTTTGCCAGGCTGGACTTTCTGACGTTTGCATCATCAAAATAACTGTTCAGGCATACATCACGTGACATAATAATTACCTAGGTTCCTTTTTTTCTTTTAACGTCAAGTGACAAAAGGAACTTTAGCATGATAACTTATTATATAGCAGAATAGATGCATAGGAGTTGCTAGAAAGGGAGATAGGAAGGATCTGAACATTGATCTATTTGGTTTCTTATCTTCTCATTGACACGACTAGGTACCTCCAGCTATACAGATATTTTTGAAAATATCCAGTCTTCCAGATCTTTGCAGGCGATTTTATTAGTTATAATAAGCATTTTCTTAGGCAGTTCGGGGTTTCGTTTATATTTTAGCTCGTTGATATCAATGTGGCTTGGTAGTGACAATATTTAGATTCGCATCAATCTTGTGTGGCTCTTCATTTGGTATTCAACAACAGCAACATCACATTAAAACAATATACCAGCATCATCTAGTCGACTGATCAGAGGCAGATCCAGTTTATACAGCATCTCCGGTTAATTCTTACATATATCATCGCCCAAGATGTTTCAGCGTCGAATGGTGTGTACACGTTCAAGAGCTGCTATCGACCTTCTCGCTAACAATCATATTAGCTCTCGAAGGATGACGAGGCCACCAGCAGTGAAGAGACGGAGGTCCGTCGTGAAGACCAAGAGAAGATAAACCGTTTCAGTCGGTTACATCAACGAGAAGCTGTGTTGGAAGCGCAGCTGAAAGTGAAGCTGGTACGTATATCAAGCACAAGATACACGCACACGCGCCCACACAGAGGCGTAAAGGGATATGTTCCGTTGAATATATACATAGTTTCTCATACATTGAGATTTATAATACTATTTTTTTTAATTCCCAGCTGTGTTTTGGAGAGGTGTAGCGTCGAATTTGGTTACCATGTCATGAATGAGGGGCTAACAGTTGATTATTATGAGCGATACAGAAGGACAAGGAAGACCTTGAGGAGGTCTCTGCCGAACTTGACTTGGCTGATGAAGATGTTCCAGTCCCGTAAGTAGTGCTCTTCTACCAATTTACCCCTATGTCTAGAGAATCCAAACCCATGTTACCTGCAAGATGGATGGTATTATAAGTGGTGTTCCCCGTGCTAATAAGAAAATAGATACAAAATTGGTGACTCGTTTATGTCGTTGCCTTTATCGGAAGCACAAGAGATGCTTGCTGCTTCTACAGAGAAAATTGATAAGGAAGTATCCGAAGTAGAGGAGAAGTTGGGAGCGCTAAAGGAGGAAGCACAGGAATTAAAGATTGCCCTCTATGCACGCTTTGGAAAGAGTATTAATCTGGAGACTTAAAAAAATAATTCATGGCTATGTTTATAGCACAGACTTCTATTATTAACTACCCGTTGCCTCAATATAATAAAATACACTGACCAATGCCAATTGAAAAGAAGTGAAAGCATGATCGTTGAGATATTATAATTAAAAGTTATAATAGATAAGGTCCTGCTTTAGATGGGTATCATTGGTACATTCGTTATTTCATTTAGCCCATTATCCATGAACTCTCTCCTCTTCACCTCTTGCATGGGAAAATATAGGGATGGTTGCACTGTCGTCGGCATTCATGTCTAAACATAGCGACTGCTCTTTTCTTCGGTGTTCAAGGCATTTCTACCATGTATCCCTGCAGTAGCATTAGACGTGTAATCAATGGCAAAATACAACTGGGACTAGATATTATAAGGTGTGGTCCTATTGGGAGTATTCATATAATATTTGCGATCGTCATCTTGGAGATATTGCTCTTTGGGCACGTGCTGTTGGCTGTCTCCGGTGGGCGGCAGGAAGAGTTGATCCCATTGGGAGGTGGGCGATCCAGTCGTGAAGCGTCTTGGCCATTTGTAGAAATGGTATTCTGCTGCTGTTGCTGATGCTCAGACAATAAGCGCTGTGTTACCATTTCGACCCAAGCCCATCCTTCCCACTCTGGTGTCTGATCTTCCGGGTTGACTATATCTGAGCGGTTGCTCTCCACTGGCTCTGCCTTTAAAGGCGAATTCGGTGAGTTTGACGCAGCAGATGGAGATGCTACGCCTGGGTCTAAGGCGGAATTGGGACCAGTTGACCTCCAAACCCAGGAATTATCCATCGAACTCTGGAGATCACCCGAAACGTACGCCATTAATTCCTCATCTTCTTCGATACTCAGGGCTCTTCCGGCCTGTCGCTTGTCGACCAGGAGTTTTAAAAAGAAGGCAATGTATCGGCCTGAAGCAACATTTACCGCCCTAGCATCCCCGATTGCAGAGCAGGCTTGGATACATACCAGCGCAGCCGCGTAATCAGCTCGACATAATAACAGCAGAATGCATCGCCAAATATGCTTGCATATAACAGAAGTGGCAGCAGCAGCTAAAAGGTAGCGCCAATCATCTCCATTTGCTTTAGATGGGGTACCAGATTCGGCAGAAGTTGGTGAGCGCATGCATCGTGTTAAAATACCAGTAGTATCGCGCGCAACCGCTAAGCAGTGGTCCATGGCAGAATTTCTGGTCTCTGCTGGGCATGCAGGAGAGAGATTATGACGATGCAACACTAGTCGTGTGTTCTGTAGGATTATAACAGGAGAAAGTGACCGTGGATCGAGATATTGATTTGACTGCATGTGATAATTTGCAGGAAAGTTGTTCAAGCAGGTTCTAAAATGGCGGTCAAATAAATCCAGGGTATCACACGATATAACCAAACTTTTGAAAGCTTTAGTGAGTTGAGATACGCAGCGCATTATATGGACGATAACAAGTAATGGATTTGACTTTTGATCTGATGTCGGGTTGCCCTCTTGTATAAGTTGTTCTTCGATGGAGGAGGGAAGGCCAATGTCACAGTCATCATCGTTGATTGCAAGCGGCCGGCCAAGCTCCAAAGCACTCAGTCTACAAATTGTTAGGATATCATTTGGCTTAAAGACAAAGGTATATAGCATGAGGCTGAAAATTGTACTAACCTTTCCCACGAGTAGATTGACCACCAAACACGCTTCCTCATTTCACCATCCATAGGTTCCCACGGCCCTGACTCCATATGGAAACCAAGGTCTTGGGCGATACGTACTGCAGCACCAAGCCATACCCAACTGACTGAGTTGATATTGAGCTCGGACAAATAGATGCTCACCAGCATCGCGCCGCGAGCCTGTTCGATGGAAAAAGTATCTTCCCAAAGGTCAATCAAACCCATGCTAGTTTTGATATATTCCTTGCCTTTAGCAATCAAGTCTGCATCAAGGGAATGCAGTGATCCACACCCTAAAAGGGCAAAAAATACAGCAGCCCAACCACGCGAGACGCCTTGGAGTGTTCCCGTCTGATGTACTCTCTCATAGACGTGTAAGATGGTAGGCCAATGTAGGACCGGATATAGGCAATGGACACATGAGAAGTAATGCCGCATCAAAACATGTGCAATATTTGTCGGTGGGAGGGGAGGCGCATCTGTGCCTAGAACAGGTTGTAGTCGGAGAAAGTAGGGAGTCTGTGGGAAATGAAGAAGGCCCTGCCCGTATACTCGCATATTAGAACATACACGAGAGAAGTCGTAATTCACATTCGGAGTATTAAGACGAAGGGGTTGAGCCCCTATATGCGGAATTGTTGGAATATCGTCATTGACATCAGAATCGGATCCCATAAGGCTAGCAGCCTTTGGGGCCCCAGAGCGTAATTGCTGTAATTGAAGTTTTGCTTGAGCGAGCTGCCTCTCAAGATCTTGAACTTGTCTTTGAGCACAATTAGAGAAAAGGAAGAGTGACATAAGGGTCATAATAGTTACTAACTTAATAGATGACATGCGCCGGTTCGTTTCTTTTGTAAAAAGGCACCTGACATTGCGATTTGAGCATTCCGTACAGCTCGACGAATCCGAAGCATCACACTTTTTCGATCATTAGTGCCCATTATGTCGATTATACCATAATATAATAATATAGTACTATCTTCTTACCTTTACTTTTCTTTCACGGCAAGCATCACAGCTGGGGTCCTTTCTCCGTTGCCTGTAAGCGCGCTTATGTGATTGCTGAGGAAGGGGAGGGGCTATGTGGCTTGCGGAGCTGGAAGCGTCCGACATCGAACCGTTATGGAGAGGGCTGAGCAACAAGCCGGGCCGCTCGCCATGTTGCATTTGCGGATAGTCATACTGTGGATGATATGTGTTGCTCATAGGCATCTGCTGGTTATGCGGAGCAGAGGTGTAGATAAGATTAGATATCTTGAGCCCGTTGCCAGGGCCACGGTGAGATGTAGAGCCACAACCCGGTTCTGATGGAGGTCGCTGAGCAGTCGTTGACGTAGAGCTGATGGAGGAGACAGGTGATGAAGCGTAGTAACCACCCTGCTGGTTCCGCGGAGGTGGAAGAGGGTATTGTTGTCTCTGCATTCTGAAAGTTCGAATGCAGAGTCACAAATGTCAGCTATATAGTGGCTTTGTCAAGTCAGAGCCCTGTAGCATTCCGTCTACTATCTTTTAAAATCCAATGAAGTCTCGAAAGATAGCAGCCATCCAAATCCGGATGTTTTTGACTCGATGTGAAATATGCGTGTTTGTATAAGTTGTGATGCCCGATGGTTTTTGTTCCGGGGCACGACAGGGAGCGGCCTTATTGCCGACGGCCTAGAGTATATATATGGACAGGCTGAAGTCAATTCGCGGGGTTCAAATGCCTCATCATATCGGATGATGTTCCAGAAAAGCGTTTGCGCGCCGATATATGATACCAATGCACCCCACAGTGAGAAATCTTCCGACCAGCTGGAAAGAGTGCCGAGGGTAATAATCGTAGATCTCACGAGATTTCCTGTTGTGTGGCTCGTGGGTATCAAACCCCGTTCCTGATTTTAAAACTCAAAGAGCGAACTTCAACCCAAGGCAAAAGCTATCAGCTGCCTCAAAGACAACGCTAACCCAAGCTGTGTGTATTTTATTTTATTTTATTTTTTTTTTCGGGTGAAGGGAGCAAAAGAGGATTCGAGAGCTACCTTTCCGTGTCTCACGGGCAGACGGTGGTGGAAACTTGCGAGGGAAGGCTCCAGAGCTGATATAACTAGCGCCCAACAGGAGAATGGGTCAGGGAAAAGGGAAAAGCTGGGGTTAGAACAGAGATGGTTGGTGTCGATTAAAACCTGGGACCATCTGCCTGTTACATACTGCACATGCGGCTGTCAGTTCCACAAGCAAAGGAGGCGGACGGCTAGACTGCGAGGAATCCAACTCTATTTGCAAAGGCTGAAGGGCAAATGCGCTTTGAACCTCGTATTATGACCAGCTTGAAACGATTTGCTACGGAGCACTTGAGTGACATTTTGATAGAAATCATGGGCTCCATCTTTCTCGCTTGGTCTGCGCCTGGACCCTACTAAGTGATAGGAATGTTGGCCAAAAATGAATAAAAAAATAAAAAAAAGGCCGCACGCCGCCGAGGAGGTCACTGCCGCAACCGCAAGTGAGCAGATGTATATGTACGAGCCGGGTATATTTTTCGCTTGGGCCCGAGGTTCTACAGCCATCGAGCGCGCGCTCCGGCCCCATCTTTGTCGCGGAAGACCTGGTTCGCCCCTAAAGTCCCTAAAACCCAGGCTGAGCCGAAATTAGAGCGCCCGCCAAGCGGAGCGACATCCAAGGGGGGCGCCAGGTTGGATTGGCCAGCTGCGAAGTGGTTCCGTCTCCACGCTAGTTGCGACAGTCATTTGTGGCAGTGAAACCACATGGAAACAACTCGGTGTGCCCAACCGTTTTATGCTGGGAGCGACGTGCATCTTGCTGATGGAGGGTGTTCAGATCATCGGCCGTCAGCGCCATGCAGGATGATCATCCCGTAGCGATGAAGCTCTGTCACTCGATCAACTGGCCCTTGGAGCTGCCCTCATCCGGGAATGTAGCGGAGAGCGACATATACAGGACTAATTGCTCCCTGCATGGTCGTCTATAGATGCATCTGTATATGGATGGAGTCGTGATAATAGATGGAGATGAGATTTGAACCTGGTCCCCTGCTAAATCGGATAGCAGCCGGGCCAAGGGGATCACTGCAAGCTCTACCCTAGGCTTCGAACGGATTCCAGAAGTCCATCGCTGATATTATCAGGTTTATCAGGTTGTTTGTCTTGATCTGGTGAAGTTGAAGTTGAAGTTGAACTTGAACTTCCTCACATGACGACCAGAAAAGGAAATATTGGACTTCAAGCGCTTCACAACTTCATCTTCTCTCTTTTTCTCTGCCTTCTTACCAAAACACACATCTATCTACAAGCTTGCACAAAAGTGCTTGCTAGCTGATGCAGAATACCCGGACAAAGGAATAATACGGGGTACGGAGTAAAAGAGCCTACCATTCTCCTATTCCAATATTTTACAAATCATACACGCCGGCGATGGTTTGGATCCATGATCGACGGCAGAGCTTGCTAACTAACTATCATCGCATCGTTTTGTGAATAGTGCAGCGATTGAGATTACCTACTATGTATGAGTCCGCCAAAGTCTATTCTCCTTTCCTGGAGAGACAGTTCCACGGAAAAGAGAGACTAATATAGTTCTGGCAAAGCTTCGCCTGCGCTGAAACGAGCCGTGAAGAAAATCAGTGTCGAGAGGCCAGCTGGTTTTCCGTCCAATTGGAGACTCCCTGTTGCTGGCCTGGTTCACCAGTCTGATAACTGCATTTGTTCGTTTGTCCATTGCCTCCCATCTTGCTATTGGACAGGTCCGCCCATCATCCAGGGCTATCGCCCACTAACGCTTTCAATCCTCCACAATCCAAAGTTTGTGGCCCATGGAAGAGGACAGCAGATTGCATGACTAGGGGCTGGCGCCAGTGAGATCGAAAAACCCGGCTAAAATGGAAATTGGCGACGATGTAAAATTTCCCTTTTTAACCGATCGCAGGACCAAACCCATGTTCACTCCTCGGCCACACTATTATATGCCTACATATATTGGATACTTACATGATGTAATGCAACCTCTTCCAAATAGAATATACCTAAATATACATGCGCAACCAGAAGGAGTCTCCACCATCCAACAAACAAACTTTGCCCCAGGGCCTGGGGAAAGGTTTAATATTAACACACCTTGTTGCCACCAAATTCATAAATCCCATCTTGGCGCATTTTCGGTTACGCTCCGAGAAGCATTTTTCATTCTCGCCAGCATTTCCTATACGAGGGCGAGTGTATGCCGCTCCCCGCTTCGGAAATATACATTCTTCGTTCGAAAACAAAGCATCATCTGTTAGCTTTCTCTAAGCTTGTATGGAACTTCGGCTTCCAGTCTTGGCGATAACGGTCAAGGAGATCCGAGAAGGTGGACCATCGACGGCGAGTTCCCAGTTACGAAGTATATACGAAGCACAATCGTCTCTCGTCTCACATGTGTAACTCCTAGTAGTGAACCAGGGACCTACGTATATACCCAGGCTTGCTGATTCTGGTGTGTCGTGGGAGTGGCGTGAAAAGACTTCCCGCTCTCGAGGCCCGTGCTCGTTTATCCGGCTTCCAAATCCCAATCTAAACAATTTCAGGGACAACTCTGCTAGATTTGCGAGAATGCCAGTGAAAAAAATATCATGTACAGAGTATATACACATACATATACACATAGTCAGGGAAAGGAAAACCTTCGACCCATGCTTCTACTGAGTACCTTGTTATAATTTGCGATGGGGTGATGGCGCTGTCACCAGGATGGCGCCGCTCGGATTTCATACGCTTAGGCATGACTTTCCATGCATATACGGGTACATTTTTTATATTATTGCCCCCTCTTCAACCCCTCCCATGTGAATTCATCGCCAGCTAATTTATATGGTACAGCAAAAGGTTGCGTACTATCAAGATTCCGCATACATGTATACAGACAGCTCCTTGTCCTTACATTTGCTAACTACTGCATCTCCTACATAACTATAGTAGACACAAGACAGGGTTGTGATGGCTTTCCGGAATGGAGAATCAGTATGGCTTCGTGTGCTCCGTAAAGATTGTGTCTTGCAGAACCCCATATCTCTGGTTAGACCATTCGGCATCTAACCATAAAGATCCCAGATCCCGACTTGTCTTTCGCCCTAGGATAACCTTCTTCTCCAAAATATTGGATTTAGTTCTCTCCGTGCTGATCCACTTATATTGTTGTACGAAGTATACGTATACTTGATATGCGTTATTTAACAACCTTTGCATGCGTGGAGCCTGTCTTCACATTTATCTGCATCCTCCAGACTGGTGATCAAAGCCTCAATCGAAAAAACTTGACTCAAAAGTTGCACGATTGACGATTAACTAGTGAGATTAGCTAACGCGGAAGATACCCGCTCAATAAGCCCTTAAAGTGAGACAACAGCCCAATCAGTCGTGAACGAATAACCATGTCCCGAAAAAGACATTTGGCTTCTTTCAGAAAAATTCCGTGCATATAGGCTCATTCGGGAAGTTGGGCATTCTGCCGTGCCACAGACGCACAGCATGCCCGTGGTGGGATGATCATTAGCAGAAGCAGCAGCTCGTAAGTACCAGCTTCATCACAAGCGAGCTTACGAGTCCTCATTAGGCATACAGGTATGTAGAAGGGATGCAGTGGCTCGTGATGACATCTCCGCCAGCACTATACATAGTACTTACTATGTAGTATTTAAATGATCTTTTAGTCTAACCGTATATATAGTTAAGGCATCAAATGTTGTGACACATTCCTTGTTGAAGGATCTGCACCCGTAGGGAGATATTATTGATATTATACTTCATTATAGCCTTATGCAGTACTTCCGCTAACAACGGCTAAAGATGCATTCTGGGTAGTAAACCACTTACTATTCATCAAACAAGAGACATTCCCCACCATGAAGAGTGTTAGTATGCAAGGATAGCCAACTCCACTCATTCGATATCAAGGGCTTCCGAATGGATGTCGGCCACTCCAAAGATTCCCTCATTGAACCTGTGGTAATCGGACCTAACGTAGTCATTGGCCAGGTACAACTTCAGAGATGCATACTTCTAGAAACCCCAAAATCAAGGACATTCGTTGCCATTGTCAGTGGCGATATTACCATTGGTCATTGGTAACTAGGTGTGTGTTCCCAAGAGCATCGGGCAAAATTGTTGACAGTAATTGTTGCACCTTATATTATGCCGACCTATTTACCAACCCTTTATTCCCAGATTTTGCTATCATCATGTTAAATACTCATCCTAAACAGGGATATACAAACCGGTCTACACCAACTATTAGAACAATGCTACACCGGCCTTGATTGGCACCAAAACCCAAAGTAGTTTTGATATACCCTTTCCACCCTTTCCATAGCCGTAGTTTGGGGTCCCTGGGGAAGAATATTCAATAAAGAATGACGGTTATTGTGTTGTGATGATAATCAATAGATATAACTTTGGGTTGCGAGTAACTTGTAAGTTAACCACGACGGAGCCGCATCGACATATCTAAACTCTATCACAGCACTTGGTTTATGTTTTTTTGGATGCCGACTATGTATGCTATCATTTATCAAGCGTTAAAAAATATGGTATTGTGAGATCAATTTCATCTATTTCGTTATCATTCATCTTCACCACGATGATGAGCAAGACATCCATTAACTCCTGGTAGTTGAATAGATAAGCTGGTATGCTTATATTTAAGGATTGTGTAAGGCCAGGTTGCTATTAACGCCTCTCTTTGGCTTACTTGAACGGCAGGAAGCTGTTGGAAGTTTCTTCACCCCTAATCGTACTCAACATGGTCCAGGATTCCAGGGAGCGATGTCTTACTAGGAAGGATGGGTTTGTGGGAAAACAACAAACGTGGCCATTATTAAAGATGACTACAATGGTCCTGAAGCTGGTACTGACTGGATACCCAGTGTTTCAAAAGTGGGCGAGCGTTCTCCATAGCACAGAGAGGACGTGTCGGAGTATAGGTACAAGATAAAACGTTTGCCAGGTGAGCCTGTTGACTGACACGTTCGGGCCCAATATCGAACGGGGCTGCTTCAGCGTCTCATCACTCTTCTTCTTGCTGTAGCATCCATCTCGGGATCAGGTACAGCAGGTAGGTGGCCATGCGTCCCAGCCAGATTCTCAATATATGCCCATAACGGCTCTTGGGCATTGCCTTATCGGCCGTATCTAAAGCTCCCACCAAGTTCAGATGAACTAACTGTTTGTGCTATGCAAGTTGAAACAGGGAGCACACATCGTAGCACCCTTGGGCCTTCAGCCCTCTCGGGGTTTGACAGGTGAAAAAGGCCGTGTTCGAACCGACTATCCCCTGCACGCTAATTTCCAGTTAATGAGTTAGCGGAAACGGGAACGGAGTTCAAGTTTGCAGAACATACATCTGTATACGGAGTACCTATCCATATACTCCAAAATATACGGATATTAGTGCGGATAACATAAATTGGGTGGAGAGGACTAATAATAGCGTTATTACCCGTTGTCGGTTGAACGGAAGATACAACATTTACGACATCCATGTCCATCCCACATCGCAACATATATATTGAACCTGCGAATTGATTGCAACCAGGTAGCGGATATTTGACAATACCCACCAATTATCATGCATCTACCCAGGGCCATCGCGCCATCAATATCAAATTGAATGCAGGATCAAAAACGAGCCCAACTTTTCCGCGGCGACATATGTTACATACATGTGGCCAGCCGCATGCGAGCCCATGCCCATGGCTCGACCTGCATCAGCAGTGTACCCGCACCTGCAGTGTCTTGTTTGTCACCTTACATCCTGTAGACAGCTCATTTTTTGCCCTGGTCGAAGATGCATTTCTTACTTCAATGGATTTGCAGACGTAGAATAGGGTTAGACGGCAATATCGCGTGGGATTTTTTGGTTTCGTCGTTTTAAGTCGGTGATATGTCAGCTTAGCTGAGCCGTTGCTTCGCATATACTCGTGGTATACGGAGTACATACATATTTCATCCAGATGGGCAGCAACATCTTCGCACGTTCCATATACATCCGCCTCAAGGAGATCAAATCCAACGCTCGTTTTTCGTCATCACCAAGGTATTTCTTTTTCCCTCCCGTTCCTTGGCTGGTTTGGCTTTTTCCGCTTGATACTTGTTATGGCCGTGATGTTCCGGAAGATGCAGGATCCAGCCCTTCATTATCATTTCGTCCCGTAGTACAGCATGCACCGACATGTACGTGGTAAAAAAGGGGAAACGCCATGATGCTCTCAATGGGAGATTTAGAAGCAATACTCGGTCTGTGGAAAAGAAAACATAGACGGGATGGGGAAAGAAAAAGAGAAATAGACTCGTTTAATCCTACCAAATAAATGAAATGTTCCCTGGATCGGATCCTACTGACGTTGCTTTTCCCACTCTGCCATGATAGTATTGATCACCTTGGTCAACCCCTCAGTTTCCTCCTCGACCATCATCCCAGAGAAATCGGCGCTGCAGCCAACATAGACGGGTATATTCATTCGACGAGCCAGAATCCGGGCCGTGCGCATTGCATAATCTATGCTCGCTGGTGACGAATAGAGAGTCGAGCAGATTGTAGATTTTTGGTTTGAGTTCTGGATGTTCAGATACAACAGGAAGATCGGGGTAGGTTGTTGGTTAGTTGTGTCTTTTCTTTTTTTCTTTCACTTTTCTTAAATTTTGGAGGACATCGGGAGATTAAGGGTGATGATCGGGAGATTCCATCTCCCTCAGACCATGTAAGATCCGAGCAGATATGAGGGATGGTCGACAGCCTTGTTGCTTCCTCCCCTGCCCCACGGTGGGATACTGTGTATTGGACATTGGGCATTGGATATCGTATATTGATACGGGGAGGGCAAGTGAAAAACAAACGAGGCACACACCAACAATAGAAAAGCAAAAAAAGAAAAAAAAGAAAGGATGGGTTCATACATCAGGCATGACATAGACGAAGCTACCCATGGGCCTAGCGACGTTTGAGTCACCTATCGAGGTCGTGGTCAGGAAGATGAGCGTCGATGTAGTGAGACATGTTAGGTGTATATGGAGGTTGGTATGTGACGATTTGGGTAGGGGAAAGGACAGCTCGATAGGATTGAGAAGAGGCTGCTGAGTAGCCATGTCAGTATCTCCTGGATATCCTGCTGGAGTGACAAAAGTCAAAAAAAGTGTTCAAAAGTGTTCAAAGATGTTGAAATGTTCACAGTTGAAGTTGATAACTCGAAGATGTTGTGAAGTTGAAGTTATGAACATGTGACTGGCCGGTTTAGGTAACTTTCAACATCTCAACAGCCTTCTTTTTTACTCTTCAACACAGCGACGAGAAGGCATCCGGATGGTATGATTAGTGTGTATAATTATCTAGCGGTGCGATTGGTGAACGAGAGTGACATCTGAACTGCGATGCAATGAGCAGTCGAGAGGCGCAAGCAGCTGGTGGGTTGGAGGAGGAGGGACGGCCTCACCCGCAGCAGGAAGAAGACGTAGAAGAGCAAGAATGGAGCGGTGCGTTCGATCCGTTTGCTGACCCGGAAGAGCGGAGGGTGCTGTTCGCCTCTCTGGACTCATTCAGGTGTGTTTACGACCGCTAATAGTTATATAACTAACAGATGCTAACGGAGAATAGACAGTACCGCCGCTCAGCGCATCGAAATGTCACCCATCGAAGGCGTCAGTCGTTTTATGCTCTGCCCTCGTTGCACTGGCAGACACTCGCAGCTCCGCCGTTCAAGCTGCTTGAGACGTTCGACAAGGTCGATGCTGCCATAGATTCCAACGCCGAAGTGGCGGAAGCCATCCTCGACTCGGCACTGGAAGCCTTTCAGCTTCCCAAGCACCCGCAGACTCAGGAAGCAGAAGGGCGGGGAGACGTCAACTGGCACGACAGGGCGACTTCGTCGGATGTGAGCAAGGCCAACTCGACGATCCGCCAGCTCTACCGCGACTGGAGCGCCGGAGGTGCAGGGGAGAGAGAGTCATGCTACGGCCCGGTCATGAGAGACCTGCAGGCCGAGTTTGGCGAGAAACCTGCACCAGGCACCCGGGTGCTCATCCCCGGAGCTGGCCTGGGGAGGCTGGTGTTTGATACCGCAATGGCTGGTTCGATGCTGAAGGGAACGAGATCTCGTACCATCAACTGGTGACGAGCAGCTGGGTGCTGAACCGGACACGGCGCAAGGAGGAGTGCGCCATATATCCGTTTGTGCTGCACTTCTCTAACCTGCGGACCCGTGAGCAGCAGTTCAAGAAGGTGCTGGTTCCAGACGTCCATCCCGGTTCCGCGGTGAGAGGCTACGAGGAGGCAGAGGAGACTGCTGGGGCAACTGGCGGCAGGAAGGAGACGAAGAAGATGACGGGGACGATGAGCATGACGGCGGCTGATTTCCTGCTACTGTACAACGAGGAGTCTAACCGGGAGGCCTTCCACGCAGTAGCCACGGTCTTCTTCATCGACACGGCGCCGAATCTGATACGATACATCCAGACGGTGCATCACTGTCTACGGCCGGGCGGGATATGGACCAACGTCGGGCCGCTACTATGGCACTTTGAGGACAAGCCTGCACCCTCGTCGTCGCGTACGCAGTCTACGTCGGGCAAGGTGGTAGAAGATGCGGCTGCGTCCGCACACGCACCGGGCGACGACGACCTGGAGAAGGAGTATCAGGGCCACTCCCACGGCCACCACGGTCACAGCCACGGTCACAGCCACAGCCACAGCCATGGCCGGGGACACGGCGGTCAGGGCGAGGGTATCGGCGACCCAGGCGTCGTGGAGCTGTCGCAGGACGAGGTACTGGCCTTGATCGAGAGGATCGGCTTTACCATCGAGAAGGTAGAGGATGATATCGGGGGTTGTGGATATATACAAGATCCAGACAGCATGCTCTTCAACATGTACAAACCTGTCCATTGGATAGCCAGGAAGCGATAATCTTCTTCTCCTCCTCATCATCTCGTCTCCATCGTCTCTCTACCGTAATACATATACTAATAATACAAATAATACCAGCGTAACCCGGGGTAAACTTGGTAATACACATACGCAACACCCAAAAAGTCGCGATGCGCCAAACTTCAACTTCGGCTTCAGCTTCAACTTCTTCCTCTTTTGGCAGTTTTTCTCTCTTCTTCTTCTTCTCCTTCGAGTCTCTCTCCCATTTTTCTCCCTCGACTTGAGCCGCCACACGAAGAGAGAGAGAGAGGCGCAGTTCCACTCTACACGCACACTTCACTGGCCGCAAAATCCCCCCACCACCTCCTGCAGCGCAGCCTCGTTGCTTCGTCTCAGCCCCCAGTCAAAGTGTTGGTTGCTCGTCTTGTTTTTTTTTTTTCTCTTCCCGCCAGTCTTGCCCTTCCTCTCGCTTCTCGCCTCGACCTCCAGCAAGGAAGAAATAGAGAGAGAAGAAGAAAAGGAAAAATAAAAATAAAAAAAAATAAGGATCCTAGCCTGTTCTTCTTAATATCTTGCCCAGGGCTAAGAAAAAATAGGGACCCCGTATTATTTCTCCCCTCCTCCTCCTCCTCTTCCTCTCTCCTCCTCTTCTTCTCTCTTCCCCTTCTCTTTATATACTATATCAACTCCCGTTTTATGGATCTCATGAGCTCTCGATTCAAGTCCTTCGGTTTTGGCAACAAGCGCAAAAGCGGCTCCTCTCTCGCTCCTACAACCACCTCTACCAGCACGCCCAACGGGTCGCCCTCCCAGCCGTCGCCGCCTCCAGGCAACACATCCAACCCAAACGCCTCGTCCGCCAGTCTCCCCATGAACCCGCAGAATCATCTCGGCCGTCCGCCCAGCTACACCTACGCTCCCGGTGCCGGCAGACCTGCCAGCCCGCTCCCGCCAGGCCACCAGCACGGTCAGCAGCTCGCCCACCATCCACCGCCTCTGAATACCGGCGTGGGCGTCCCATACCCTACAGGTGGCATGTCCTCTGCCCCTCCTCCGCCGGGGTATGGTGGCTATCCGCCTCAGTCGGCCGGACAGGGCCATGGCATCCCACAGCCCCTCGCGCCCTTTCGGGGGCATACCGGAGAGCTCGACAACCAGGCGCGGAGCAAGGCACAGCTGATTGTGGGTATTGATTTTGGTACCACTTTCTCTGGCGTTGCCTATGCTTTTGCGACCAATACGGAGGCGCGAGAGGATATCATCACCGAGTGGCCGGGTGCTGGCACACATACCAAACAAAAGGTAGCCATTATAACATACTTATACACGATTCTAATGCTAATGAGTTATTAGATACCTACAGTGCTATACTACGACCAGTATCAAAAGGTCGTGGGTTGGGGGCCTGATATTGCCGATGCTCTCGCTCCCACCGGATACCCAAAAGCAGGCGTACAAAAGGTAGAATGGTTCAAGCTACAGCTCATGTCTTCCGGCGGAAATACCTACATCGACCCCATAAACCTCCCCCCTCTACCGCCAGGGAAATCGGAAATCGATGTTGCGGCTGACTACCTCTTCCATCTACGCGGTGCCATGCGAAACCAGCTCCAGAAGACGCTGGGTGAGGTATTTAACCGTGAAGAACGCAACATCCGCTACTTCTTGACTGTCCCCGCCATCTGGAACGACGCTGGTAAGGCCGCGACTCGTGCTGCCGCCATCCAGGCCGGTTTCCTGCGCGATGAAAACGATAATCGTCTCACCCTGATCACCGAACCAGAGGCTGCCGCCATGTTCTGTGCAAAGACTGGTCTCCTCAACCTCAAGATCCATGATGCGATCCTCATCGTCGACTGTGGTGGTGGAACCGTCGATCTCATCGCCTACGAAGTTGATGAGGAGACCCCATTCAGCGTCTGCGAGTGTACGGCCGGTTCTGGTGACAGCTGTGGTTCCACCGCCCTCAATCGTAATTTCAGTAACATCCTGCGGGCAAAGATCAGAAAGATGAAGCTGCCTGATGGCTCGCGCACGGCCGGAAAGGTATATGCCAAGTGTATCATGGATTTTGAGAACAGAATCAAGGCCGATTTCAGGAATAACGGGCAAAAGTGGGCCGTTGACGTAGGTATCGAGGCTGACTTCCCGGAGGCCGGCATTGAGGAAGGTTACATGACCTTTACCAACGAGGAGATCCTGCAATGTTTCGAGCCCGTGGTCAATCGTATTTTGGAGCTGGTTAGGAACCAGATCATTGCCATCCAGGCACAGAACAGGCCATTGCAAGTGAGTAAACTAAAATGTTCAGTTTTTCGTCATATTCTAATAACGTTATGTATAGAACGTCCTTGTCGTCGGTGGATTCGGTGCATCGGAATATCTCTTCCAGCAAATAAAACTTCATGTCCCCCCACAGTACCAGTCCAAGGTCGTCCGCCCCATGGACTCCGTTGCCGCCATCGTAAAGGGAGCTGTAACAGCCGGTATTACCGAGCGTGTTGTTACCTCCCGTGTGGCCCGTAGACATTACCTAATGGCCACACTGCAGCCGTTCAAGGAGGGCCATCACCCCGAGCAATACCGCGTCCCGTCTCTTGACGGGAAGGACAGATGCAAATACACACGCCAGATATTCGTGCAAAAGGGTGAACGTATCAAGAACGGCGAACCTGTCAAGGTCAGCTTCTTCAGACAGGTAGCGCCCGGTGCGACACTGATGTATGAGGATATCCTATACGCCTGCGACGAGGATGTCTGTCCGGAATATACCAAGGATCCACGTAAGATTCCCCTCCCCCTTTTCTAAGATTCATTCCTTTCCATAACACCTAACAGTAAACTAACTGTCGGTTCGATGTATAGGAATCAAGGAAGTTGTCACTCTCACGTCCGACTTGTCTCGCAAAAACCTAGAAAAGGACTTTGAGCGTATGGACACGCCCCAGGGTACTTTCTATCGTGTCTACTTCGACATTTACCTAACACTGGACGGAAGTGAGTTCAACGCCGAACTCGTCTGCCAGGGAGAAGTTATGGGACGTTGTTCAGCAAGATTCCGATAGTTAGGTACTTTGGTATTCCCATCGACCTCTCCCTTCCTCCCTCCCTACCTCAGTCATGCAAGAGGACAACCCAAAAAAAGCCGATGAAAACAAATAAATCGAAAGAGAGGGTAGTTCTAAGCAAAAAAATTACCTCGAGAGATGGAGAAAGGAGACAGGAGCTTCGGTCCCACCCCTTTCCCCCCGTCGAATTACGCCTTGGTTTATTGGCCTTGACTTTTATCCGTGATAGATTTCTTTTCTTTTCTTTTTCTCTACCTACCCTTCATGCCTTTCTTTTACCCATTGTTGAGTTGGTGCCGGTTTATTCTACCTTGCTCATACTCACGCAGCTTCAGCACACACACACAGCATTCACGCCATCTACGATATCTACAGAAACATCACAGCATACTAACGCACGCTCGACCTGCTCTGCTCTGCTAAGTAATATAGCCAGCCTTGCTCTACCATTTTATATACCCCCGCCTACCTACCCCTTGATCCGACTGGCCCAGCATATCTTTATCGTTAGCTAAATACCAAATAAAAACATCGTTCTTCTTCTACTCCGTATCACTCCTTATGTGGCTGACTAGTTGCCTGTCTGCCTTACTGACAGACCGCTCCCGTTTCCTTTTCTTATTCCTGTTGTTTGCTACTGTACAAAAGAAAAGACCAGCTCTTACCCGAAAGTAAAGTAATGAGGAAAGAAGAAAAGAAGCCCAATGCTCTTATTCCACTGACGATCATACGATCTTTACATAAATCGCTGGGCATATCCTTTTTTCTTCACTTTTCTTTCTTTCCCTCCCCGAACAGCCAGATGGATATACAAGGATAGGCCTGACAGGCTAACATGCTGACGGGCCAGCGGGAAAAGCAAAGAAAGACGAATGCTGCAGATGCAGAATCGACCAGTCATCCGCCTCCATGTCGCTTTATCCCTGCATTAAGCATGAAGCGTGAAGATAAAGAGGAGGCTGTGCAAGTTAGAGAGCCCCCTGGGATTGACTTTATCTGGAGAACAGACACGCGACCTCCTCCCTTTCTCGTCTCGGTCCTCCTTTTTTGCTTCTTTGAGGTAATACGTTGCCGTGTATGTAGCTGGGATACAGTTAGGCACCCAGGCAGGTCGAATGCGCCTTTTTCCTTCTGCTTTGCTTCTCTTTTTCCACGTCGCTTTTACTCATTCGTTTTCGGAGAGGCATTTATTTAGCTGTCGCTGCGATCGTTGCATACCCGTCTCCAGGTGTTCGTTGCTCATTGCCGATGTCAAAAATATTTATTATCGGGCAACAGTGCTTGCACATCACTTGGCAGCTCTCTTCTTTGCCTTCTCGGTGCGAAATAGATCCTTTCTCGGTGAAGATGGATTGGGCAAAAGCTCACTTGACCACCTGGCATGGCACAACGCAGTGGCTTGCAGCTAGCGACTAGGGGGCTAGCTGGAAAAGTTGCAGCCACGGCTACCGCGGTAAACCAGTCGCATAAAACACCGCAATATGGAGAAAAACATAACTTTATGGATCCTGGACTGTGCTTATGGATGTTCTCCGCTCAAAGCATGTAGATGGTCACTTGTGAGGATGCTTTTCATGTTCAATTCATGCAGTACGAGGCGCAGCGCTGGACAGGGGGATGGAATCACTCGGAGCACAAATTGCGAAGGAGAAATAACGAGAATCGACCTGTTTGTGCCTTTGTGATTCTGCTCAGCCGGCTATCTCATCTGCGAGAAACGGGAGGTCCATTCAGCTGTCATAGGTAGGCTCGTTGGCTACGAGAAGCCACTTATCCCCTGATCCCCTGCAAGGCGTTTTCGCTCCCTGTCCGCCACTTCTAGCCACTTTGTAAAAAAGCAAAGGGATAAAACGATTGGAGTGTATCGTGGGGGTTTTTCACCGAGCGCCAGAATGTCGAAAGGTTGACCGACTGAATGACCTTTCCTCCACTACTCCACCGTCCAACGGTCCAGACGGTTTTGTCTGCCAGCGAACCCCTGCTTGGAGTTTGTCCAACGAGGGCCCAGAGGTGACATTCAGCTCGTCTTTGCATACTGGCCAAGTTGGAGGAGGACAGACTGAATTGAAAACACTTGCAGGAATGACAGTTGACGAAAAAGCAACGAACAACCAGGGAGAAAAAGCCAAATCATACTTCGGCCTACTTCGAATTCATACTTCACGGTTTTACGAGGTCGAGGAAACCATTGTGGATGGGATGAGATTCATTCTCTCCTTTCTTCGACGTTGTGCTCTCGATTTGCGCTTCGTACTTATTACAAGCCACATCGGTTAGTAGGTAGGGAGGCAAAGGCTGGTGACAAGCAAACAGCCGCCCTCTGCGCAGAAATAATTAGTGCTAGTCAATAATAGCCCTTCTGATATAACACAGGGATCTCTGTCGCGGGGGTGGGTACGGACTAAAAGTCAACCATCGACATGGAACGCTGCTTGGCCGTTGTCGCACCTCAAAAGAGCATAAAAAATGCAAGTGTATATATTTATAGGCGTAGCTCCTCGGTATAATCGGCTAAATTGGTAATAGCTGCTGTCACGAGCATAGCAGGCTGCTGGGGCAAGAGGGCGCATAGATCTATCCAAGTCGTCAGCGTTGTATCAATTCCATCATCGGTGAGCTCCCCGTTTCATATACTTCATCAAAGAGGATGGAATAGCCAGGGTGGAATCGAAAGATCGCGTGGCCTTCTTCCATCCCGAAGTGAGTAAGAAAAAGAAAAGAAAAAAGCAAAAAGGAGCAATTCAGTCATACAGACTATTTTACATACTTGAGTGTTATTTGCGTACCTAATGCCGTTTCCACGCCGTATTCAAACGCCCTTGATGGCATATCTCTCCGTAGTCGGCGTCACAAAGCCATTCAATCAGCGGTCTCTCAACCACTCATTCCGGCCCTCTCCAGCTGCTGTGAGCCCAGGGAAATTTGGTCGGCGCACGGACAAGGACAGGCGATCTGAAGCCGTGGGCCATGGACCATGGATTAAGGATGATGGACTGTGAAAAAGCATGAGTTTAGTTAGCGGTGGAACCCCCTTTACCTTCGCGCGATTGCCTGCAGGAAAATAAAAACAACTTATCCACACCCAAGGCATATGTTTTATGGATGGCTTGGGAGAAGAGAGGGGATAGGGTAATGGTTTGATGCTTTTTTCTTCTTGTCATCTCCAAGGGTTGAGCTTGTGAATGATCGTATGTCTGCTCGTAGACCCAGCCCAAGTGCTTGTCTCACATTCACGAATAGGGATCGTTGGCGGATTTTTCATTGCTTCGGTGGCTCAGCTCGCTATCAATGGGGCCGACACTGTTCAGTGTGTGACTGGACTGGGCTATATTGACTGAGACTTCCGGGACTTTTGCTCCTTGCTGGAATAAAATCCCTTCAGGAATCCTGTTTCCTCTTCTTTTATTTTCTTTCTCTGTTGGCCGTAAGAAATGGATTTCGCTTTAAGTCCCCATATATTTCATTCTGTTCGAGCTCTTTCCTCGACCGCTTTCTTTTTGCTGCAATAACATTCATTTTTATATGGGATATTGCCCGTTGCCGTCATCCATAGAATCGTTGCCATCATGTTCATCCTCTTTAACGCCGCCTACCTGGTGGCCATCATCTGTATCACCCTGACCTGGACACACAAATTGCTCTCTCGTTCCTCATGGAGTATCCGGGATCAAAAGACCGGGAAACGTACCCAGGGAATAACTGTTCCAGTTCCAAGTTCTGTTCCAGCTCCAACTCCAGCTCCAGTGCGAGAGAAGCCGAAATATCGAATCACTATGGGCCTCAAGAGAATGGACAAGGCTGGCTGGCTTGTCGTTGATGATACCTATACCGCTAGGCATGAAGTTCGAGCAAGCCTGTTTAACACCCGGAACCGAGAGGTCTCACAGTGCCTCCCTGAAGCAAAAGGTGCATGCAGTGAGGCCCTGAAGGAGGTGTCCTCCTTCCTGTGCAAGACACACCCTGGTATGTTTGAGCTCAAAGAGTCAACATCCGGCACTGTCGTAAGAAATAAACGTATGGGAGAAGAGTTCCCCCTTGAGAACGGCAGTATTCCGCCTCTGGAAGCAGCCGCTAGGTTGGCCATGGAAGACATGACCATCCTCCTTAAGAACGACAACGGTGACCACTATGTGTACGTTAAATCTATCAAACAAATTAGCTATCGACTTTCGAAAAAGGGAGTTCAACTTGCTGATGATATTCAATATTGTAGGGCTGCAACGTCCAGTGCATTCCTTATTGGCTGGTCTGCCAATACACGCATGGGATCAACGCTGAACGAGATGCATGCACCCGTACCGCAGTGGGCTCGACAGATTGCCTTTTCCGTGAACAAGTATGCCTGCCTTGATATCTTCATATTGTCCCTTTGTTGTTCGTTTGGTTCAGTGACCGCTCATTTCATGATTCACTCCCGCTGACGTGTTGATATATAGGTTCATGGCCCGGCTAACCCCTGAATCACCCATGGAACGCTCCAGCTACTTCATCCAGGTCATCCAGCCAGACGAGCCATGGGAATCTATCCTCTTCCAACCCGAAGGCCTGCTGCAGGACCATACCAAGCCCACCCCTGAGCGTGTCCTCATCCGTCGTGAGAGGCAAACCTTCTCTCGTCTCCCCGTATCCAATGGTATCCTCTTCACGGTCAAAACAACGGTCTCGTTCCTGCAGGATCTGCCCCTTGCCGAGCTTCAACTGCTGGCCAAGGACTTCGAGAGCTGGCCGGAAGACATGGCAGCGTACAAAGGTCGTTCTCATTGGGGAGAAACAATCCTGAGCTTCTGCCAGGCAAAGGAAGCTATGACGTAGCTTGCTGACAAAGCAGGCATTTTTATAGTCTTTTTTTTTTCTTAGGCTGGACAGTTGGACATTTTGATATCCATGGTATACCATGTTTCTTGGATGGCTTTTTCTTCTTTCATTGGCATGGGATGGGAAAGGGGCATGTATCATCAGAGGAAGGGTGGGTGGTATTTTGAACTTGATTTTTTTTATCATAAAGGCTCTGTCAACTAGAACTTTGCATTGCTAGTTCAACAGAAATGAGTAGTTGGGAGGAAGCCCATATAAACAATTATATTTGCATGAAGAGAAGAAGAAAAGATACGTACAAAACCGAATTAAAAAAAACCTCTATATATGTAATTGCGGGGAAAGAGACGCCCTATAAGTAACAAGAAAAGAAGGGTACCCGTGCCACATGCGTATCCTCCATTTAAAGGCGTGTAGCACGGTAAAGAGAAAAATCACAGTCGACTGGAATTATAGTTTGCTGCTGCTTGGGGGCTTGTCTTGCTTAAGTCGAACGACTCCCTGCGTCAAATGGTCAGCCGTCTTGTCTAGGAGCTTGCAAGGGTGTTTCGAGGGTTGAGGGAAGGGAGGAAAAAAAGAAATATATCAAAGGGGATTAGGATTTTTTATTTTTTCAATTACCTCTTGCACGCATGTCGCGATCAGGGTGCCATCTTGAGCCCACATCTGCTGCAGGACAAGGCCTCGGCCGGCCCCAGCCCATGGAGTCCTCATCTCTGCGAATATCCATTCGTCTGCACGGAACTTCCGCCTGTCGTGGAAATATATCGTGTGATCCAGACTGACCATCATGCCTATTTCCATATTGGGGTCGGCTGAAGTCTGTTTTGATAGCTTTAACTCCTGTTCCTCTTGCTCCGCTAGATCCTGAAGGTATTTTTTGACTAGCTCATCTTCAACGCCCGTATCCTTCTTGAGGGCTGCAGCAGCCTTATCTATAGCACCCGGCGACGAAAAGCGGCGGATATTGTGAACCTTAGACACGGTGCCGATGAAGTAGCTATCCGACATGTAAGCTAAGGCCGTTAGATGGGCCTGTCTGCCACCTTCTGCAGATATGGTGCCTCGAGCCTTGTTAAATAGTTGCAAGGACCTGTCCGCAGCGTGGGGGGAATCTCCTATTTGCTCGAACCCATGTCATTAGCCACAAGCACGCGCTATTATTATTTTTTATACATCCACCACTTTTTTAATAAGAATTATTATGCATATAATCTGCGTGCTTCCCGGATGCTTACGTACTATTCGTCATGCCAACCTGTCTAGACTCGAACGGGCCTCGACCTCGGCCAAATCCCTCTGGCTGCTTTGGCAGGGGAACATCCGGCTTCTTCCTGGTATGTTTGATCTGCTTCTCTCCTCCGCTTCCTTCACGGTCAAAACTTAGGGTTGTGGTAAATATGGGCCGTCCCTGCTGTCGAGCTTGGACTGTTCGGGTTGCAAAACTCCGTCCATCACGAACTCGCTCAACATGGTATAGAACCGGTAATTGTGAGTCTCCAGACAGGACAAAGTAGCAGTGCATACTATGAGGGTAGAAATCCGGCGGTACCGTCCTCTGGGCGGCGGAAAGGCATTGGGCTATGGCGGCGCCACCGTAGATACCTCGAGCGCCTGGAGGGTGCCAGAGCGGCCTGGTATTCGTGAAGACATCCTAGTAAGATAATGTCCGTTAATCAATCGTGTCCTTTTCCCAAGAACAGATGCTGCACATACCGGTCCGATATCTGTCACTGGCGTGAGCTCGAGGACGTTCTCAATCTGCGACTTTGAAGGATCATGGGGAGGGGCCTCGAATATAGTTGCACCCATCTTAAGCCGCCTTGCACTCTTTCTTTCCAGTTCTTTTCAGGTTGAAACTCCAAGATGGGACGAAAACCTCATCGAGAAACCCTCCACCGAGCGAGAAGCTCGATATTTATTCTTGAACCTGCTAAAAATCGCTGCTTCGGAGCCGGCCTTGTGAATCTTTCTCCTTTTTTGCGCCATCAAAAGTTCAAGCCGAGGTTCATCTAGCTTATATAAGCACAGAGAATAAACTAGTCACGTGGTTGTTTAGCGCTTCTCGCGTTTATTTTATTTTTTTTATTTTCGACAAACAAATTTGAAGATGTTAATAATAATAATAAATTAAGGATCTTGAATGTTTTCAGCATCTTATATATAGTGTGAAGCTGCGTTTTGATGATATCTTGGTATACATGGATGACGATACAAGCATGAGGGCTAAGGTGGAGGGCGACCAAATGTTTTACTCATTCCAGCACCAGAACCAACATGCTCTATGGACGAACGCAGCCCTTCGTATTCAAACGGCCATAAAAGCACCGGTTTCTTCTCGTAAGAAGCCTCCATATCATTGATACTGATAGAGAGGCTGAAGAGGGACTGCTAGGTCATAGAGCTGATCGACTCAGCGATGTGTTTGAGGACCTACCAAGTGGATGTGAAGATATCGGAATCTGGGACCTTGCTCCCTTACCCCTGGTTCAGAATCTAGGGTGCATATGTCTGCGGTCCATCTAGATGATTACTTTGGCTAAGCTCTGCAGAAATCACCAATACATAAGTAACAGAAAGTGTTGTTCTCACATCTACGTGTGTAGAATGATATATGATGGCCACTGAAGCTCCTTCCAACTGTTCCTTCTAGAAAGGCTCGATGAAGCTTTCGTAAAGGCAATCAATGAGACTCTCCTTGGGCCGACAGGACGTTGGAGTTGGTAGAGAGTCGAGTAGAAGACAAAAGCGATGGCGAAGGTAGAGACAGATATCGATACATATTATAGAGTCGCAGGCTCACGAGGAATCCATGAAGCCACAGCTACCATCAAAGACCAGGTCTCGGACTTTTATGGCCATGTAGCAGAGCATACTACTATGTATACAGGCAGTCTTCGAGACGAGTTTTAACTTCCGTCCATCCATGGACCAGAAGCGACAGATGCTGTGTCCAGTCCGCTCTCCAGAAGAACTTCCATGCCAGGGGACTCTTCATACATCGAACATGTATATACTATATATTATATATACGATGTATATACGATGTCTGCTCGACAGGCTCAACAGAAAACATGGGAAAAATCGCCTCGGTTAGATGCCTGCAAGTCTCGCTCAGCCTAAATTGCGGTTCCCACACATACGCATCACCGATCGATGCCTTTCAGCCAATGGATACGACATGCTCGACGTGAGCTGGGAATCCCTGGACTTTTTTGATGTCAGTAAGACAGAGCTGGCGATGTCGGACTTGGTGGGCTGGCGGTGGACTCCGCCGATCTGCTCAAGGCCCGGAGATGGCTGGGATAGTATGGCGGTCATATATATATATCGAAATCCTGTCCTCAGACAAGCTCAAGAGCCAGACGAGCTGTGGTAGATACGAATTGACAGCTGGTCAAGATGCGCTTCTCGACTCTAGTCAGTCTCGCTGCCTGCGCGGCCGCTGCTTTGGCCTGCGACTCCTGCAGCGACCCAGGCAAGCCGGCCCAGCACAACAGACTGGTGCGTCGCATGCAGCCAGAGGCAAAGGGAGCCCTCACGAAGCCCAAGGGACCTCTCGAATGGGGTCAGCTCAACTTCCTACACACCACTGATACCCATGGCTGGCTCGAGGGACACCTGAAGGAGCGCAACTACGGCGCTGACTGGGGAGACTACGCCTCCTTCGTGAAGCATATGAGGAAGAAGGCCGACAAGCTCAAAGTCGACCTGCTCCTCATTGACTGCGGTATGCTCTTTTTCCTTCTTATAGCTGCCGCTTTATAACTGATCATGGACAAGGTGACATGCACGATGGAAACGGGTTGAGCGACTCGACTTCGCCCAACGGAGTCATCTCCAACGAGATATTCTCTCGCATCGACTACGACCTGCTGAGCATTGGGAACCATGAGCTCTACGTGACGGATGTTGCCTACGAGACGTTTGCAAACTTCTCCAAGGCCTACGGCGAGAGATACGTGACCAGCAACGTCCAGATCATCGACAAGAAGACGGGCAAGTACGAATACATCGGCCAAAAGTACCGCTACTTCACGACCCAGCATGGCCTCAAGATCATGGCCTTTGGCGTGCTCTTCGAATTCACCGGAAACTCCAACGTCTCCAAGGTTATCAAAGCTGCAGACCTTGTCCAGGAGTCCTGGTTCATCGACGCCGTCAAGACGCCCAAGCCAGTCGACCTCTTCATCATCTTCGGGCACACGCCTGCCCGCACCGATGACAAGTTCCCAGCTCTCCGTATCTTGCGCCAGAAGATCCAGGAGCTTCGTCCCGGTGTCCCCATCCAGGCCTTTGGCGGCCACAACCATGTCAGAGACTTTGTCGTCTACGATGAAACCTCCACCGCTCTGGGATCCGGACGATACTGCGAGACCCTCGGATGGCTGTCCATGACCGGAATCAAGTCTCGTACCTACAGAGGCAGCATGAAGCCAAAGGGCGTCCCCAACCCGACTCGACGGGCCATCAAGGGCAATGCCACCGATTCTTCTTCTTCCACCGAATCTCACCCTCGCCCGCCCAAGGGACTGGACCTCCGTTATGCTCGCCGTTACCTAGACTGGAACCGCTTGACCTTTGCCTACCATGCCTCCAAGTCCCAGGACAGGCAGTTCGATACCCTCCCGGGCCAGCGTATCACCCACGATATCACCGATGCCCGTAAGGAACTCAACACGTCCACCGTTCTCGGATGCGTCCCGGAGACCTACTGCATGTCCTGCCTCCCCTTCGAGGACAAGAACAACATCTACCAGGTCGTCATCGACATGCTGTCCAAGGTCGTCGTCAAGGAAGATCGAGCCGATAGGCCGAGGCTCCTCCTCCTCAACACCGGCGGTGTCCGATTCGACCTCGTCAAGGGCCCCTTCACCAAAGACGACGAATACATCGTCTACCCCTTCAAGAACCAATTCCAGTACCTGCCCGATGTACCCTATTCCATCGCCAGCCAGCTCCTGGACGCCCTGAACAAGGGGCCGTACCAGAAACGTGCGGATGAGTACACCCCCATGCTCGCTCCCCGGCTCAACGCAGATGAAGTCTGCGCCGACCCATCGCCGGAATTCATCGAGCTCCAGCGCCGTGAGGCCCCCCAGCCCTACAAGGCCTTCACCCGCCGCACCATCGACTCCTCGATGCTGTACCCCGGCTACACCACCTCCGATGACTTTGGCCTCGACGGCGACGACACGCCTCACTCCAAGATCCCATACTACAAGGTTCCCATCGACGTCCAGGCCAACGCTTCCTTCCCTACCGACGGCTCCAAACCTGAGCTCATCGATCTCGCCTTCGTAGACTTCATCGGCGCAAGTTTTGTCATTCCAGCCCTCAACAAACTTGGCGGGAAGTACTCTGCCGGCGATATCCAGCCATATAAGGACTTTGGTGAATCGAGCTTCTTGCGCGAATATGCTCTCAAGTTCTGGCAGAAAGGCTTGCCTGACTGCCCTACTTCCTAGGTGCAGACGTTTTCTTTAGTATGGAGTGTCGGAGGATCTTTAACTGTTAAATATCTAATAGCTGGTTATTAATCATATACATAGATATATATATATATATATATATATATATATTAGTTTACTACCAAGTCCCAGACGAGGCTCATACCATGTATATAACTAGCGCAATACTCTGGTTGAGCAGAAGAAAAATGAAGCCACAAAACTCAAACATCACAATAAAGCATCACAACACAAACTGCCTCCCTCTGCAACCATTTAGCAAAAAAAGAGAAGAAGAGCCAGACCGAAAGACAGGCTGACTGACAAAGACTTGGAGCAAGATGTGGCATCGCCCGGAATCGAACCGGGACCAACTCGGCTTTGCTGTGTCCACAACGAGTTATCATGACCATTAGACTACGACACCAGGCGGATGCTGCAGATGCTACGGCCGCTTCAGGATGAGGCTCGAGGTGAAGATACGAATACGGAGGGGTTCTTCACAATGTGAGTGTTACTGTCATCTTGTCTCCAAATCACGTCCCATGGCTGGCATATTAATACGATTACTAGAACTCGGTATATACACAGTACATGCAGTTACACGGCACAAAAAGCAACCAAAAGAGAGAGAATCGAGAGACTGAGAGGCGGGGGAAGTGCCATGCCTCGTAATATATCAAAGCCAGTGTTGCCACAAACCACCAGGATAATAACTACTATGTATGAGAGAAAGAAAGGCGTGGCGTCGAAGCGACGGTGGTTGGCAAGCCACGTCCATCACTGTTCTATCTTGCCGCCAGGGAGTTCAAAGTAGAACTTGTTGTACTTCTCTGGATGATAAGAGGAAAAGTAGTCCATATACAGCAGCTCTTCTCGTGCCTTGGGCTTGATGGTCAGGTCAGAGAAGCTGCGCAACACTCTGCCGAGGGTGACATATAGCTCGCACTCCGCAAGTCTGGATTCCGGACACAAGGGAGAAAAAGAAAAAACATGTTAGCCCCATGCACACGGAGTTCAGACCGCCATAACTGGTAGGTTGATTGGCCGGGGATGAAATACTGCAGGGAAACGGGTGGACCGCATGAAGAAATTGGGAGAGAAAAAAAGAAAGCAAGAGAATACAGGGCTTTGGTAAAACTTACTGCATGCCAACGCAGGCGCGGGATCCTTTGCTAAATGCCACAAGATACCTTTCGAGTTCGATGCTGGCGGCCGGATCTAGCCAACGCGAGGGATCAAACTTGTCTGGGTCAGGGAAGATGTCTTGATTTCGATGCATGGTCCACGAACTCATGCCCACAATCGTCTAGGTAAACAGGAGGTTGGCTATCCATCTACATAATAGTACTGCTGAAAAGGGACTGGGGCTGGGGAGGTACGGAGTACTTACGCCGGCCGGTACTTCATATCCATCGAACTCGGCTCCGGGCTCTGGGACGACTCTCGGAAGGCGTCCAACAACTCCGAACGACAAGCTAACAATATAATACCCTGTCAGTCATTGTCTTGGAAGAGATGACGAGCTTGGATCAAAGAGTCTCGTGCTCTGTACTCTGTCACTCACCGCAAGGCTTCCTTGATGATACCGGTCTATATGGTAAATAATATCAGCAACGTTTCGCCCATGAAAAATACGTACAGGGCTATGACAAACAAAGTACGGCAATTTCTCAAGAGTGACAAAGTCGATGTCTCCATTTGGATCCGGGAATGCTTCTCGCAGTTCGGCGGTCACCGTTGCATATATATTCGGGGAGGAAACGGTGTGATATAGTGCTACCGTCATGGCATTTCCCGTCGTGTCCGCAGCGGCTGCAACAACAATATACGCTTCATCTTTCAACTGCTCAACTGTCGGGATGTCTTTCATGAACTCCGGGTTTAAGAATTGATGGAAAATAGTCAGCCGCTCCGGTTTCTCGTTTGCTTCGACCTGGCGTTTGACTCTGGCCACCTGCTCTCGGCTGCTCTGATGGAACATCAACATGCTGGTTAAGGATGGGCTGGTCAACTTTGCCATCCATAGTGGTATCCCTAGCAGGATTGGTCGCATAAAGGGAACCTGCTGGAAGAGCCAAAACATCGGACCGAATCCTCGGATCACATCGAAAAACGGTGCGCCGAAGTCATCTTTCTCAAGAAATTTATAACAGTTGTCAAAAGCATAGTCGCTGATGACATCGATTGAGATTGCTCTGAAGCCATGATGGAGATCTATACCCCCGCAAGACTCGAGCGCAGAAGATATGCGCTTCACTAGGGTTTTGGCCTTTGACTGGACAATGTCTTCAAGCTCAAGGACACGCTTTCGAGAGAAGAATGGGTTAAACGCCGCTCGCTTCATCCGGTGAATGTTGTTATCGGCAGTCGTGAAGGTTGCTTTATCCACGCCAAAGGCATCGTAGAACGGCGCACTCTTGTTATACTTGGTTCCGACATGGTAAATCTTATCATAGTTCTCCGGATTGCTTAGATGGATCTCATCGGGCGTTATTCGTACCACAGGGCCTACTCGATAACATCGTAAGCATGATTTCGATCTTATTGTATAAGTTGTATAATTTTTTTTCAGGGAACGAATCAAACGGGTGGCGCACCGTATATCTTATGGAGCTTCTCAACCTGCAGATAAAACTTCCCATCAAGTATACCATTGAAATAAAAGGAATATAGATTAGTTGCCCTGGCCAGGAACGGCCCGGGAATATGTGCCAATGGATGGAAGGCGATCCGATATATAACAACAGCTGTATACCAGAGGAGAATGCCCAGTCCTCCAGCTGTGGCAAGGGTCGCGAGAGACGAAGGATCAGTCAAATAACCAGTAAAGCCAGCCATGGTTCTTCCCAAGAACGTTAAGATATAGCCTGTCTCTGGGGGACCAAAAAGAGATCAGTCATTAATACATCAAGGCCATATGCAGTATTATATAAATAGGGAGCAAGACGAGACTAAAACTGTCAAGCTGGCCCGCAATTTATACTCCTCCGTATATACATATTAAGAGCCAACCACCCCGTCACAAGTAACGATATCGAACCTTAAAAAGCCACCTGGACATGTAAGTACACGAGAGAGCTGGTGGGCTTGAGATACAGTCCTGTTGTGGAGTGGAACTCAACCCGGCGAGCAAAGGAGAAATGGGCGAGATATCCACAGCCCCTGAAGGTGCTAGATCAGCAGTTTTTGCACCAGGGTAACAGGTGAACTGTCGAAATTTGGCCACCTGGCTTGGTATCTACTATCTATAGTTAGTTAGAGTAAATGATACGACTGGAATTTGTGATTCTGCACTCCATAGCCAGGCTTCACTACTCCGTATTTAAAATCCGCGCTTGTCACACACATGAACATTGGTTGGCTACCAACACATGGTTTCAATTCAGATATGGGCTAAGCAGTAGCATCGGGAAAACCGTGGGGGGTTCGGTAGACGTCATAGCAGTGTTAGGTCCTCATGATTTACTTATCGAAGCCTGTGAGAAGTGTGAATTAGCGATCTTCGGGTTTTATATGGCCTGTGCCGTACAATGTAAACAAACAAGCCTCCCAGCATATATTAGTACAGTTAAGTACGGAAGTATTTGTGAAATTATTACTTTTGAGTTGTACGGCGGATATACGTTCATGTTCTGGTTCCTTTATCCTCAAACGTATCGTTTGTAGTAAGTAACCTCTGTACGAACCAAATTACTATTATATTCATGAATAAATAGACAAATGACATACAAGAGAGCAAGTCGAACCTTGAAAACGACATTACTCTGTAGCGTAATTACAGATGTACGGAGTACTCCGCAGCGAGTCGAAAGGGGGTGTGAACTCCTTCGAGAGTGGGACTTGAGAGGAATAACATGATCCCCGGTTCGTTGATCTCCTGGTAAAAGGCTTCCCCAGGCGCTAAAAGAAAGTATATGCTGAACCTTATATGTAATGAAGAATCAAAGAGGGGTTGACTATGTAGAGTAAGGCTTTTGGCCATAGACGCTGACTCTGTGGAAATGTCAGCCTTTTGGTTCGTTGTTACGGTGCAACATCTCCGATCCGTGGGCGATTTGGGGGCAAAAAGAGTTTTTGATGCAAGCAGGGAACTTACACATAGAAGTATGCATGGGTCTTCGGGTCGCGAAGCCCGGCCCGCATCTTAGCTAAAAACATTTGGACCTCTTCGTAAGTCCACTAGAGAAGGCAGCGAAAGTTAGTATAATTTGGGCATCTCAAGGGGGGGAGAAATAATCTGAAAAAAAAAATTTTTTTTGAAGAAAATGTGGACATAATATAACTTACCTGCATGACTCTGGTCAGCAAGGCCATCGCCCAGCCTTCGATGCCCTCCTCACAATGGAGAAGATTCCACTGGCCGAGCCGTTTTATCTGTTTATCTTTCCCCCAACCTCCCACGGGAAGTTTGAATCTGGTCTCCACGACGTTTTGGAAGCCTGCCTCGCCCATATATTTTTTGGCCAAGTCAGCGATTCGAAAAGTTTTACCGATTCTTTCGCCAGCTTCTATAAACGTCCGCGACCATATCGCGAGCACATGATCATCAGTAACGGTTCCATCATCCGATCGGAATTCGATGGACATCTCTATCTGGTCAAACCATGCGCCAGGTTTCAAATGCCTGTACAACTGTTAGAGTTACACAATTAGAGCCTTCATATATTGCGATGAGTTAAATCGTACGTGAGAACTTGAGAGTAAAGTTTTGGCCAGTCTGATATTGCGCCGTAAAGGGCTCGTATGTGTATTAAATCAAAGTGGTCAACCGGAAACGTCCAATCCTCGCTCGCGTCATCAATTTCGAACCGTAGATTTGGTGGAACAAAAGAGGGTTGTATTGGAGATAGGTCAGTTCCAATTACCTCGGCGGAGGGATATTCGTCGGCAAAGTCTCTGGAGATAACCAGTTAGAAACATTCGCCCGATGTAGCCGGTAGCCATTAGAGAGCTTACATTGCCCACTAAAGGAGAGAAAGTTAGCGGCTGAATAGATGAGTTAAAGGGATCATCAAAACATACTATTCCGGTGCCAGTACCAAGATCAAGGACAGTCTGCAAAGTAATTAGTAGGGTTGCGCAACCCTTCAAATCTACTCCTCCTAGATTTTACCTGTATATTCTCGTCGATTGGTGCAAGGAGCAGTTTTCCACCTAATAAAAGAGAAAACATATGATGTCTAAACGTTTGATTAGCTTTCAATCCATTTATGACAAGTAAAAAGGTCCCAGAAACGTACGCAATATCTAATTGCTCGTTTTGTCGATCATCGTTAGGCCCCCTTCGGTACAAAGAAGTGTTAGAATATGTGCCACCGCTGAGCTCGAGGTTGTATACCATACCAGTAGGCGCCATCTTTATAGGCGTGGTATCTCCTACCATTCTCAAATCGGTATGCGCAAATATCCGTTTTTATCGACGTAGTGTCACTTGCGCTACTAAAGAATAGTAAAAGTCGAATTAGCGTGAAGAGCTACCAATACTTATATTTCAAAAGTTCCCTTACTCGTCTTCGGGGAAATCTGAATCGGAGTCATCGTCCACCTCCTAGAGGAATACAATCAGCAGGCGATACGCCAGAAAGGGCTTCCATAAAATATTTTCGGGTATACCAATGGGTTTTCGTGGGGGTTGTCAGGCTCCGACAGCTGTTGAGGTGGTGATGAAATGTGTGAAGGGCTGTGAGATTTCGATGGACTCGAATGAACAGGCGATGAAGTTGGCATCTTCAAGGATGGCGAAGAGATTGATATGAATAAATAGCCCAGAAAGCCCTATTTTTGTGATCTATAGATGTATTAAGAGGGGCTATCTTGAAGAGTTAGGCATGGGGGCATATAAATAGAGAGCTTAATAAATCCTTGAGACGCGAAGAATGAATGTGACCAGTCATTCAACCGATGTAAGGCAGAGAGCATGGCAGTTACGAAGTAAATGCAAGTGACTTACATTCCAGCAGGGAGCTTCATGTTCCACACGATATTGACGAGCTTCATGTGGTTCGGAAACTTGGCCACAGCAACCGGATGGTTGAGGATGGAAGGAAAGGGTGTGGTGTCCCCAGAAACATACAGGAAAAGTCTCTCGCAGGCTGGAAGAACAGCCAGGTCCGTTCCACTAACGGTGATAAAAGAAAAGAAAGCGGCCTGATGGTTTTCTTAGTTGTGGTGTCCAGCTGCAAGTGATTGGATTCGCCTGCGCCAAGCCCCTAGATCTAAACCAGGGTGAGGTCGCGATAATGGTAAGTGGACAGGCAAACCGCCACAGTGGTCAAGGAAACCACGAGTTAACACGGGACGGCTTCGTTCCAGTCACCAATGGGAAATATGCTGCCGAGAGAAAGGGCTCGGGATGATCCATCCTAAGGAGATAATTCGACCATGATATTCTGTTTGCCGCTGTTTGCCTCAACTAGATCTCGAGAGCATGAGTTCATGAGTCCTGCATGGCGACCGTTGGATATGTACGGAGGAGACAAGGGGCTTGCCTCTGCATTTATCGATGTTTTATCGATGGCTCCGCACACCAGCTGCGAGTGAGATGAAAGGCGTATATACTCCGTACCCCGTACTCTGGACAAAGGTCTCGCAGCGGATCCATTGTAGCCCAACCTGAACTGCGGTGAAGTCTGATTAAGGCGACATCTTTCCTTTCATTATTTCGTATCAATATCCATTGGTTATCATCCCAAAGCGTCGTCCGCTTGCCTTGGGGCCTGTAGACACTTCCCCCAGGAGTACTCCGTATATACTCCGCATGGGACTTCAGTCAATAAGAGTAAAAACCATGCTAAGATCTCATTGCTGATAGCATGTTCATCATATGATAGCCACTTAGGCGTTATCTTAAGTGCTGCAACGGCTTCTTCTCTTCCAAAATGCTCGCTTTCAATGTCTTCGTCTTGAATTCCTTTTTTGGTTGAAAAAAGATATTGAGTCACGTGTATGATGACAAAGCGTTAATATGACTAACTAAGTGACTAATATAATTTCACGTGACTCGTTACCAATGACTAAGCATTTAATATATTGGCCAATCAGCGTCGAGCCCTAAAGCGCAGCCCACAAAGAGCAAAATGAGAAGAAAAAAAAGTCGCTTAAGCGAAAGTTGAATCTCTAATTCTTCCCTTCGTGAAGACAGCAGCACGACTTGGACGAACTCGCCGACCACCACCAAACGCCCACCCTTCGTCCACATATATCAACTCGTCGACTCGAGGTTATACGGTTTCCAACATGTCTGACGGGGAAGTCGAGGTCGAAACCGGCGCCTACGATGTGCTGCCCAAGGATGTCACCGCCGAGATGGGCAACATCAAGCTCTTCAACAAATGGAGCTACGAGGACATTCAGGTCCGGGATATCTCTTTGACGTACGTCTACTTTCTCTCCTGCAAGGTTTTTGCTGCGCGAGATGCGGTTCCCTCCCTCTAGTACGAGGGAAAAAGGAGAGGCATAGGGAAGGGAATTGAGTCTTGAATATGATGGGAAAATGAAACCAAGAAACATTTAAGGCGCAAACTGGATGCTGACATTTGTATTCTTACTGCGCAATATAGCGACTACATCCAGATCCGACAACCTGTTTACACTCCTCACTCCGCCGGCCGATATGCTGCTAAGCGATTCCGGAAAGCCCAATGCCCCATCATTGAGCGTCTCACCAACTCTCTCATGATGAACGGCCGAAACAACGGAAAGAAGGTCATGGCCGTCCGAATTGTTGCTCATGCTTTTGAGATCGTACGTCGTATTTTACTCATTCTCAATGAATCACCAAATTTACATATATATACACCGTTAAGGCCTGTCGACTAACCACTTCTTCAGATTCACATCATGACTGACCAAAACCCCATCCAAATCACCGTTGATGCTATCTCTAACTGCGGTCCACGAGAAGACAGCACTAGAATTGGTTCTGCCGGTACCGTCCGTCGTCAAGCCGTTGATGTCTCCCCTCTCCGCCGTGTCAACCAGGCCATCGCTCTCATCACCATTGGTGCCCGTGAAGCCTCTTTCCGCAACATTAAGACCATCTCCGAGTGTCTCGCTGATGAGCTCATCAATGCCGCCAAGGGATCCTCAAACTCGTACGCCATTAAGAAGAAGGACGAGTTGGAGCGTGTCGCCAAGAGTAACCGATAAAAATGGCAAAGAGTGCACATTTTACTTTGGGGGTTATTGCGTTTTGTTCCCTAATGTGTTGCGCATGGGTGTGTATGTGAGGCGAGGATAAAATTGTCCTTCTCTTCTATGTGGATTCGGCTCTTCATTTTGTGTGTGAAATTTGGGCCATGGGAACCATATGGTGTTTGAAGGGACAGGAAAAATCCAAGATGGATAACCTTTCTTCTAATGTAGCCGCAATGCAAACTATTATGATCTACATTTCAATAACGAGCTGTTGATTCTGTGAATTATGTTCGATCATCGATCCAGAGCTTGCAGAACTTATCGTGCCAATTGCAGTCGACCTGGATTTGCCTCATTCTCTAGACGTAGGAAAGTTTTTAACGGTCTTATTTTATGCTAGATATATTCCTTCCACCAGCGTCATTAATAACGATAAGTTCTGGTGGTGTTGGACTCCTCGAGTTAAAGGTTGGCGGAAGGCTTGTGTATCGTGAAAAATTGATAAGATAGTAAACTTTTTTTTATCTCCAAAGCCTCCAAATATCTCAACCACCACAAACACACCAACTCCCTCCATCTAACTAGTTATATCATTATGGGGAAGCGCAAGTTGGGCGCATTGGAGAAGGTCGATGCTGACCTGTTAGTGAAACTAAGCTCTCTTTCGTCGCTGTGGTTGATTCTGCAGCTTCTCCTACGGTAGCTAACATTCTCTCCAACAGAACAAATCTCCAATACAAAATTCGACGAGACCCAAAGTACGTTATATCCAGTTTAAGTGAATCTGGACTCTATCTGGATATAAAAATTTGGGAAGGCACCTGCAAATGCCATTTTTCTCCTGGCTAACCGGCTCTGCTGCGGAACAGGTCTTACGTCGAAGATTTCCGAAGCCAGCACCTTCAATATGAAAACCACCGTGAAATTTTCATGGCTGCGCCGTCTGCTGCCACTGATACCGGAATAATATCTCTGATTGACTTGATTGATTTTGTGGCGCATATTTCGGATTGCTATCCAGAAATCACGAAGGATTTTCCACAAGAATTGATTGAGATGCTTTCACTGCACCATGCAGTCTTGAGTCCGGATTTACGGGAGAAAATTGTTGGGAGCTTGGTGCTTTTGAAGCGGAAAGAGATAATTGACTCATCGACGTGAGTATATAGCTTTATCTCGCCTGCTCATCAACGGCCTGCTAACTGCGGCTCAAACAGGCTTCTGCAGACTCTGTTCCCAATTCTGGTCTCAACACCAAGCAAAACGCTACGAGCATTCCTGTTCCAGAAAATAGTTTCAGATTTGCGCTCAGCAAATGCGAAGACTACAAACCACAAACTAAATAGGACTATCCAGACCGTGCTCTTCAACTTGGTCACTTCCGACAGGTCCTCATCAAAGGCTCTGTGGTCTGTAAAAATCACTCGAGAGCTATGGAAACGCCAAATATGGACCGAATCAAAAGCTGTGGAGATTATGAAAGAAGCTGCCCTGGCTGATAACGAAAAGGTCATCATTGGCGGTGTTCGTTTCTTCCTGGGCGGTGATAAAGAGAGAGAGGAGCTTGAAGACGAGAGCAGTGATGAGGATGTAGTGGACGTCAGTAGGGTAAAACATCAAGCTACCATCAATAAGGGGTCAAAGAAGAGAGCAAAAGCTATTGAAAAAGCGAAGGCAATCGTGAAAAAGAAGGAGAAGAAGAAGAACCAGCCTCACCCATTAAATTTCTCCGCCTTACATCTTCTACACGACCCCCAAGGGTTCGCAGAGAACTTGTTCCAGAAGCACCTACAAAATACCAAGGCTAAACTGAACCTTGAACAAAAGCTACTGGTTCTGCAGCTTGTCTCTCGACTTGTTGGCCTACACAAACTTACCATCATCCAACTATACTCCTATTTCCTAAAGTATCTTACTCCAAAACAACCCTCCGTCACATCGTTCTTGGCCTCACTTGCTCAATCCTGCCATTCTCTCGTTCCTCCAGATACCCTCGAGCCCTTGATCCAAAAGATTGCAAATGAGTTCGTCTCTGAGGGATCTGCTGCCGAGGTTGCATCAGCTGGACTAAATGCCATCAGAGAAATATGTGTTCGACAGCCTCTGGCGATGAATGATACCCTTCTACAGGATCTTGTGATGTATAGAAAGAGTAAAGACAAGGGCGTCATGATGGCTGCCAAAGGACTGCTGAGCTTATATCGAGAAGTTGGCGCAGAGAAGCTGAAGAGGAGAGATCGCGGCAAAGATGCAGCTATGGGCTTGAAGGTTGGGGAGAGAAAGTCACAGCGATACGGAGAGGAGGAAGTTGGTGAGATAGAAGGCCTCGAATTGCTTGAAAAATGGAAAGAGGAAGAGAGAAGAAAGAACAGGAGAGAACAGGGTCTTCCGTCTGATGGGGAGACCGACGAAGACGAAGAGAATGAAAATGACTGGGCAGCGTGGAACATGGAGGAGGACGACAGCGACGACTCTGGAGGCTGGATTGATGTCCAGAGTGACGTTGATATTGTGTTCAGTGACTCGGAAGACGAAGGCCCAACCGCCAAGAAGGCCAAAACTGATGATGACAATGATGCTACAAAAACTGAGGGCGAAAAGGCTGCGGAAGAGACCGAGACAAAGAAGGTATCACGTCTCGCAACGAGCCGGATCCTCACGCCTGCCGATCTGGCAAAGCTTGCCGAGCTACGAGCTGCCGCCAGCGTCAATGCCTTGCTGCCCGAGAACAAGCGCAAGAGGCTACTACAGCAAGCTGCTACGAACAGACACGCTGACGATCCTCTGACTGCCGCAGAGATTGAAGGTCTCGCTGCTCTCTCGGCTGGTAAGCAGACTCGGTTAGAGAAAATCGCCCATGTCAACGAGACCAAGACGGATCGCTCGGAGTTCAAGAGCAAGCTCGCTCGTAAGAAGGAGACCAAGGACAAACTGGGCAAGAGTTCGACAAACAAAGAGAAGGCCAGAAAGAAGAATTTCCTGATGACCCTTGGCAAGGCAAAGGCGAAGGGGAAGCGAAGTCTTGTCGAGACGCGAGCCACGCTGAGAGCGCATAATGAAAGGAACAAAAGGGGAGGGAAACGAGGAAACCAGGGGTAAAAACCCGTGCTCTGGACTCTGTAGATTGGTTAATACATAGACATTCATCATCTTTATCGCCTTCTTCATCTCCATCCTCATTCTCCTACTATATAAAGTCTGCCGAAAAGGGTTAAATTGACGGGAAGAAGCGCGTCTCCTTGGCGCGTGCCGCGTTTTGACTTTCTCCCAACCTCCGACTTTTGCGACGTCACAAGAATAGGGCAACTTTTCTCTCCTTACTATTTACCTGCCACCACTATCAGCACTATCATCACTATATAATAGTCACCCCGCCTCTTATCAGAAGCTTTTCTTATCGGTCTTGGAGCTGTCGTGCAAGAGTATCACCCACAGACACCTTTATCGTCAAGCTTGGTAGCTCGAATAAGCCAGCATGGCTCCTAAAACCACTGCCGCCTCGTCGAAGAAACGGAGATACCAGGTCCCTATTACACAATACTTCTCTCCCTTGCCGCCACAGCAAACTGAAACCGAGACATGCTCACACTACAACTACAACGCTCCGACACACTCACCACACCCGGCCCTACCCCCGAGCACACAAGCGTCTCTCGTGGCAGTTGGCATGCGCGTGCGGAAAGCTGTCTCAGAAGGATATCGGACGAAAACCACAGCCAAGGCTACCTTCCACCAGCCCAAGGCCACGGGCCAGAATGAGGAACATACCCGAAGCTCAACTGCCCCTGTATATACCGAACTTATTCCTTTCAGCGGTGCGTTCAAGGTTGGGAATTATGGAGTACAGTCATTCCCCCAGCATTCTCCGGCCACATCTGAGCCAATGATGACGGGAATACAATTGGACGAAGAATCACTTCCGCCAAGCAGCCAGGAGTCCACACAATCAGTTGACTCCTTTATCTCACTTCCAAAGCCCAATCCATATAAACGTGGTTTCGAAATCGAAGAAGACGACGATGACTTTGATACTCAGGGTTCGTTCTTCTCACAGCCTACCTTCGTCCACTCACGAGCGACTTTATTACCAAGAAGTGGGAAGCACAGAACCATGAAATCGAAGGCCTCAACGCTAAAAGGGAGGCCAGAACAGGAAAATTGGGACCCTGCATTCGCTTTCGATGGCGTTGGCGTTGGCGGTGGGGATTTTGAAGACGCTGCCTTTTTGAGGAGGAGAGAAGATGTCGATGCGGACTACTTGACAACGGCAAATGAGGTGCGGATGGGTGGCATTTAACTCTTTTAATATTGTTCTTGGCCGTTTTTAACTATTAGGCTATTTTGTTACCTTATGTATCTCTATTATTGTCAGCGTGTACTTTTACGAATATGTCCGAGCCCCCAGAGCATGCAGGTTCAGCGATAGGGGATGCCTTTCGGATTTAATTAATCTTATTGCCAGATAATTTTCCAGAACATTCTGTCTGTGCATTGAATCCAAGACAATTTCAAGCCCAAGACTCTTGGATTTGCATTGGCAGCTGTAACCCAAAAAAGAAAAGGTTCCGGGCGTGTGAGTTGACAGGAGATAATCTGCATTGCATTCTGTTTAAGTTGATTTCGTCCGAATAGATGTGCAGAATTTCTACTTAGCCCCATTGCCAGGCAAAGCGGCTCAGCGGACAGTGCGGAAAGGAGAATGTTACAAGCGCTGACTTTCTTCGATGAAAAACTATTTCCTGTCTCTGTGTAAGGGTCGTCAGAAGAATCATTTTTGAAGACAAAGCCTGGAGAACTTCGAGTGCAAGACAATCTATCTCCGCCTATACGATGTATATACGATGTACTATGTAGGGCTGCGATGTTATGTTGACCAGAGCTAGCAGCCCTCTGGATATAGTACAGTTCTCCGTTCTCTATCCTCCGTGCTGCGAACGGGTCACATATTTCAACCCCTGAAATGTTTCTCGGCCTTGCGGGTGCCTGACTGGCTTGGCTGCCGGCTGGAAGGGAGCAGGCAAGGCTTCGTCCTAAGGCAAAACACAGGAGCCGGCATCGGTTTGAGATTCCCGAGGAAAAAGAGAGCGATGTATCACCGCATTCACTTGGCTGACCGAGCCCATCAGGACACGGAACGATGCAGTAATTAAAAGCTTTCATCGAAGCTTTTCAGCCTAGAAACCACGTCCAAAATTAAGAGATTTGACAAGGAAGCGCTGACGTTTTGATGGCTCGGCAGTCCTTGCATCGCATGATGCCTTGTCTTTGGAAAAGCTTCCTCGGCGGCTGATACTTCTCCCTATTTTTTTTGCACTTAACTTGCTGCTTAGTTGAAACAGGAGGATCAAGCTCGCCCTGCGCGTTGCGCTGTTAAAACACCCCTTGATACTCAAAACGCAAAGAAAGGCGGAGAGATATATCGGATCTAAGATATGGGTTAATTCGAAGGGGAGTGCCATCCAATCCGATGATAGGCGTTAGCAAGGATGTGAAGGAACATCCCTTGAAGTTTGTCCCTTTCTGCACTATGAATGGCAGATGTGTAATATCGGCATGAAAGGCTGAGATTTGCCTGACGGGGAGTTCTCGTTCGGCCTGGACAAATAGGAAGACGCCCTAAGCGACGGATGAGCAAACAATGGGTGTCTTAAAACAGAAAAACAAAAAATTATAGTAGTACATTAAAATACGTAGTCTATCAAACTCTGCAACAATTAAAATAAAAATATAAACGAATATATGCGAACCTCGCCACTCGCATAGCACTTGGCAGGGGTGCTGGTTATGTATGTACCTGGAAGACTAGGAGGCTTGTAAGTCATGCACTCCTGCAACCCGAACAGGGACGCCTGCGTCCTATTCGTATCGTGGCTGAACGAAAGCACCTTGCCGTATCGAGGCAGCGGTTGATCACACCCCGTGTTTCCCCGTCTAATTTGGTGTATAGCCCTAGAAGCGTGGCTTCATGTTCTCGCACCCAATATCATGCGCCGCAATCTCCATTAAATTTCTCAGACCAGGGGAGTTTTGTGTGTAGCGAGAGTTGAACTTGACGACCTTTTTGAGGGCATTGAAAGATGATACATCAATGGAGAGTGGTGCAGCACTAAGGTACCAGGCTACGTTGCTGCTGCATGGTGGTGTCGTAAGTGATCCGTTATAAGTGAAGATATCGTGGGTATGAAGATGTCCAAGGACTTGAGAGAAATCCAGCCGCCTTGTCTTTGTAATTGTTCCAGGGGTGGTAATCTTATGCAAGCACGAAAGCACCTGCTTCAATAGTGGAGTACAACGTCCGTAAGGGGATAACTCCACAAAGAATGCAACCACAGCAATTGATTTATCTAGAAAGGGGTTTAATCCATGTTAGCCGTGGCCATGTGAGAAGGATACAGGCGGGGACTCGGGTGTTCAGGGGAGAAACGAAAAAAGGGAAATAGGATTAAGGTGTACTATGTATATGGGACGAACTTACTCGGCGCCTGGAACACAAAGTGAACCTCCATGGGAAAGTATTCGTCGTCGATTCGATGTTCACTTGGAGTATGAAAGTGGAATTGTACCAGCTCATAGTCTTTACCGCTAGCTTTTAGTTTTCCGCTTGCAATAACCTCTACCGTAGAACCGAGGTTTTCAAAATCCGCCATTGGAACGGTGGGAATGCTCATAGTAACAGAGCCTTTGGGTGCGCGCGGAAAGCTGGCCTTGTTAATGACAATGGGAGACTGCGTTGAGCCATGCCCGCACTCTTTATTAGTGGTAGCATTGAGACCGACCCAATGGAGGGGGCCGCCTTCGCCGGTATAGTTGAATGTTGACACTGGGACCTGCCCGTCGGTGCTAACATGGCGAGGTGCCAAACTGGTCCCATATAGGCACGAAGCAGAGGTAGACGTAATGATGGCAGCAAATGCTGCAAGCTGGCGGGAGAATAGCATGATAATGGTTGACTTCTGAAATAATAAGAGCGCTTAATATGGCGATCAAGGGAATAAGGAGGGCCACGATGAAGAAGGCCACCATATATATATGGTTGAATTCCTCGGATGATCGCCGTTTGAGGCCTTGCGGTATTATATGGATATTCCCCCGGACCCGGACTTACCATATAAAACCGACTGTAGAATTTAATACCAGCAACCCATATATGGTTAGTATGGAAAAAGTAAGGGCCGTCCAATACCGCTAAGCTCGATACCATCTGAGATACAAAGCCAACTGGTCGGTGGATCCAAAATAATATTCTATTGACTCTCCAGAACTCGGAAGCTGGTAAGTAACCATGTTTGCAGTTAATCACGCTCTGGGTTCGACCCTCTGTTCTCCGTGCTTTTGCGAGTAATGTATATTAATCACCTCTTGCCAGTAACTGCCGAGTACGGATACTTCAGGCCTGTGTCGCAGACGGAAAAGAACTCCGTCATGCCGCTGCGAGATGAACAGTGTGTGAAAGCTGCTCCCTCTCCCCCTCTCTCTATCAAGTGAACCGTGAGCCCTATAGAAGTGTGTGTGCATGGGAGGACGGTGGGTAGGAGGAAGTGAGTTAACTAGTAGCCTATGGTGCGTGAGGCTCAGATCCGTCCATGCCTTTGGTCGAGGCTTAAAAGGGGGAGAAAACTTTATCAGTTCGATACGTCTGTCTCTGTTGTTGTACTGCCAGGCACAGGCTCTTGGGTGGAAGAATGGGGAATAATAAAAAAGCGCCCGTTCATCCGGCTGGGTATTTCTAGAGAAGCGGATGGTGGAAAGGATACGCCATGGCTGCATTCGAAGAACTTCGTTGAGCTCCTTATCGTCGAGACATTGACGTATGAACCAGCCTCATGAGTGGTAGATTGTATAACTTGGCAACGATTAATTCTTCATGGTTGTCTCTGGTAGGACCCTCATAACGACCACATTGTCATAGGTCCAAGACTTGGAATGCGCGTTGCGGAGTCGCTGAGGAATTAGGAACCCAAGCCCCTGGATTCATTCTAAGTTAGATACTGAGCCTGTAAGGATCAATATCGGATCATCTCTGCTGGATTTCTTCATGTGATGAGCTTCCTCGTGGAGGCGTTGGAGTATAGATCTGATGCTATGTCCCCCTCTACAGGGCGGCATCTCTCGTGCTTCCTCCATAAGCACTCCATATCCAGGGCGGCAAAGACACTCCGTTACCAGGAATCCTTTACCGACTCTCCTTGCTTGTTGTAGGCTTTCTCCGTTCCTCAGTATGCTTGTCATATTGTGGTCATCTGCCTGGGTCATGCCAACCCGTAAACATATCGTTTAGACGAAAATCATCGACATCGACTATCAAACTTGGAGACTTGTGAAGGTAGCCATCACGAGGAGAAGATATAACACCCATAACAGCCAAATAGCTCGGATACGCGTCGTCTTTTATTATTTTCTTCACCTTCTAACGTCTTTTCTTTATATCTTTTTGATATTTTTCTGCCTTTTTCTTAATCAGCGTCTTATATAATATCTTACTAACACGGAACAACTAATATCCCTGATCTCGTGATCATCGCCCCCCATTGAGGCGCGGAAAGTCGCAATTCAGCGACAGCCAAGAAGAAAAAGGATATAGAGACGAGGAGAGCGTTGCTCGATAGGTTTTATAGGGGATCAGTTACCGTTCTATGCTTTGCGCTGCCCTGTTCCAAACACTCCGGACCAGGGAGAACTGTCATGCAGCGGCCTGAGTGAGGCGCACCACATCGCTTTCGTCCTAGATCATGGCGGAGGATAACCCGGAACTCCAAGCTGCGCTGCGGGAGCTCGACATAGAACTGCAGGTTTGTGCTATTTCCTGGAGGCCTAACAAATTTCTCTCAATTCTACTGGTAGTTTCTGCACAGTTACGGGATGGCTAACGGAGAATCGTGGTTTAGGATGGCGATATTACTGAGAAAGGGTAAGCTAAGCTCTATATATTTCCGCCATAGCTCAGCAGAGGGGGTTTTACGATACGGGCCTGTATATATTAATCGGCACAGCTCACTGGTGGATGGCGGTGTCCGAAAACTAGGTATCAGCGTGATTGACCTTTATATAGGTACCAGAAGCGCCGCACACTCCTTCTATCGCAATATCTGTCACAGCCTGCTGCCAGTCAGCCGGAAAAACCACCCCTGCACAGACCGCTGAGCTTCGAGCAGATACCGCGTGGCGGTTCTGAGTCTATCAATGTCTCGTCCGGGGAACACCTGGCTAATCCTGAAGCTCAAGTCCCTCGCCCTCTAAACGTTTCTCCGCCGAACGTCCGGCGCCAGTCAGAAAACCATTTGCCCGCAAATCTTGTTGGTCTGGATGGTGAACGTACAGTGGGGGGAGAGCCTAATTATGGCCACTATCAAGGTAACCAGTTGTCTAGAATTCAAGAGCAAGAACTTGGCTTCTCTCTTGCACCTCCAGCGACGCTTGCAGCTCCTGCCGGGCCTACCGGACCCCGAAAACATTCTGTGGGTTCTTACGACTCTCTATTCCTACCCAAGGGCCCCATGGATAGCTATGAGGCTTCTCGTACCGGAACACTGGTGAGCCAGAACTATGCATTTAACCCGAATCAGCAGCCGGAGATCGAGCCACCGACAAGACACTCCACGATCGATTCGCAACAAGGTTACTTCTCCGATTTTGCCGGCCACCAGCAGGAGCCCAGACGAGACAGCTATGGACAGAGCTTCCAGCGGTATTCCCAAATGGAGCCCTTTTCTCCCACCGCAAACATGCCTCCCGCACCAATGCCAATGTCAAGCATGCCCGGTGGAGCAGCTGTCAACCATCTCCTCCCGCTAGAGCCTCGAGATATTCCCTTTGACGTTCAAGATCCTCATAACCCCAACATACCAATGTCGAGCTTCGATAACATCCCAACTGTTCTCCGACATCGTGCACGCACACTACCAAAACAGCCAGCGTATTGGGTTCTTGATCAACGCGGGAAGGAAATTGCCTCGATTACTTGGGAGAAATTGGGTAGTCGAGCAGAGAAGGTTGCGCAAGTTATACGTGACAAAAGCAATTTATACAGGGGTGACAGGGTTGCCCTAGTGTACAGGGATAGTGAGCTTATCGAGTTCACTGTAGCTCTGATGGGCTGCTTTATTGCGGGAGTAGTTGCTGTCCCTATCAATAATCTAGAGGACTACGCTAGTCTAAACGTCATTCTCACTTCGACGCAAGCCCATCTCGCCCTCACGACGGAGAACAACTTGAAAACCTTCCAGAGAGATATTACCACCCAAAAGTTAAATTGGCCAAGGGGAGTGGAATGGTGGAAAACAAATGAATTCGGAAGCTATCATCCAAAGAAGAAGGACGACATTCCTGCTCTTGTCGTACCGGACCTGGCGTACATTGAGTTTTCCCGTGCCCCTACTGGCGACCTACGAGGTGTCGTCTTAAGCCATCGGACAATCATGCACCAGATGGCCTCATTTAGCGCCGTGATTGCTTCAGTACCACCCTCCCCGGATCGCCCAAAGTCCCCCGCGGAGATTTTGATGACTTATCTCGATGCTAGACAGGGTATCGGCATGATTTTGGGGGTTCTTCTCACCGTGTATGGAGGCCACACCACCGTATGGATGGAATCCCATGCTGTTGAAACCCCTGGTTTGTACGCCAGTTTGATTACCAAATTTAGAGCTACCATTTTGGCTGCAGATTATACCGGGCTGAAACGAGCCGTCTATAATTACCAGCAAGACCCAATGACGACGAGAAATTTTAAGAAGAACGTTGAACCAAACTTTTCCAGCTTGAAACTTTGTCTTATAGATGCATTGTCGGTTGATTGTGAATTTCATGAAATCTTGGCCGATAGATGGCTGCGCCCTTTACGAAACCCTAGAGCTCGAGAGTTGGTTGCCGCTATGTTGTGTCTGCCGGAGCATGGAGGGATGGTAATCTCCATCCGAGACTGGTTAGGAGGTGAAGAGCGTATGGGCTGCCCTTTGACACACGAAATGCATCCTGTGGAAGAAGACAAGGATAACAAGACGGAGGAGAAGGAAAAATGTGACGAGCCAAAGCCAGCTTTTGGAAGCAGCTTGATTGGTGGTGCAGCACCTACCACGTCACCGAAAACGGAGTCTCCCAGAAACGAGCTCAGCGAGGCATTGCTGGACAAGGAGGCCTTGAAAAATAATGACGTCGTCGTTCTCGCACTGGGCGAGGAAGCTAGGAAGCTCGCCGACAGCACTCCAAATTCCGTTAGAGTTGGCGCATTTGGATACCCCCTTGCTGATGCTACTCTTGCCATTGTTGACCCTGAAACTGGATTACTTTGCACACCCAATCTTATCGGAGAGATATGGGTTGACTCCCCTTCTTTATCTGGCGGATTCTGGGCGCTGCCAAAGCATACTGAAACTATTTTCCATGCTCGCCCATTCAGATTCCAAGAAGGCAGCCCCACGCCAGTAATCGTAGAGCCGGAATTCTTACGAACTGGTCTGCTCGGGTGCATTATTGAAGGACAAGTTTTTGTTCTTGGTTTATACGAGGATAGACTACGCCAAAAGGTAGAATGGGTTGAACATGGTGTTGAAAACACCGAGCATCGTTATTTCTTTGTCCAACATCTAATTCTCAGCATCATGAAAAACGTCCCCAAAATCCATGACTGTTCTGCATTTGATGTTTTTGTTAATGACGAACACTTGCCTGTTATCCTTCTAGAGTCATACGCGGCCTCGACTGCCCCAACAACATCCGGCGGCCCGCCGCGTGTGCTTGATACCCTGCTACTAGACTCACTTGCTGAGCGGTGCATTGAAGTTCTGTACCAGGAGCACCACTTGCGAGTTTATTGTATCATGATAACTGCACCTAATACCCTCCCTCGATCAGTTAGAAATGGCCGTCAGGAGATTGGAAACATGTTGTGCCGCAGAGAGTTTGATAACGGTACCCTGCCCTGTGTCCACGTCAAATTCGGCGTCGAAAGGGCAGTGCTTAATCTACCCATCGGCACAGACCCCGCGGGAGGAATTTGGTCACCGTCCGCATCTGCTGTACGTCAGGATGCTCTGGCAATGCAAGAGAAGCAATACTCAGGCGTTGATATAAGAGACGTCATAATGGACGACCGGACATCAACCCCCTTGAACAACTTCCCGAGCATCGTCGATCTACTTCAATGGCGAGTTAGCAGACAAGGGGAGGAGCTCTGTTATTGTTCTATCGATGGCCGTGGGCGTGAAGGTAAAGCCATTACCTGGAAGAAATTTGACACCAAGATTGCGGCGGTAGCAGCATATCTGAAAAATAAAGTCAAGCTCCGACAGGGAGACCATGTGATATTGATGTATACGCACTCCGAAGATTTTGTCTTTTCCGTTCACGCCTGTCTCTGTCTTGGCCTGGTAATCATACCCATGGCGCCTATTGACCAAAATCGATTGTCAGAAGATGCCCCGGCACTGTTGCATATAATATCGGACTTCCATGTAAAGGCGATACTCGTGAACAGTGACGTTAATGACCTATTGAAACAAAAGGTTGTTGCCCAACATATAAAACAGTCAGCTCATGTTCTTCGAGTCAACGTTCCTCAAACATATAACACCGCGAAACCTCCCAAACAATCTCACGGATGCCGACACTTGGGGTTCACTCTAAGCGAAGCCGTTATAAAGTCACATTTGCCAGCGATAGTGTGGACATATTGGACGCCTGACCAGAGGAGGTTATCTGTACATATTGGCCATGACACCATCATGGGAATGTGCAAAGTCCAAAAGGAGACTTGCCAGATGTCTAGTTCCCGTCCAGTTCTAGGAAGTATTCGAAGCACGATGGGGCTTGGTTTTATTCATACCTGCTTAATGGGAACCTATGTCGGTAAGTTGAATTGGCATAAATCCTCAATTGTATTCGTTTCGAGCTAAATAGACCTCTCAGGGGCTGCCACCTACCTCGTATCCCCAGTTGATTTTGCCGCCAATCCACTGTCTCTTTTTCATACTTTGGCTAGATACAATATTAAGGATACATATGCCACAGGCCAAATGTTGGATTATGCTATGAGTAGCATGACCCCGAAGGGATTCCAACTGCATGAACTAAAGAACCTAATGGTGGCAACAGACTCACGGCCAAAGGTGGATGTTTGTATGTCTACCATACCCCTTTCCACAGCTTGTTTAAGTTCTAATATAATCACGTATAGACCAAAAAGTTCGACTTCATTTTGCCGCCGTTGGTCTCGATCGAACTGCGATTAATACCATTTATTCACATGTCCTTAACCCGATGATTGCTTCAAGGTCGTACATGTGCATAGAACCGATTGAGCTATGGCTTGATACACTTTATCTCCGACAAGGATATGTATATCCCGTTGACCCTGAGACTACAACCAACAGTCTGCTCGTCCAAGATTCGGGTATGGTTCCCGTGAGCACCCAGATTGCCATTGTGAACCCCGAAACCTGCTGCTTGTCTCATGTGGGAGAGTATGGCGAGATTTGGGTCCAATCCGAGGCGTGCGCAAAAGCCTTCTATGGATCTATGCAGGAGTTCGACCTAGAGCGGTTCCGAGGGCGGATAGTTGATGGAGACCCAAACGCCGTCTATGTTCGTACCGGAGATTTAGGCTTCTTGCACACTGTGACGAGGCCGATCGGGCCAGGTGGGCAACCGGTAGAAATGCAGGTCCTATTCGTCCTTGGTGGTATTGGAGAAACGTTCGAGATCAATGGCCTTAATCACTTCCCCGTCGATATCGAACTTACTATTGAAAATTGTCATAGAAACATAGTCAAGGGCGGAAGGTAAGTACTTAAATTACCTGTTTATAACAATTGACTTGTTGCCCTGTAGTTACTGACTCACGAATAGTGCCGTTTTCCAAGCTGGGGGTTTGACCGTCGCCTTGGTTGAAGTTACTCGCAAAGCGTACTTAGCCTCCATGGTACCCGTTATTGTGAACAGCGTGCTAAACGAGCACCAAGTGGTAACGGACATTGTGGCATTTGTTCCTCGCGGCCATTTCCCACGATCTCGCCTTGGTGAAAAACAACGTGGAAAGATTTTGGCTACATGGGTAACGCAGAAACTTAGAACGATTGCCCAATTTAACATCCGTGATGGAGGCAGCCATGAAATCAAGGCCGGCGAAGCACCAGAACGACGGCAGTCATCTAAAGCCGGCAGCGTCATGGACTCTAGCATCCTCCAGCACCAAGCCCCACTTCCATGCCCTGAAGCTGAAGATCACAGTCATATGCAACAACCGCCCGTTGCTGGACCTGTAGAACATGCTGAACAGTACCCGCTCTCTTCCGAAGGTATTGTGGATTATAATGATCCATCTTATAGGGGCGCAGAGAATGTTGAGCAGTACCAGGAGCCCGGTATGGTAAGCCATGATATGCTGCAAGATCAGATCCCGCACACTGAAGAGCACACGCTACCTATCAAAGAAGGCGGAGAAGGGGCTATCTCACTAGCTGGTAATCCAGATATACAACGAGTCCAAAGCCCCGAACGTTACGCTAGCAGTGGTAGTAGCATCAATAGAACTGCTTCGCCAGCCGTTGCCTCTATTCCCGGTGAAATTTCTCGCCACGACAGTGCTTCTCCTCGTGGCGGCCTACGCGTTCACAATGGAGACGAATCAATTCCGGGCCCGAATCCATCAGTCCCTTCTTTCGGAATTTTCGATCAAGCACAACTACTGCCCCCAGTGAAAAGGAAAGAAACACCCACTACGTACTCGTTACCGGTGAGGAACAGTAGTATTCAAAAAGATACCTTCAATAGCCCTCCTGCTGCCACCAGCCACGGGAATGGGACCACTTATGACAACACGCAATACTTTCACGACGCTTATGATAACATCGACGATTGGACGGAGGATACCGGTGCTTCTAACACTCAGCGCCAATAATGAATGCAATGTGGATAGAGAGTACGGTGACTTGGCCTATCGCCGGCTCCCTTGCGCCTCAGCCATTATAATACGCTTAACACCGCTAGGCAAAACGACGTGATGTATGCTATGTAATAACCAAGGAATAATTCATATTGGATTTTATTAAGTGTAGAAAAATTTTTGTTCACCCTTGTTCCACCTTGCATAAAGACATGGCTGCCAACTTGTTGTTAGGTGCCATCGAAGGTCAAAATGGGATAATATGCCAACACTTGAAATTGGAGCATGAATTTTTGAATAGTCCTGACAAGATGGTATCCGAGAAGTAAAAAGGGACAGACATGACTCAACTTTTTAGAAAGCGGGAGAACAGGTTTTTACAATTTCTCTGCTGCAGATTCAAGAGCGCTGAAGTTTACTTTCTTATTTTCAGAGCCGTTTGGTGAGTTTGGCAATGAGCCTTGCAGTTGCTCCAAGGCATCAATATCCGCCTGAGTAAAATTTTGTGAACGGGTTGGGCGGAATGGAGTACTCGCGCGAGACATTAAGAACTAGTTGTATATAGTTAGCTCTATCCAGCCTTTGAAGTCAGACGATGAAGGTAACCTACAGAACTTGCAGCGCTCAGCAACGCGATTAAACTGGCCTGGACAACGTCACGATGGACACCAACACCCCATACACTTTGAGACGAGCCTGCAGCAGTACACTCAATGTAGGTTGCTGCCTTGACGTCTCGAGTACGACCGATAGCGTGCTCAGTATAGTTAACGACATCTAAATCGATACCCAGGGAGTGCAAAGCATGTGCAAGAGCGGAGATAGCACCAGTTCCGACACCCACGATACCATGCTGTATGCCATCGATTTCGATGATACCGGTAAACCGTCTCTTCAAATTCTGGGTATTGACAGCCTTGCCGGGAGTAGGAGGAGCGGGAGACTGTGAACGGTCTGCTGTGATATTGTAATCTATCAAGTTGAAGCGTGGGTTTGTCTTCAGGTGGTAAGCTTCTTCGAACAGAGAGACAATCTCGTTAGGTTTCAATTCGCGGTTCAGGCGGTCTGCATCCTTCTGTACAATTTTGCTGAATGCGACTTGCAAGCCACGAGGTAGGTCCATCTCCAAGCTGCGAAGAATAACCCAGGCAACACCGCCCTTTCCACTCTGAGAGTTGACGCGGATGATGGCCTCGTAGTCTCGTCCGATATCCTGAGGATCGAGAGGGAGGTATGGCATCTCCCATGGATCCCCGTCTTTGAGACCAGCAGCAGTACGCGCCTGGAATCCCTTTTTGATTGCATCTTGGTGGCTGCCGCTGAAGGCACAGAAGACGAGCTTGCCGGCGTAGGGCCAGCGTTCGTTGACTGGGATTTTATTACACTCTTCTACCACTCGAATGATGGAGAGAATATCGGAAAAGTCGACGCCGGGCGAGATACCCTGGGTATATAGGTTAAGAGCAAGGGTGACGAGGTCGACGTTACCGGTTCTCTCTCCATTTCCGAACAAGGTGCCTTCGACGCGTTGTGCACCCGCCATCTGGGCCAGCTCTGCAGCAGCAACGGCACATCCCCGATCGTTGTGTGGATGTAAGGAGATACAGACCTTCTCTCTCTCGGATATATGGGTGGAGAAGTATTCAATCAAATCAGCATACACGTTGGGAGTAGACATCTCTACCGTAGCCGGCAGATTGAAGATGATAGGAGCCTCTTCACTTGGTTCCCACGCAGCCTTAACAGCCTCACATATCTGTAATGCAAATTCAGGGTCGGTATCCGAGAAAGTCTCTGGGGAGAATTCAAACCGCCATTCCGTACCCGCCATCTCCGGGTCATCCTTTGTGATGGAGCGAGCATATTTTGTACATCGTACAGCCATTTCCATACTTTGTTCTTTGGACATGTTGAAGACGATACGTCGGAAGCACGAGCTTGTGGCAAGGTAGATGTGAAGGATGGCTTTCTTTGCGCCTTTCAAGGCGTCGACGGTGCGTCGGATGAACTCCTCACGACAGGGAGAGAGGACCTGGAGCCAGACATCGTCGGGGACAGTTCCAGGGGTTTTGATGAGATTTTGTGTGAAGTCGAAATCTGTTTGTGATGCTGATGGAAACGAGACTTCTATCTCCTTATACCCGATGCCAACAAGCATGCGAAAGAATCGAAGCTTTTGTTCCCCATTCTATGAGTCAGATGTTAGCAACATCAATCATAATCATATGCACACAATTATTTTTTTTTCACTCTATATTCCGCAGAAAACCGCACTTGTCGAGATATCTCACCATTGGGTCGACCAGGCTCTGATTTCCATCTCTAAGGTCGGTTGCCAGCCATCGTGGTGGCTTGTCTATGGTCTTGCTCGGCCATTGACGATTTGGAAGGTCGATTGGCTGAAATTTTTTGTATTTTTTAGAGGGATCCTTCAGCCTACACCAAAACAAGGTTGACTGGTTAGCAATCTGTACTCGTAGGAAGAAAATAAACCTGATACATGGTAACATATCTCATACATCGGCATTTTGGCTGAAGCTGTCTGTTGTAACCAGGGGGTGCTCAGCCCAGAAGCGGGATGTTCAGATAAGGTCTTATCGGGGTTGCAGGGAAGAGACGATTGGCCAGGGGAACAGAAACACAAGGGGAGCGTGTCCCAATAAGGTCCTTGGTATTATTCAGACGGAACCTGACGCTGTTGATATCATATAATAAAAGAAATGAAAGCTTCAACTTCTTTTTTCTTCTTTTTCTCTTTACTTTTCTTTTCCGCCATTTATATAAACGGCTGGTCCGAGCGTTGAGTCAACCCAGAGCTGCGCCGATCTCGGCCCGAGCTTTCAGCCGATGTCGGTCTTAGTAGACGGCTTAGTCATGTGATATAAATAGACTTTTTGAAGCTTATTTTCAATGGCAGGTAACGGTTTACCGGTCGAGGTCGAAGGGAATAGTTGCCTTGGTTTTTTATCACATTTTCCCAGTCCTAATACACGAAACGAGTTGTAGAATGAATATGTTGATCAAAAATAGGTGTTATTCTGTAGTTGAAAGCACGTGACGTTGTCCTGGTCCTTGTTGATTAGAGTTGCGGAAGCTTTCTATTTTTATTTTTATTCATCAGGCGCTTATAAGAAGAGGGCTAAAGACTGAACCAGACAAAAGGCTCAGAAACAATCTAGCGCTTTTTCCCTCCCTTGACGCTCTTCTTTCCTTTACCCTGGCGGCCTGGTTTAGCCTCCCGCTCGGCCTTGCCCTTCTTCCAGACACGGCCCTCCTCTCGCATTCGTGTATCGTCTAGTTTCTTCTTGTCCTTACCACTGAGCTTCTTCTTCCCCTTCTTCCCCGAGTCTGGACCGTTGAGCTCTATCAACCCTCGTTTCTTGGACTCCCGCTTGTCCTTCTCCGACTCAAACCACGTGCGTTTGGGTCTAGACATGATCTCGTCTTGGTGGCCGATTAAATTCTTCCCGCGAGTGACCTGCATCTCCGCCTGCGCTAGCTGTTTCTCTTCCTTTTCTTCTTGCAGAACTTCCTCAACTTCTGTAGCCAGATCGTTGACCTGCTCAGCCCATTTGTCAGCCATGGCTGGGTCAATCACACGGCTAACGATTTTCGCGCCCTGCGCACGTCCTGCTTTGACGGCCTCCTTAACAACCTTCCGGTCAGGCTCTGCGGCAATGGTGCATGCACGACCGCTTCGCCCTGCACGGGCAGTACGTCCGACTCTGTGGAGATAGATTTCATGCGACTGTGGGGCCTCATAGTTAATTACTGTCTCGACGCCCTTGATATCTAGACCACGAGAAGCAAGGTCTGTGGCTAGTAGGTATGACACCTTCCCGTCTCTAAAGTCCTCCACACTCTTAATTCTCTGTTGGAGAGAAACGTTAGTTTTCAAAACAATAATAGTTATTACTGTGTCAACTGAAGACTTACTTGCTCTTGACTCATGCTTCCGTGAAGTTCGGCAGCCTTCAAGCCCATGAGCCCAAAAACAATCCGGACCCTATGAGCTTCCTTCTTTTGCCGGAAGAACACGATAACCCTGCTTGTATAAACAGTTTTGCATAAAAACATGAGATAGGCCAACCGCTTATCTTCTCTTCCAGGTCGCAGTCTAACAAACTCCTGAACCAGCGTTCCCACGGTCTGTTTCTTCGAATCAACCATCAACCGAATGGGCTTGTTGAGGCCCACTCGGATAAGCTTATCAACGGAGCTAGTCATGGTTGCGGAGAACAACATAGTCTGTCTGGACTTTGGTATCGTAGTCAAAATCTCATTCAACTCTTCAGCAAATCCGTCTTCAAGCATGCGATCAGCTTCATCAAGAATCAATATTTCCAAGGTATCAACAGTGAAACTTGCAGAATTCCTCATGTGGTCAATAAATCGACCGGGTGTAGCAATAATAACATCGGGCCGCTTCTTCAGGATATTCTCCTGTTCTCGCAGGCTGAAACCACCCACAAGCTGACAGAAAGTGATGTCGGTAAAGGTGGCCAACTTGGTCGCAACATTATAACACTGTACTGCCAGCTCTCGCGTAGGCATCAGAATAGCAACTCGACTCGTTGGCACCTTTCTCGGTCTATAGAGTAAACGCTCCAGAATGGGGACAATAAACGCAGCCGTTTTACCGGAACCCGTCACTGCACCACCAACCACATCCTTGCCAAGCAAGGCAACTGGTATCGTCTTTCGCTGGATGGGGGTAGGAGTAGAGAATCCTACAGATGCAAGCCCTCGAAGAATAGGACGAGACAGAGAGAGGTTCTGGAATGAAGCAGGAGCTCCAGAATTAGATTTCGATTCAACTGCTTGTTCATCTGGGGCGAAGAATTCATTCTGCTTGCGGATTTCCTCGTCGTCTTCGCTATCGCTACCGGATTCATCTTCATCAGATGCAAGGTCATCTGGATGTGGTACCGCCGAAGCAACTGAGTCGCTATCATCGTCATCATTACCATCTCCTGCGTTCGTATCATCATCTTCACCATCTTCGTCAGACCCAGCCTCCTCTTCTTCCTCACTCTCTGATGCATCCTGAGCTCCCATTCCAAACGCATCAGGGGCAAGAAGCTCATCGTTGTCGAGGTCCACATGCATATCGTCATCCTCCTCCGCTCCCCCTTCATCATCCTCCATATCTTCTTCCGCAGCTTTCTTTGCAGTCTTCTTCCTGTCACGCTCTTCTTTGTCCAGCTTCTTCTGTCTCCTTCGATCTAGGATATCATCAATATCGACACCTTTCTTCTCAATGGCTTTAGATTTATTCCTCCCTTCGTCTCCCCATCCATCGAAATCTTCCACTAATCCGCCATTCGCAACACCACCAACATCGAACTCAAAATCCGGATTCAAAACACCATTTTCATCCTCATCAAATTCTTCATCTTCTCCTTCTGCATCTTCAGCGACAGACTTGTCTGTTTTGTTGCCATTGGCAGCATTCTTTCCACCTTTCTTCTGCTTCTTTCGTTTCTTCGTATTTGCGCTTTGTTCAGCTTGGGCATTGTCGGGGTCATCTCTTCTTCGCTTTGTGCCAGCAATCTTTGCCTTCAATGACTTGCTATTTCCAGTAGTTTCGCCGTCCGAATCGACATTGGGAGCCTCCTCGTCAGATAGAGTGAAGACGAAGTCGTCTTCTGGATCACGCGCCATGTGTACTTATCGTTGGCTTTAAATTATAAAATAGAAAAAAAAAAGAAATCTTTAGCTGTATCATGCGCCTGCGGCCTAGTTGCGCATATGTAGACCAACACAGCTGCGTAGATACTTCTATTACAATTGACAACAACCGGATTATTCTCATGATATGAATTTCGTGCCAAAAGTTTTTTTCTTTTCTTTTTTACTTTTTTTCTGCCATGACAAGCTGGAAAGCGGTGAGGCTTACATTGCTTAGTCATCAACCTAAATCGAACCGCCGAAAAACAACATCAAGAGAAATAAAACATCGAAGTGTAGAAATTTAGGGGCATAAAGCCGTTGCTCCCTCCAGGCGATGTGATGCAGTGATGCGGTTCTGAAAATCGATACCCCAATTTTTCTCGAGCTGATAGATTCTATTTTGTGCCCGGCTAGCCACATTGAAGGAACTGAGATTGAAACCGTCATCCTGACTTGAACAACTGCAGAAAGGAAATTAAGGCCATGAACAAGCAAGAAACTCCAAATGACAGGTTCAGTTCGATACTGCATTTTAGCCGGGTAAAATACTCCCCTCTACCTGCTTTCTGGGATGCCGATGCTAGTGTTATACACCATGTAGCCAGCATTGACACTCGAGGAAATGGGTTAGCAATCACTGAAATGTTTATATAGAGGGCTTACTTACAGAATTTTCTTGTTGACACCAATTCCTCTGAGGTAGCCCTGTTCTTGAAAGTTGAACTCTTTACTCAACCATTTTTTAATCCAAGAATACTCCGCGGCCTCGTCGTTCGAGTGGTGGATTACGGCAGCGAGTCTCATAACTGGACGAGACAGTCCCGAAGTGTAGACATCTTGAACTTGAGGGGCGCAATCAAAAGTGTACCCACCTCTTGCGCGGTATTTGGGATCACAGATTTCAACCATCTTATCCAGAAGACAGCTCCCCACTCCCAACTTGAATCTTTTAGGGTGCACGAACAATTCAATATCACAGGTAAATCGTTGAGTGGAGAGTGGGCCAGAAAAGTCGCTAATGCAGCAGAAACCATGTAGCATTTCAGCTTCGTGGTTCATAGCGTGCCAGGCCTTGGGATGTCTCTCCACGGCAACCAAGAAAGGATATCTGTCTGTCCGAAGCTCTTCAATGTGCTCTCTCATCTCGTCATACGTTATTTCTTCTAAGTCTGCACGACGCAAAGTGTTTCTGACATACCAGTTGAAGAGTTCAACAAGCGCAGCGATATCTTTTGGCTCAACGGGGCGGATGTACATGTTGATTTTTGGTGCATATGGCACCAGTTCGCTGGACTCTAAGGCCGGCTTCGGAAGAATGGCTAGCCGTCTTCTTTCCCGCTCCTCTAGATCCTTACGCTCTTGCTCTTGACGAATTCTTATATTCCAATTGTGCACGTAGCCAATTGCGGTCTCATGAGCGTGCTTCAGGGTCTCGGCATCGGAGGGATCTCGTAGGGTTTCTGGGCAGATAAATGTTGCAGGCCCCATTCCAGTATCAAGGTTGGCATGATATTCTCCATTTTTGAAATCCTCTTGAGTCATATCCACAATGAAACCAATCCTCATAGTTTTGTCCAACCACTGCCGAAATTTCTGAGCAAAAAACTCATCTCCATACTTCTCCCAAGGACGGTATTGCCAGTCTACTGCGACTGCGTTGGCAAAATTTCCAAGAGCCCATCCATTCACTGCTGGTTCAGCGTGTTGTTTTTCGTCTGTGGAACGTATTTCTCCTCTTTCCAGGCTTCTTTGAGCCTCATTGGTCTCGTCCTTGAGGCGTTCTGCCAAGTCGGTCAGCAGGTATAATGGATGCCGATTGCAGAATACAGAATCTGGATCAACTCCAGGACCTTGACGGGCAAGGTAGAGTGGCATGGTTTCAGGCGACTCGTCAGACAAGAGCCCCATCACTTTCTTTCCATATCGTTGCATTTCCTTTTTTTGAAATGCGAGCAACTCCGCCTTCCTGGCCTCCTTGATCTGGTCTGCAGTATTTTGATGTTTTATGAGAACACCATTATTATCTGAATCCTGCATATGGGCAGGTCTCGCAGGAGGGTTATGCTTCCTATGATTGCGTCCCCGGCTAGAGGGCCGTCTGTCAGTGACTTGACGATCACCGGGCTCTTGCACCTGAGGAGGGCTCATTTTAATATGACCAAGAGCCTTCGGGGTTTTCAAAGTTTCGTCTTTTCGAAAGGTGTATGGGATGTTAGGCCCGATGATGCGCAGTTCGTCCTGTCGAAATACGACCTCATCCGACGCGTTAGAATCACCTGCTAAATTGGACGGATACGTCAGACGGAGAAATTGCTAAGACATGTCCACATTTTACATGACAGCTTACCTGTTAGCTGGGAATTTTGCGCCTCGTTGCTATCAACAACTGGCGATTCGTTTCGTTCGACTGTCTCGTCCTCTCTCTTCGTAGAGGAAGTATTCTTTGCTGTTGCGGCGGAGGAGATGCCTGGTGTTACGCCATGGGGACTCTCATCCCGAAGAGGGCTGTTAACTGCTGGAAAGGGTGCGCCAGTTGCTTCGGCTTGATGACTAGTCACTGGATTATCAGTGGTGATGGCTTTGCTCCCGCTTGATGAAGGGTGAGGTGAAGGTGCTGCCTTTGCTGGAGTATCTGGAGCTTGAACTGGAGCCGTGGGGCTAGCAGCGTCAGAGGGACCAGCATTAGTGACTGGTGCTAGTACCTTCGTTGCCGGCGGTGGCCCATAGCTGTTACTCGCAACAGCCTTGAAGGCTTTGATTGCAGCAATGTAATCGCCCCACTGGTCGACGCCACCGATCTCTTGGTGGTCTTCTTCCAGACATTGCGCGGGCTCTGCCATAGTGGCTGCTGTTTGATATGGCTTGTCAAAATACCCAAGCCAGCTCGAGAGGTATCAAGTTCAGCTCGAGGAGATGAAGTAATGAAGGAAAGAGATTAAGTCAGCTTTTCCAAAAGGATCAAAAGCTGGAACTCTCCTGAGGCCCTCAAGAAGAGGTAAAGAAGAAAAAAGAGCTGGAATGTGTGTTTTTGTTTTCCGGCAATTTGTTTACTGATATGGAACTTTTTCACTTTGCGGAGCTAAGGCGTGTTGTTGTTTTGTTGTCTAGATCAAATACTGTTTATAGGTAGGCAGCTTGTTACTACAGTAATATCAACATCTCTTAAGCCGTGAATATATGAACTTATAGCTATATTTTAATTATTGTATATTTTACATGCAACTTTACTTGCACTGATTTTAAGTCCATGAATTCTAGACGAAACGCCAATTTTGCACAGAAAAACGACTAAAACTCCACAAAACTTCTTGGGGGAAAGAGAAGGAAGAAGAAGACAGAAGAATAAAGATGCTATCGGTTCTAAGGAAGGCCAGGCTAAAGGACAAAGAGATGAGGGTGTTGATGCTGTAGGCGCCTGTTATTGAAGCACTGGGAATATTCCTTTACTGACCGGAAGAACCCAGAGGACTCGACAACGCCGGAAAGACAACGATTGTAAAGAGCATCATGGGCGAAGATATCACCACGGTGAGCCCTACGCTGGGTTTTATCATCAAGTCCATCGACTTTGACGGGTAGGCTGATGTGACTTGTCTCTTTATCCGGCCAAAAACGCTAACGTTTCTTGCAGGTATAAGCTGAACATATGTAAGTCCTTTGCACTACAGACAACGCTACAGAGGAAGAATCTAACAGGCTCTAAGGGGATGTTGGTGGTCAAAAGACACTGCGGTCCTACTGGAGGAACTACTTTGAAAAGACAGATACATTGATATGGATTGTGGACGCCACGGATCGGTTTCGACTTGATGACTGTCGACAGGAGCTTGCTGGCCTCCTCGTCGAAGAGGTGAGTGGATGAGAATGACGGCCGGAGCAGCCCCAGCTAACGTGCTACAGCGGCTGATGGGAGCGAGTCTGCTCGTCTTCCTCAACAAGACCGACGTTGGTGGCTGCATGACTGAAGATGAAGTCCGGAAGGTATGCACTGTCTTCTACTTGTCTTCATGTGTTCGTCTACCGATCTAACCACGTATAGGGACTACAACTCGACGCCATCAAGACACACAAGTGGACGATTATCCCCTGCAGCGCGGTGACGGGGCTGAACCTGACCAAGGGGCTCTCGTGGGTGGTGCAAGACGCAAAGGACCGGCTCTTCCTCTACTGACCCATGCCAAACTGATCTACGGTTTGTTTGTTTACTCTCTTATCACTCCATCCGGTTGATACCAAAAAAAGTTGGCCACAGCAGCCGAGCAGCCAAAAAAAACACCAACTCACGAACCACAAGCCCAACCCAGCGTATACGAGAACCCAAGTTCCCACCAGATCTGGGTTTGCCCATCGATTATTGGGCCATTAAGGAAGCTGAAAAAGAAAAGAAGAGATATACTGCAGGGGCCAATTATGTAAGAGGTGGACTTTTTTTTTCTCAGGCATCGCAAACAATTCAAAGCGGCTTCGATTCGCTCTGGCGGTTGTTTCATCTTTTTTTTGATATATTCATCTCTAAAACAATTGCTGTGATCTCCCGACAAGCTGCGAGCCTGGTGCCTTGCTGTCGATAGCCTCCATAATAAAACATATCTTTATCTATATATATACATACATACGTCTATATACGTTCGGTGTTACCCCTTGTCTCCCTCTCACCGTCCGTCCGGTTTTTCCAGCTCGGGGAAACAAATAAACAAATAATAACAACAATGGCTCCCTCGCACGAAGCAGACGGGTCAGAGGACGTCAACGACTTTCTCGTTCGCATTCGAGAACTAGGAAATAAGCGGGACAAGGAAGACGAAGAGCGGACGCGAAGGCTGGAGGAAGAGATACTACAGGGCCGCCGGGAGAGACAGGCCAGGCGAGCTGGTATGCCATAAACTCCTCTCTCTCCACAGCAACCATAGAATCCCTTTTTTCTATTCCCGATCTCCATTTACGTTAACTTATTTAATCTCTTGTATCACTATTAATATAAATTAATAATCGCTGATGTTTTTTTTTGTTGTTGATATCAGAGCGCGCTCGGTCAATTTCTCCCACCAAAGACTCGCCCCTCCAGCAACAGCTAGACGAGCTGATACAGAGAGATTCTCGGCCGTCAACACCATTATCACACTCGATACGGCCCCCTGTCGACCTTTTGCCCTTATCCTCTGCTTCAAAAGACAGCAGTGGCCTGCCCAGACGCGATTCCGAGGCGCATCAGTCAGATATCTCTCCCAAGGAGCCCTCCCCAGATATCATGAAATCTCCTGCTCTCGGGCGGCCATTGTCCTGGAAACAGCGTCCTACGTCGCGGGACCTTGGCTCGCCGGCTCCTATCGCTTTAAAACCGGCTACGGAAGAGGAAAAACCTGCTAAAGATACGAGAACGGCAGACGAAGAAGACGATATGGTGTCCCGGGCACAGATTGCTCAGTCCCTTAGTTCAAAGGATCCATCTTTCTTTAGACAGACTAGTGACAGAGGGGAAAGCTCGCGTGCATATAGGAGGGCACATAATTCCTCATTGTCTGAAGTTTCGACGAGCCGACCGAACGTGAAACTGCCGGGACTCAACCGGGAGGTCGTCAGTGATCTGGGTGCGCGCCCGGTCTCCGAACAGGGTGACGAGGGATCACGCTCCCCCTCGCGGACAAGCTCCGTTTTTGGTGCGAGTGGCTTTGGGAACAGGTACTCGAGTGTATCATCCGTGTCAACTGCTGGGCTTGGTTCTCCTGTACCTTTAACAAGCCCACGCAGGCACGAACGGGCATCATCCATATATGAAGAGCAGCAGACAGGAGAACATCTGACAATGTCTCCTACCCAAGGCCGGATTGCATCTGACAGACCGCCCTCACCAACCAAGGGTCTTGGTGGGTTTGTCCAGAGTGCCATGCTTAAGCGTTCTGACAGTGTCTCTAAACGCTGGAGTGCTCAGCTGCCAGCCAACTCCCTCCGAGGAGGCGGAACCAGACCTCTCCAGTCCCCAGGAATGTCCCCTGAGGGGTTTACGGGACTACCCTCGACGAGACCCGGTTCGCGGCCTGATTCCCGACCCGGATCGAGTCATAGTGACGCAACTGTAGTTCGCGGTGAAGGAGATGATGCGTCGGTGATAAGCAGATCAACTGACGTCTATGCAAGGCCCCCATCTCGACGCAGAGAATCAGTGAGTACAGCTAGTGGAAGAAATTCGGATCTCCCGGTAAGCCCTTCCAAGACTATGGACCCAAGGCGATGGAGCCCAACGAAAGCATCTTGGTTAGAGAGTGCCCTCAGCAAACCGGATTCCCCTAAACCAAAACCCCGTGTGCCAGAGGAACCGGAATGGAAGAAGGGCCTGACGGACAGACTTAGAAAGGCAAAGGAGTTGAATCAAACCGATAAAGGAGATAATATGGAGTCCGAAAAGGTTGTGACGCCTACAGGGAGCCAACCGGCTCAAGATCTATCAAGCTCACCGGAAAAGCCTGACAGTCCAGCAGCCAAGCCCTCCTCGGATTTGAAGATAGACCCCCCTCAGGAAACTATAGAATCTTCCAGCCCTAGCCCGTCCGAGGCCCTCTCTCCCAAGGATTCAACCAAATCTCCTCCAATCCCAGCAAAGAGTGAATTCCTGAAATCAGAATCAAAGGGACCAGTCCTCTCTTCCACCCAAGATACCCCTTCTAAACCCGCCATACCCAGCGTAAAATCATCCCAAATAGATTTCCGCGGTAACTTACGTCGTCGTGAAACTACCGACGATAGTGTTAAAAAGGACGAGCCAGAGTTCAAGGCAGTGTTTGGTAGATTACGGCGTGCCGAAACTAAGAATTATGTTGCTCCTGACGAACTCAAGGGCAATATCCTTCGCGGCAAAGCCGGGTTGACCGTCACCGGCGGTCCCAAGAAAACTGACAGAGTTGATGATTTTAAGGAGAGCCTCTTGAAGCGCAAGGAGGCAATGAAAGCTGCGGGAGGGTCTATTCGCCAGGATAATAGTCCGGGAAACAATCAGCCACCGCAAGAGACCACGCCTGAAGCTATCCTGGTGAGACAAAACTTAGGCAGATCGAACAGTATAAGGAGCACTTTAGGATCGAAGAACCTACCTACCAAACCACTATCAAAGCCAGCCGCTCTTAATTCTTCTAACGAGCCCCCCAAAGAAAAAGAGAACCAAAATCCCCAGAGCTTAGAATCACCGCCTACAAAATCCCCCCTTCCACCGCCACCTACAGATACTCCCGTTGCAAGCGCTACTGCCGCTCCTCTTAGTAATGATACCCCATCACCAGCCATAAAAGGCAAACTTGGGAACCGTATGAACCCCATGCTAGCAAATCTTATTGCTCGAGGGCCTCCAGCCCCGTCTAAGGGATCCCCTCCTTCAGCCGTATCCTCGAGTTCCACCTCTGAACCATGTAAGACGGAAGCATTGACCCATATGACTAAATCTCGCGCCAAGGGGCCCAAAAGACGTTTACCTAAGGGTGCTACAAAGGAGTCAACGTCACCAGCAGCCCAGTCTAACGACACTGCTCGCAAGAATCTAACTGAGACCAAGCCGGTCGTAAAAGACCGTGTGCCATCTACGAAAACAGAACCAATTGCCATACCGAAGCCATTAAACTCGGAGGTCAAGAATAGATTCCTAGCATCAAGTGGAGAAGAGAAGAACCCTGGCACCTCGCTCCCTTCATCCCTACCATCTACTCCTTCGATAGGGCGCCAGTCAACCAAGGCAGATATTGGGATGCCCATCCGATCAAACAGCAGTCCTGCCGCCAACAAGGATAACAAACCTAGCCCTCCCCCCAAATCTGCAACCCTCTCCACTTCTCCACTTAGCGTTGAGAAAACAGCCCCAGTAAATGACTCCCCACAACCTCGAAAGAGCCGACCAGAGTTTCCGCCCGAGAAGAAGTCACCTCTAACGGAGGCTAAAACCGGACCAGCAGAAGCCACCACTTTAGCTCCGCCGCGCCTAGGGAAGCCTTCGTTCCTATCAAGTTTAAACACCACTCGATTGAGAGAGCAATCACGTTCACCCTCTCCGACAAAAACACCAGCCTTTGCTCAAAGCTCCGAGGTATCTCAAATATTCTCTAGTTTCTTCCTCAGCAGGCCAACTGCTGAAGATAAGGTAGAGATTGACCCTCAGTCGGTCATGATGGGAAGGCCTGAGACATTCCCAAAGATCAAAACTCTTGCAAAGCAAGTTTGGGAGTTAACCGGTGACGGAAAGAGAAAGGACCTGCCTGCCAACCAGGAGTATATCTTGTTTGATGAGAGTATGTACATATGCGTTCATAACTTTGAAAAACCTACCGGCAGTAAAGCCACGGAGGTGCATCTATGGTGCGGTGACGGGGTTAGTGAAGCAACCGCCGAAGATGCACAACTATTCGCTCGCAAAGTCGCAAGAGAACATAACTGCAGGCTCGAACTCTTGAAGCAAGGGAAGGAAACGCCAAATTTCATGCAAGCCCTAGGTGGCATCATGATCACACGCCGAGGACCAAGTAGTCGATCTGGCTCTTCAGCTCAGTATATGCTTTGCGGAAGGCGACACATGGGCCAGATTGCATTCGATGAAGTCGACCTATCAATCAGCAATCTCTGTTCCGGATTCACGTACATAATATCCGGCAAAAACGGCAAACTCTTCCTATGGCAAGGACAAGGAAGCACTGCCGACGAGATTGGATGCGCCCGCCTGATCGGAATGGACATTGGGCCTACGGGTGAGATCGAAGAAGTCGCCGAAGGTCAGGAACCGAGCAGCTTCTTCGAATCTTTCCCAGGCCCTAGCCAGGGAAAGGCAGTGCCGCCATCAGCAGACTACTGGCAGTTGAAGCCTAAGCACGAAAAGTACGCTTGCCGACTATACCGCATCGACCACGAGCTCGGCCAGTGGTTTGGAGCCAGCTTCTTTAACCGCCGCGCAGCTTCATCCCCGGTATCTCGACCCAATGATACAGTACAAGAGATTGAGCCATTCTGCCAACGTGATCTAGATCCAGCACACATCTACGTTCTTGATGCCTTTTTTGAGATCTTCGTGTAAGTTAGACCCCCTGAACCAGCCCGACATTTCTTTAGTTATTCCAATATCTAATACACCCTCTTAGAATTGTTGGTGATCGATCAAATGCACGTTCGGCAGAGTTTGCGTCTGCTCTCGTATTTGCCCAAGAATACGGAATTCTCGCTGTCTCCGAGCAAGACCGCCCATTCCTTCCAAGGAGTCATGTCGTTCTCGAAGGCCTGCCAACCGAATGCAAGCGAGCGTTCAGAAACTGGAATGGCAGACACGCCCCGGGCACACTGAACAAGACTCCCATTGTCGTTCCGCTGGCCGTGGCAATTGATGCAATCCGATGACAGATTCCATGATTCACCCCCATTCCCTTTTACTTCTGTATTAGCATTATCTTCTATTCTCTGTGTTCCATCTCTTTATTCACTTCTAATTCCATTTTAGCGGTTTTTGGAGGCTATTAGTTCTTTTTTTTATTTCATCTGCTTTCTCCTTGCTACTCGCCATTTTTTGTCTACCCGGGTTCTGTACAACGTTTAACGAAACTCAGAAGTAGGGCCAGAAAACATAGGATGCTACATGGCATAGACCGCATAGACTGCTAGGATAGTTACTATCAAACAGCGCGACTGGGCTACATGCATGGATGGACGAACCAAAACCACCAATGAAACGCGGAACATCAACGTCAGCCGTCTAAATAGTGAGCATCCGCCATGGAGCCTGATGGTTCTGTACGTCCAAGTCCTGAAATGAGCCGAACTGTGTATGCACAAGGCTTTTGTATTTAGACAGGGCTTTACACTCGACAGGAACCCAGCTTACCCCAGATTTGTTTCTACATACAGTCCGCAGTTCGAAATCTACCCCCCTTAGTCCACGACCTGGATCTAAAGTACGAGTATAATTGTCTCTACACGACTGGAACGTCGATTTAGGGAACTTCACGGGGAAAATATAAGCTACCTCTTATAAATAAAACCTTTAAGCTCCCAGTTTCTATCGAGTCGGCAGGAAGCTAGATAGCCTCAGTATCAAAAGCTGTGGAGGATTGGATACAATTGTGAGGCTTGGTGAGCTAAAGACGCTGCAGTACCAGTTACTAGTTACTAGTTAACAATAGTAATAGATATAGTATCCAGATCTGAACCAATTCCAAGGCATGAGTCCTAATACTAATGGAGTTACCGAACGGTGGATTGTCTTCCATCTATATATTGAAGTTCATTCGACTGTTCGCAGACTATGAGTGCCCCGCGGTGGTATATCGGAGGAAGAAGGCTGGGAAGTACACGGTCTATTATACCAAGCAGTAAATCAGAGAATGACTATTTGAATTCAGATGTGTAGAGCTTGAACGATTTAGTAGCATCAAGCTTGTCGCCCCTTTGAAGTGTACGGCCCACGCTCCAGCTTCCACCACCCTGCCATGACGTAGCAGGGTGGTATAAAAAGATTTGCTTGGATCTTCCCCCCCCAGAGCCGCGATAGAAACAACCTGTCGATGAATCATCGTCTCTCTCTCTCTAATGCCCGAAGCTTTCGAAGGTTCGGGATAACAACATTATCGACCACGTCGCTACTATTGCCAGGGCTGAAACAACGAGCAAAGAGACTGCCCAGGGATCTAGCGCATTCGATGCGCTGTGCATTACTTTTACAAATACATAGGTGTAGGTATACTCGGGGAGAAAAGCTAGGCTGGAATAAAGCCCATAGACCTAATGGGCCCGTCTGCCTTTCCGCGCAAGTTTGCAACGGAAAGATTGTAAATATCCCCCGGATTCCTACCAGGGAAGATGCAGCTGCCAAAGAGTTGCCTTCTTGATATGGGAACCACCTGGTTTACATTACCTGCCGGCGCAGGAAAAATCGGCTAGTATTGATTAGTAGTTGCAAAATAAATTCTCAAATCAAGCATGGCGGTTACTTACCTCAGTCTGTAGTAAGACAACATTGCCAGCAGGATCCTTTCCATGAACATGCAAATCCCCTTTTACCCTACCGCCACTTATCTTTGTCCATCGAATTAATAGTACTAGTTCAACAGATGCACCTCCGACAAGCCAGAGATCCTTGTCGGCATTCAACCGTGGCCAAGACTCTGACCAGCCTGTCTCGACAGCGACTGTTGGTAATGGTAAGGTGTCTGGGAGGATACACGCATCGGGCTCTTTTGTAGCGGAGGTGTACGGAGTTGCAAAACCCTTAAAAGCTAATAAGACAATGTCAATCAAGTCGAACTTCAAAAAGGAGAAATAAAATAAAAGCTGAGATAGGTACAAAATACTCGTTCCAACCCGGAGATTGAGTTCCTTTCTTTCTGCTACCGTCAAGAACCCGACTACAACCATATCAAGCAGCTCATTTGAAAGCCACTCCTGGTGGCAGTCATGAACCACAGTCGGCATAACTCGGGCGGTCAGGGCTTGAGTCAACGGGTTGTAGGAAATCCTTGAACACCTGATATAAGTTGTTTTGAATCTTCTTGTGGTGGTTGCTTTTGGTAACGTACCGGGGAAGAGCTCTTTCAATCTCGGGATCCTCTGAAAATGAAGTTGCGATCTGGAATCCGGTAGAAGGAGGAATATTTTGAAAAGTCAAGTCAGCAGGGTGATTTGTGTTCAATATCACTTTTCGGATGTTGTTGAACAACTTCTGAGCAGATGGCTCTTCCGGTGGAATGTTTGTGTTGCTCCGTAGAGAGCGCATTGGGCCGGTGGTGCTCCCCATTGTTGTCAGATACTTGATAGCGATCAGTCTGTCTGCGCGAGAAACTGTATCTGTTCGACCACTTCTGAGAGAATGGACTTTCGACCAGAGGTGAGACTTGTGGTCGTCGGGCGTGCCAGTGCAGTAGTTGTTCTGGAAGATATGAAGCTGATACTCGAGGTTGATACTCGAGGTTGATACTCGAAGCTGATACTCGAATAACCAAAAACATAAGCTCAAGCAAGTGGAGAAAAGGCGCTAGTCCCTATAGGGGAATCCCGTGACGCGGTCTCCTTTCCGCTCGTTTCTGGCCATAAAGGGACTATTTATAGCAGGGCTCCGCTAGTTGCCAAGGTTTATCAAGACGTCTCACCTTTGTTCCACCACAACCTTCGATGTCAAGAGAAAACACACCACAAGCCAGAAGGAAGAGAGGACGACACCAGAACATCCTCCAGACAGCTGGCATTCCAGCCTATCTTAACGCTGTCATGCATTGATTGAGCAGACCTTGTCTATCTGCCGAGGCACTTCTGGTTTCGGGTATCTTGGAGGGGGAAAGCAGCCTATCCTGGCAGACAAACAGCCAGTAATATAACAGCCAGCAGGCGAGAACCAGACTCGAAAACCTGAGGGGAAGCTGGAAAAAGGAAAAGTAATTAAGAGGAAAACGGGAAAAATCGACAGAAAATGGATGCTCTCATAGCCACGGAACTCGCCAAACTAGACCCCTCGGTCCCCTTTCGAGCGACCAAGTCACACCTCCATTACACCTGGGCGAAAACGTTCTATTCTCGACCGGAACTTTACATCCAGCCCGAGTCAGTTGCCGAAATCGAAAAGGTAGTCACTCTTGCGCGCAGATGCCGTCGACGTATTGTGACCGTTGGCAGTGGTCACTCGCCTTCCGATCTAACCTGCACATCATCATGGGTAGTCAACCTGGACAATTACCGTCGAGTTCTCTCGTTTTCGCGTGATACGGCTATCGTCACGGTCGAGTCGGGTATACGGCTAAGACAGCTTGGCATTGAGCTAGAGAAGAACGGTTTGATGCTTCCTAATCTCGGTAGTATTGACGACCAGTCTGTGGCAGGTGTGATTTCAACCGGAACACATGGCAGCTCACTCAAGTATGGCTTGCTATCCGAACGCGTGTTGGGATTATCGATAATGCTTGCGAATGGCCAGGTTGTCCGATGTAGCGAGGCGACCAATCCCTCTTTGTTTCGTGCTGCACTGCTGTCTCTCGGAGCGATTGGTATCATCACGGAGATGACCTTGCAGGCTGTACCTACTTTCAATATCGCCTGGCAGCAGTCCCTGAAGACATTGCCACAGGTATTGGATACGTGGGACTCCGGATTATGGACCTCTACGGAGTACGTGAGGGTGTGGTGGATGCCTTATATGAAGCGCGCGATTGTCTGGCGTGCGGACAAGACCGACCTACCAACGCATGATCCCCCTGCCAGCTGGTATGGTGGAGCTCTTGGCTACTTTGTCTACCATAACCTATTGTATCTCTCCAACTACGTTCCCAGGATCCTACCGTGGGTTGAGTGGTTTGTATTTGGCATGCAGTATGGCTTTACGCCCGGAAAGACTGTTACTGAGGCAGTTCAGCCAGCTCGCACTGGCTTGTTGATGGATTGCCTGTATTCTCAATTCGTCAACGAATGGGCAATTCCACTGGAAAAGGGTCCAGAGGCCATTACCCGACTGTCCGCCTGGTTCCATGGTGACCAAGAGACTGCACGCATACCGTTTAGCTCTGAGTCTGTATGGGTGCATTGTCCCATAGAAGTACGTGTCTCCGATACTTCAATTTCGAAGACTCCCCGCCCTTACCTAGACTCCACATGCCATGACGGCCCTACCCTCTTCCTGAACGCTACTCTTTATCGGCCTTACCTTCGTGATCCTCCTTGCAGGGAACGGTACTATGAGGCATTTGAATGGCTTATGCGGGACCTAGGCGGGAAACCACATTGGGCTAAAAACTTTGGAGAGGACCTTGGGTATGAGGCACTTCGGGGAATGTACGGAGACAATTTGGATAAGTGGCTTCAAGCCAGAAATGAGGCTGATCCTGATGGAATGTTTCTGGGTGCGTGGCACAGGAGGCACCTGCTGCCCTCCTCTACTGCTGCACCGCAATCACCTGGTCAGACTTTAGCCTTTGAAGAACAGCTAAAAGAGCAACGGGCATTAGGTGTGCCCGGATCCGGGGATGGCATTGAGTGGATTGGCACCATCCCTGGCCCTACCCCACACGGCAATAGGGATCTAGATGATGCTGCGACTGCACCCGATGGCCATCCAAGCCCGCCGACAACTTCTGCAAGTGAGGAAAGTTTTGACCACCTTGCGAAGGGGGAAGCAAGCATGACGCTGCCATAGCAGTCTACCAATTCGGAGTTCAATTCTTACGGCATCTCTCTCAACTCTTTCGGTGTGTAGGAGAACCCATACTTTTCGTTAGTGATTGATATAATATATTTATCATATATTTTCTGATGATGATTTGCGCCTGTTAGTATGTTTTGGTATCGTATCAGAGAGGCGGAAAACTGTATAAGTGACCTGCAGACGCGCTGAATACGTATCTCAAATCATATTTTTAATTTAATAACGAGCGCTGTGAGTGGACAACAATCGCTTGGAAAAAACCAACGGGATCACTTCCCATGCGCCACTCAAATAACCCTTGGTCGAATTGAAATTACCCCATTTATCAGTTAGATGTCTCCCTTTCCAGAATTCAAGGGTAATAATATTATGTAGCCATTCAATACAGATATAAGTTTCCTACCATGCCAATATTCCATAGGTCTAAGAGGACAGGCTTTCTCAGGCCTCTCCGTCGACTCAACCCAAGCAGCAGATCAACCATCATTTCCCTAATATGTACAGAGTACCTATAGAAGCAGCAGAGTTAAGGCGCAGGAGGATCGCATATCCGTGTCTAAACATAGCGTATCAACAAGGCATACAGGCAGCTCCGTGTAAGGGTTACCTAAGCCATAAAACATTCGATGTGATAAATAATTCCTTTTTTCTAACTTTCCTTTTCGGCGTTGTCTCTCTCTCTCTTTTTTTTTTTTTGCAATTTGTAATAAGAGGTCGATTATGACAAAATTCCAAAGAAGGAAGAAAGAAAGCAAGAAACGGGAAGTATATCGGTTAAGCTAGAGGATGGAGAATGGATCAATAGCCGACCTGAGAAGATAACTGGTCAGAAGGCAATAATGTACCTAAAGTTAGCTTCAGCGGCATTTGAACATGGCCCTTGTTAATGCAGCCCCCTGGCCACAACCTTCCCGTATCCCTGCACATTGACCACACCCTGTTGCACGGGCTCTGTTCGCCAAGTAGTCTCTCAGCTGTTCCCCTCTCACAATAAATGTACGCATCCGCCCCATGCGTGTAACAGCTGGCAGGTTGAGATGTGCACCGTTTATACCGTTTTGAGAAGCGCCAACCGGCGCCGGGACGTTATCAATGATGAACGGGCGCGAAAGCAAGGAATGCAAGGCCCGCTGGAGTGGCAACCGTATAGGCAAAGCCGCCAGCCGCCCTCGCACCCTACTATGTAGGTGCAGGATGAAAGATACATACATTATGTGCATGTCTGTTGGCAAGGTAGATCGTAACCCATGGGTTACAAGGGTCAATTCGTAATGATCTCCCGTCGGCTGTGGGAAGAATCGAGCTTCCTACATGATTACAACCCTGAAAAAGAAATGAGAGCCTGTTCCTGCACATAACGGGAATTATACTCCACTGTAATGTCCCATGGGATAGGAAACTCTGGCCACAGAGAACAGAGCGGCATGGATAAAGTAGCCTCTGACATGGGATATGCTCCCGTCAGCCGGGTGTTTTTGGTATATAAATCTTCCGTTGATTCTAGACTGCACAAGACGTATCTGTTGAGGTTTATTTTCCCAAGGATTCCTAGCCTAGAGTAATGAAGAATATGCATGGATTATAAATGCAGCTTCGAGGCTGCATCTTTCAGAAAAATTAACCCGTGAACGGAGAAACAACAATCCTTGCATGTATTAGCAAGGCATCACTGTGGTTGACGATGTCATTGGTAGCTTGAGTGGACAGCCAACAGTTAACAACCCCGATCTATAGGTAGGTCTAGGACATGGCGTTGCATGCCAAGATATGTATGTGAGACCACTATTTTTAAAGGATAATATTTTGCAAGTCAACAGCATGCATACTGCTTGACAGAATCAATATCGATGATCAGGGAAATTGCTTTTCAAGTGCCCAGGCCATCAATAGTAGTTGTGGAGGTGAAAGAGGGGCCGAATACGGAGATCTCCCAGCTATGAGAGTTAAAACTTGACGCTTGCTGGGTGTTGGATAGGCCAAAAAGCTGTTAAATGTTAGCCTAGTCTAGGGAATAAGGAACTCATTGGGTGGAAAAATACCGTGGAAGAAAATAAGCAGCATGCGTGTGTATGTATGTCAGTACCTTGTATATGCATCCAATGTCGTACATCATTGACGTACATAATACATAATATAGCATGTATGTTCATTAAAAGTACGGCTTGACGCGCAGATGTCGTTTTAGAAGAGCGCTGAGTGGAGGGAGATAGACTGTGAGCTATCATTTTTTATTACGAGGTGGTTTTAAGCTTATCTAAGCTCAATCTGGTCCGTGATTCGAGGTTAATCTTATCTATAATCACGTGATGTTGTCACTTTATCGGCCGTTCTTGGTTAGGAACGTCGCTTGCGTCCTCGCTGACGACCGATGCCCTTGTATCCAAACACCAAAAAATACCCAAGGCGTGTATGTACATGGATGGCTTGCCCCCCTTGTACATCGGGCCTGCGAGGCCATCGAATACCGTCACTGGCACCGACATGAACGCTACATGACTGAGAACAGTCCCACTACTGCCGCCTCAACGCAAGTCCAGCCATGGAGCCAATGGGTCTAGAAGGGACTATCAAGTACCTTTACCTGTTGGAACGCGGTTCGCTCGAGATGGACGCTTACATCTCGGTACTAGTTACAGAACAAAACACGAAATATTCCTCCTGGGGAAGTACAAAGTACAATAAATACCCCTCTGTGGCACTGAAAAGCGCCGTTCTGCAACCCCCTCCAATCCTCTCCCCCCTGGCTTTTTCCGTCCATTGGCCAAGTGAAGGAAGAGTGATCATGTCAATCCAGATATTGGGTTACAATGATAAATTTTGGCCACTACCGCCGCACGTGAAGAGACGGGTCATTTTAACTTGGGCTTGTATACTCTGGCAAATTGCTATCAGAGTTACTGACCAATTTACCTTACTGGCGCGGTTTGCGTATGTAAAATTCCAAGTTTTTTAAGCAGCAAATGGCTGGCTATATTGCTTCTGCTGTTTTTTTGCTGCCACGACTCGAATTGGAACGCCATTCCTAACTCAACTGTAAATCATCCACTACTGCAGCTGAAACGGCCCCTTCGCGGTTATCAGAGAAGCCAATTAGTTATGGAGCACTAGATCTGATACTCTCAAAATCCATTCCGTCGTCGTGTGACTGACCCTAGTCAGAGGGACAAGACGGATAAAATTTGCCAACCATCAGGTCGCTAGTAAGCCTCGGGTTGCCATACAAGCTGAGACGGATACCTACCCTGGCTCCAAAATGCAAAAAAAAAAAAAAAAAGAAGAAGAAGAAAAAGGAAAGCGATTGAAAATAGCGCCATTTTTTGCTTTTTACTTTTTTTTCAATCCGTCGGTTATTCCCTTGAGTGCAGCTTTGAATTCTTGAGTTCCTCTCGGCTGTCCATGTTGGTGCCCAAGTCTTCCTGGCTAGCAATATCATAGGCAAAGCTTCAGTGCTACACGCCCGCCTCGCTTTATTCCCTTGCATTTGCCCCCTTCCCATTGTGGAAACCGGGTCGGCCCGTTACCAGTGATTGCCGCAATGAATTCTCCACTAATTAGTACTGGCCAAGTCACCCTCCCATCACGCTGTGGGGATCGGGAAGGGCCCGTGGAAAGTTGTCATTTACAGGAGACTATCCCCATGCATATAAGCACAGCCGCTAGTAGCTAGCTAAGCCAGTACTTGCATCCTCCCCACCCCTTTTCTCTATCTCCGAACCATTACAAAGGTACTTCTTTTTTATTCCCGTGTGAGGTGTCGAGCTTCTTCATATTGGCGAAACGAAACATTCCGATACATGAGAGTGACGAGAACTAATTCCTCCACGTCATCCCCACAGTTTGGGGCTTTAAGGTGATCAGTTTCCAGAAGACAGCCATAGGCAGGCACGTTTAAAAACTTGCAGCATATCTACCTCCTACATCGGCAGCCCATCAAGAACATAAAACATCCTCACTATATCACAGGACTCCTTTCCCCTTTCGTGTTTCCAATCAAGCCATTGTCGTGCTAACCTCCCACGAGCCTTGTTTTGTTCAAATAGGGAACTCTTTTTTGCCTTATTTTCTTTTATTCCCTTCTTACACACTGTTGATTGTGCAATTGATATCTTCCCTGCCTTGTAATTACTATCCTACCCCTCCTTGTTGATTAGATTATTTTTCAATGCCGCAACCACACCCTATCTATCCAAAACTTCATGTTTCATCCAGACTCCCGGAGTCGTTGCCCGCTCCGGGGGCAATGGTAGCTATCTCCAACTACGGGCATATACAACGTCCCCGTGAGTCGGGCCAGCGTCATCAGGTCTTACGGACCAAACGGAAACATGTTCTCAAAGCCTGTGATCGATGCAGGGTGAAGAAGACAAAGGTATATCCAGTGGCAATTGACTTTGTCCCTTTTTTTTATTATTATTATTTCATGGGTTTTCTATTATTATTAAATGGATGCTAATAGTCTACGTGATTGTAGTGTGACGGAAACCAACCATGCTATCGATGTGCTATGTATAATCATCCATGCCTTTTCCGGGAGAGGAAGGCAACACAAACCAAGGCATATTCTAGAGGGTGAGGAGAATGGTGTCTCATATTCCATCCTGGGGCGTTTGGGGAAATACATCATTAGTTACATATAACTTACTATGTGGTGTACAGCTTCGTTGAAATGCTTGAATCCCACCATGCTCTAGTTGTGAAGGCACTTCAGCAGCTATATACTCATTGCATCAACAACAAGTGCTTTCCAGGAGAACCTATCGAGCTTGTTGATGGGTATCCCCTAACACACGCCATTCTGGATCGACTCGGTCTCATCAAGCAGGCTGAAGAACATAACATCACGCATGACGTAGAAGCCGAACTCGCGGCAGCCGCAAAGTACTGGAAGAACGAATCTTCAGGGCCAAATTCCCCAGATCAAGACAATTCCTCCATCGAGCCATGTTGTCCACTCGACCGGTCCCGATCTAGCGACTCATGTTCGACATCCACGCCATCTGAGCCGGATGTGATCAAATGCGAGTCTTCGCCCACCACTGGTGTACACGACGCTTTCCGGGTATTTGGGCGTGAAGAGCCGTTTTGGCCTATGAACGGTGATGCCACCCTCGCACATGCTGTTCCTGAGTATAACCGTGCAATGAATTCCACCAGTTTCAACAGCGTGCCGAATAATTACTCTCACACACATCCCAGCCACCAAGCAAGTACCCTTTCCTGTAACAGTATTCCCTCGCCAGTTGTGGCGAATAATGCAACCATGGTTGCAAGCACCTGTTCACAAACAGATTCCCGGATCGGTTACCCAGCTGTGGCTACTGTTCATTACCCGGGGTATCACCATCCATACCATGGGGTTGATCAACAAACCGCCTGGAACCCGCAGCAGGGATGGTCTGGGTAATGAATACATTGTTGAATATGACAGAATTTGCTTCCGATGGTCCTCACCTATCCGATCTAAGCCTGTCCCCAGGCTGAGTCTATATCCGGAGCGTCACAGAGATTACCAAATCCGTCCACATCTCGTCTACCTACGTCGATATAAAGTCATATTCTCCGTCCATCGTTTTCTGTCCATGTTTCCCTTGCCATCATCCACTAATACATATTTTTCTCACGAGCTCATGAGATACCCATACAATTTGTTTTATTACGACTTACCGCTATCCTACCGCCACGACTGTATACATTGCGTATATTCTCGTTGACCTCTTGGAGAAAAAAGTACAACCATGTGAGAGACTTATTGTACGATTGTCCTGCTGGACAGTTATGGGCCGAGTGACGGAAAGGAAGGAGAGTGCGTTGGCCTCTTGCTAGGCCCATCATTGCGTCCTGTTTTTTTCTTTTTACCCCGTTTCGTTTTCTTGTTTCTCTTTATTACTTGGTTGGTATGTGTAGGCTATCGGGATAGTAGTATTGCATAGGTTTTTGGTCGCATCGGCCATAGTTATTGCTATAGGGCTAATGCGGGAACTGGGAAAAGGAGGGATTGGCTTAGTTAACGTTACGATAGGCCATAGTTATATTTTCTTATGCACCCTCGCGGACGCAGGAAGCGTTTATGAACTATCATATCTGTACCAGTGTTATATTCATTAATTATCGTAGGTCAACTAACTAAACTTTACAGGGTGCGTATTTGTTGGTTTTGATGAGGCAAAAAAAAGAGCAAAAAAGAAACTCTCCTGACCCAGAATCGAACTAGGGACCCTTCGGTTACAATTGAACCAGTTACAGCCGAATGTCATAAACCAACTAGACCATCAGGAGATGTTTTTGTTGAATGGCCTTACTTTAGTATCCTTTTAACTGGCTGTCTTCATCCTTCTTCGCCTACTTAGGCACATTTGAAGTCGATTATAAGTGGTAAAAATGCGCTCTACAGGTGGAAATATATAAAGACATATAAAATATATTCATAAACACAGATAATGCACTGTTATATTACTCTAGTATTAATATACTCCATGCCCCCGAAGTTATGCTAACTCTTCTTTTCTCTCTTCATTTTCACGTTTCGCTTACTAAGCGGATATAGCCGCATATCACGTGCAATGTCGGCTATTTCCTTTTTACCCGCGAGTCTTTGCCGCGTTTTTTATATCCACGCCCACAAACAGTCAACAAAACAATAAAAAAGCACAAAAAGAAAAACTCCCCTGGGCTGGAGTCGAACCAGCGATTTCTCGGTTTCATATGGTTAACAATTACAGCCGAGCGCCTTAAACCAACTAGACGACCAGGGGTGTTCGGGTATCCGAAGCCCGGATTTAGTCGTCTATCACCAGCCCGTGGCGCTTCCTAAGCTGGCAAATAAACACCCACCAGTGCCAACCATCAGGCGCTTGATAGAGCATCCAAGCTATAGGCAATATTACTATAGCTTGACAAAAGCTTCTTTTCTCCTTGAAAAAAGAAAATAACAACGGTAGCAAGAAAAGAGAAGGTTAGAGTGCAGTTTAATTTTGGACGCCGCTGGTTCCAACCTATCACGTTTAACGTCACTTTCTACCAACGCCAACCTCATATCACCAATATCACAATACTGAAACTATAATCGTACAGCTCAACTGGCCTTTACGTGGTTGTCTGTTGTTGCGGCATAGTACAATGTCTCTCGTAGGGTTCGGACGCCTGATCCAGGGCCGTCTCTTCCCGCCTGCCAACCCAACTGCCTCCCTTGAAGGAAAAACTGTCCTCCTAACAGGTGGTACATCTGGCCTGGGCCTCGAAGCAGCGATAAAATATATAGACCTAGGTGTCTCCTCGCTGATAATCGGTTGCCGCAATGCTGAACGAGGAAACGAAGCCAAGAAGGTGATTGAAAAGAGGACTAAGCGTGACGGTAATACTGCGGATTTTAATATTCAGATATGGGCCCTGGATATGGCCAGTTATCAGAGTGTGATATCATTTGCAGAGAAAATCAACGATGAAATACCACGGCTTGATATTGCACTTTTGAATGCTGGGGTAATGCACAGGAAATATACCCTGACAAAAGATGGGTGGGAAGAGACACTTCAAGCCAATGCACTCTCAACCGCACTTCTGGGTTTGCTTTTACTACCAAAACTGAGAGCAAGCCGTGACACTATCACCGGCACTGCCGCTCATCTCACATTTATCTCGAGTGGATCTTACAGACATGCAACGACCGAAGAGCTACAGCCTGAGGGGACCAGCAGCATACTCCAGCACTTGAACAGTGAAGAGGCGTTTCGCGCACACTCTCAATACAGACTATCCAAAGTCCTCGTCGAATATACCACAAAGAGTATCGCTAATCTAACCCGCTGCGATGATGGATCGGTGGAAGTCATCGTCAACTCTGCCTGCCCGGGGTATTGTAGGTCGCGGTTGGGTCGCGAGTACGATGCCTGGCATGAGAGAATGTTTGTTGCTATTTTTGAGCGGATTTTTGGCCGGACGTCAGAGCAAGGTAGCAGGACCCTTGTAAGCGCTACGTTGCTCGGCGAGGAGTCGCATGGGAAATGGTGGAGAAGCGATCAATATCCAGAGTAAGATATCCAATTATACCCCTCCCCTTCCCTTGGGGATCAAACCTTTTCTTCGTTTCTATATTTGGGAACTAACTAGCGGTTACAGTATCTCGGCTACTCTTACGGGAACAAGCGAAGGAAAGGGATTACAGACACGAGCCTGGAAAGAGATTGTGGGGGAGCTCAAGCTTCGATCTCCCGAGGTTGAACGGCTCGGCTTGAGTGACGACATATGATAAAACTAACTCAAGGCCCCCTACCTTGGTGTAGATTCCGCCTACCCTCTTTCATATCTCTTATCTACGTTCTCATTTCGTCAACAAACCCCAACAAGCATGCCTTTATCCCTGAATGTATCTTATATTACAATGATCATGGGAAGGCTTTATTTTTCACATTGGGACAGCAACAGGCAGTCACCGGGGGTGGTGTGAGCTTCATCGCCAAGTCTCTTCTCAGTTACTCGTGACATGAAATGATGTCAATCCTCATTTGAGGCTGGCTTAAGCACTCACCTCCCATGTTTCTATTTGAGCCAAGTCGCATATGCAGGCTACCGGTCAGTGCTTGAGGGAGGGGCATCAAGCATCGACAGCCAACCAAGCCAACCAGGCGATATCCGAAGCTACCTCGATACGAATAAATATAGCATCTGGAGAAAGTGGAATACGGTAAATTCCGAGTCTTAAGCCAACTAACGGTGTTGGATATCTATAGATCCAGGGTATATATATATGGTCTACAGAGTATATGCTTGGCCCTTTCAGGTAATCTAATCACAAGAATTCATCCCCCTTGTCGTGGAACATGTACCCCAGAGGGGTAGGGGTAAGGCTGCAACGATGAAATCGATGGTTTTAGTGGGACCAGATGTTCCAAACCCCGAGGCGGGGGAACATTTCCAAGAATTGGAGGTGTCGAATAGAGCTGAAACGGACAGCTAAAAAAATAAATAATCTCACATGATACTGTGGATTCAAGGATATTCAATTGTTAAAGGAGCTTGACTGCATTGTATGTAACCAATGAGTGTTTCCCCCCTTTGACTACAGTGTCCATGACATGGATATCAAAATTGGACGCTGAGAAACGAGCCCAGTCCTTGGAAGCAACAAAGATGGCGGAATTGTGTCCGCTATGGTGGCTTGACTGAGAAATGATATCTCTTTCACACAAAACACCGCCTTTCTTCATGGATACACTAAAATTTGGCCGTCTGGCTATCTCCTTGCAAGGACACGGGTCCAAGGGGTCAGTGCACAATCATATTAGGTGACTCGATCGTCTATCTTCGCTGGGCCCCCATGGCCACGAGATCCTGTGGGAAGCTCATCCGGAAAAAGGAATTCGGAGTCGGATGGATGGAAGATTATGGCCGCAAGAGGCCGCGTTGCGTCAGAACCGTTTTAAACCAAGAATAGAGAGCCATATCGACGTTGTAGTCTGTCAGGGATACATAACCAGGGCTGCCAACCCCAGACGCTTTCCGTGTCAGCACTATTGCCTGTTCTCTTCACATTTTGTTGTAGGTATTCGCCCGATAAACAAAGGATGATGTTGCTCTTGGACCAATTAGCTCGAGAGGATGATCCCTGGTCTATGGACATGGAGAGGATGCGGTGCGCTCTGCGCATCACATTGACCGTATACGAAGAAACCGTGTGAGCCCAATCAACCCCACGGGAACCAACTGATCGGTTGGAAGAAAGGAAAACAAAGGAATACGGGGATGTTTGTTGTCTTGCTAGGCCGGGCGAGGCATCTATACCCTTCGTCTTATACGGCCTGCAAGGCTAAGCATTGCTTGCTCAGATGTATAGCCTTGTTTGGCCTGAGAGCCGGCATTTCCTGCTACTGCACATATAGCTCGAACATCTCCATCTCCATGTGCGTTTCTCTGTTTGGTTCGGCTCATCTCCCCTTGGATGGTTGAAACGGCAAGAAAGAGAGCAGAACACGGTAAAGAAAAGTACAAAGTTGGCCCATCGATGGCCCAACCACCCAGAACGCGCCGCCAAGCCAGAGCTTCGACCCATTATCAACGTCAACTTGAGACCTTCACAGCTTCTTCCTCAGCTTCATCTTCCTCCTTTGCTTCTCCCTCAGCTGGGCGGCTGGGAGTGGTTTCTCCAACTGAGGGCAAAGTTGCCATCCCCCGTCTCCCGGGAGCAGCACAGCAATCGCCAGCTCCAGACCGGAATCGAGTGAACCATGCATGTGAACCGTGCCGAAAACGCAAATCTAAGTGCGATGGTGTGCATCCGATTTGTTCTCGTTGCAAGAACCAAGGAGTTGATTGCATATATGCAGACGGAAAGCGAGAAAGGCTGAAACGGCAGGTCTCTTCCTACCCTTTCTATCATTTCTTTTAGATAAGACTATGGGTCTATAACCCCATACTATGCGCTTACGACGAATGATTCTTGATATCTTTCTAAACAGAAATTTAGAAATGCCGAAACGATGGCCATGAAGATAAGCGTGTACGAGAAACTCCTTACGAAACTCATACCTAGCCAAAGTCCTGACGTACAGCAGGCAATCAGAAACGCACTGCTCGAGGCAAGCTATCTTTCCGATAGATGCACTGTCCAGCTACTTGTCTAATGTTCCCTAGAATCCTACACTAGCTGAAGAAGATTTCTCAATGTCGGATGAAAACTCACCGTCTGCCGAAGAGATAATCGAGGATGAAAATTCCGTTACATTAGCAGTTGCCTCTCCACTACGAGCGTATTCCGGACGCCGGAAACCAGTGGAGTGTGTAGGTGAAACTTCGACTATAAGATGGCTGAGTACGCTTCTAGTAAAGCTACAGCTGTCAAATTTTATGTCTGATGGTAGGGAGCATCACCCAAGCAATTAGGTGGGCTGCAACTAACACGAGAGGAATCTATCAGGGCACATAATGTCAATGGCTCCATACGACTTGTCCTGGAAGTTTGAAACTACAGCGAAGATAGATGAAGTTAATGAAAAATGCACATATTTCTCCGGCGAGGTTGAGCTCCCCCAACTGGATATGATGTATGATGTGACCACACTACCACCCAAGGACGTTGCTGACCTGCTGGTGAATGCATATTTCACCACGGTTCATCCTCTTTTCCCTGTCCTCCCTAAGGTAAGATTTTTATCTCGATATAACTCCTATTATCATAACGGAAATGACCCTGTTGCCATATACCCTTGGCTCGCCCTCTTGAATATGGTGCTCGCTCTCGGATCATTGTGGGCTCGTTATACACGGATACCGACAGGTGAAGTAGAGGACCATCGCCTATACTGCGCTAGATCACAGGCCCTGGCACAGGGAATAGTCGACCCTCGCAGCTATCCCGACACGCATTCTTCGTTAGAGCCTATACAACTCATCGCAATCAGGGGAGTATACCAGCTTGCCACATATCAAATTACAGGGTATTTATAGTTCTTATACATCTTGATGCTCAATTATACTCTCATCAAGCACTAACCGTTGATCGTCAAACAGGGCATGGAGATCAGTTACCACAGCGCTGAAATTCGCCTATAACCGAGGTTTGAATTCAGAAGCCAAGTCATCTGAGTTTTCTGGTGAAACAAAACAGCTGGAGGCCCGGGTTTGGCACTCACTTCGATCTCTAGAGCAGTTCCTCTGCGTACTTACGGGGTTTTCGTCCGAATTACAGGGCCAGCTGATTCACATCAGGCAGCTCCAAACTAGCCCGCCTTCCTTTCTCAGAGGCCCTCCTCCACCAGCCGATTACGATATTCTCGGTAGCCCTTCGGATCTGGAATTGTCTGCCGTGTACTCCTTCGATGAGGAGTTCCCATCAAGTAACTTCTCAGCAGGGATTCGACTGGATGAGATTGTAGGCGAAGCAATAGCTTCTCTGTACGGCATGCAATCCTTTGACAATACCTGGGCCTATACCCAGCGCCTGGTAGCCGACCTAGATAACAAGCTTAACCAGTGGTATGCAACCATTGACCCTGGCTTTCCTTACTCCATCCAATCCATCGATATCTGCTGCCCTCCCTCCACGAGCCTAACATACCTGCACCTTCGCTACTTTAGCGCAAAGATACTCATCAACAAGCCTGCCCTCTGTGATCCCGCTGAGTTAATTCTAAACATCCCATACCAATCCGAGACCTCCAGACAGATGGATTCTGATGCAGCCACGCGCTGCGTCTCCGCTGCTAGACAGATACTCCAGCTTCTGCCGCTGAATATGGATATAATTGAATTACATGGAAAGACACCCTGGTGGTGCATACTTCACTATATCGTTCAGGCCAGTTGCATCTTGATAATGGAACTTTCCTTTGACGAGCTTCATGTACCGTTGGAAATTAATGATCTGATCCAACAGTCGGAACTAGCTGTTCGCTGGCTGTCTACTCTCTCCGGTACCTGTGAGTCGGCAAATAAGGCTTGTCTATGTATGAACAGCCTGCACCATCTTGCGCTATCAAAGCGCGAAAGAGCATCCCAAGGACGTTGCGAGTAAAGTAGTATGCTCTTATTTGGCAATTTATAGTGATATTGATTAGAAACCCGCTTTCGAGCTCACCTTCTTTTGCTGCCTCTATCTCCAATTACGGGATTCACTTTATTAACTACCATCCTTTGACGTTCAACATTGTAGGCAAACATTCACTTTCCACGACCTGTTTTACCCATTACATCCATCTACATTTCTACCATTGCATTTCTGGCTGGAAACAGTAATAAAGGAATGCTATTTGGTATACAACTAGCCAGCGATGAAACCATGCAGCGATGACTTCAGGTAACCAACCGTTGAAGTTCATCTTGTAACAACCTGCTCTATGAACTCTATCCCAAGTCTATAAACCTGTTAACCAGTCGGATTAAACCGCGTATGACATGCTCCGTTTTCATCGTCTTGAATAATTTGCAAGGCGACTCGTATTCTTACTACCTTAATGAACTTGATCGTTCGCTATCCACCACAGTCGACGGGTCTCACCTTTACCCTATTAGGAATATCCATTATTCCGACTATGTATGCTGACTGAATATGACTAAGCACTACTTTTTAGCCCCATCGCGGGTAAAAAACCCTAATTCTCAGCCTCAAGACAGCAAACATCAAATTCATCCCAACATGACCAACCTCAGACTATCTCTATGGCCGCTATTCCGTCTTTTTAATATTTTTATAATTGCTGGTAGCAACTAGTGTTAATTTTAAAGGTTTATCTAATTTTTCTCGACTTCACCAGTACAACTATATGCCAGGCATGTCTTGAACTTGCCCAAACCCCACCAGAAGAAGCCTGCAGCAAAAGTTGACTATTATCTTGAAACCCCTTGAAGGAAGCCGAAAAGTTGGCCCAGGCAATCAATACATCGAAAGATGTTATATCGGTACATTCCTTCAACCACAGAAACCATATTTAAGGAACTTGCAATATCTATAGAATATTTGAAGCATCTACATGTGTCTTTGAGTCCTCAGGAATAAAAGAGAGGAGGCACTGGCCATATTTTCGCAATTCTGCATCATAACAATATCCCACCAGAGCTTTTCAAAGATGTATGGAACGGTGCTTAAAAAATACCTGCTAAACAGGGCGCAAGTACTAACCCCCTTTTCAAGCTGGCATACTTCCCAACTTCCCAATATTATACCGTGGTGCAAGAATGCTTAAGGGCGGGGGCTCCGGCTACAATATTCAGAAACTGTCACAGCTTCTTGCACTGATTCGAATGCGCAATACGTGCAAGGAGTGTGGCTTTTCAACGATATCTTTACATCTCCTCTTGCATTCATTAGTGGGTCTGTATACGCCAGGATGATGATGATCAGCGCCACCGGCCATCGTTATCTGCTAGGAATATATGCTAGCACCCAGCTTTGGGAATAGCGAATGGCAACCATACCGACGAATTTTGCAGTTATACACATAGCTATTCCTTAGCAAGGAGAAGGAATATACCCAGAAACTTAATTGAGAAACCAGTTTCGACATCTTCTTTAATTCTCCCATGCTCTATATATTACGACTGGAACCCTACACACCGCGTGCAGCTTTAAAGAAGCTTTAAAGCCACATGAGAAGATCGTCTAAAGGAATAAAGGAAACTTGGCTAAAGATCATCCAGATAGGTTGGCATCACAGCGTGAACTTGCCAGAGCCAGGTTGATGGTTAACAACATTATACCTAAGAGTTGGACGGACCAGGTAGAAACTATCAAACACATCTAGTATCAACGAAACGAAGATACTATTAGAGAATAATAAAGAAAATAAGTCCAGTGATTACTTACAATATCGAAACAAGGCCTTGGCCTAGCTTTTGACGCAAAACCGTGTTCCTAAGAGATGTAAACGCTGTGAGAGCAAAGCATCAGTAAACATTTTGAATGATAATGAGTACGCGGTCTCTAGGGTACTGTTTTGCCCACGAGGAATGGCTTTCGGAAAGAACTTCATCGAGGAGCAATTTCATCAAAACATGCAGTCCTAATGCCCCTGGCTGAAGCCATGCTCAATATACCGTATCAAAGGCGAGTGTTTTACGGTAGGTGAAAGGCCAGGGGTGGTAGTATATCCGACAACAGAAAAAAGAGAAATATATGTAAGAGTAATATATACTTCATAATGATATTCTTAACAGTCGTAGATATTAATACAATCTTATCACTACTCATTTCATCAAAGCAAAGCAATAATAACACAGGCAACATCATAAAGCAGAAAAAAAAAAAAGAATAAAAACCAACCGTTCATCGCCGTTTTCCATTTTATCTTTCCTATACCCAGAAAAACGCCATGGCCATCAAGTCGTTGCAAAACATGAACTGCAATCTCTTTCGTCTCTTTCGTTGGTCATCTCTAGATAAATACGCCCTCACCGGATAATGGGGCGTGGAATTCACAGCCTAGACCTGCCTCTTCGCCCAGCTGTCTTAATTCAGACAGGATCTGGCTACGAGGAGATCCGTCGTCGGTCAGGGTATCTTTAACATGTATGATGTACACTGTGAGATCCTGCAGTGGTAGAGGGCGGGTCGTTCCGCCTATGGAAGTTCGATAGCGTGTTTGTTTGTCTGTTTTCGGTGTCGGTGTATTGTTGTCGGTGGTGGCATCCACGGGGTTGGAGGATGGTTTTGGCGGTTCGGGAGGATAGGTCATTGAGAATTCTACCTTCTCCAAAGACTGGCGGGTATTATGCCCTGTTGGCGAAGATTTTTTCTTGGGCACTGAGGGTGCCGGAAAGGATGAGGATGGTTTACTTTCCTTTGACTTTGGGCTGAGCGGAGCGTTAGACTGGTCTGCTGCTGCTGCTGGAGGCTGGGGGGGAGGCAGGGCGCTGCTGAAGGAAGAGGCTCGTTTACGCTTCCTCGAGTCGCTCTTATGTGGCTTCTGGGAGTCGAGGACCTTGCCTGCCAACACTTCTAGTTCGGCGATGAGATGGCGTGGACAGAGATGGCCGTATAGAGCGCTGTCTTCCACGGAGTCAGTATACGAGCATCGAT